TTCAGGCTGTTTCTCTCTCTCCCCACGTCTCTTCCAAGGAGACGAAAGTCAGACCTGCGGGCGTCGCTAATGCGTTCCAGGCGCCTGAAGAAAGCCTGGCGCGGCCTGCCCCGCACCCCACCCCTGGCCCAAGCAGGCAGGTGGCGCCACCCGATGGCCGCGGCCTGAAGCTCAGCGGGAAGGAGGAGGCTTTTAGGGTGGGGCTGGAGGTTTCCGGCGACCAGCTCAATTCAGAAGCTCTGGGTGGAAGAATTCCATCAAAGGTCCTTGCGGCAAAAGTTCCATAAATGAGAACGCTTCAGTCCTTAGAAAGGAACGGCGACGAGCACTAAAGATTTGTGGGGCGTTCGGACAGCCCTCTTTGTCTCATTTTGCTACCTCCGTAATTCTATCAACCTTTTTTTTGCTGTTAATTGCAGTCTGGAGCCCAGCTGGGTTGTTTCCAACGTCCAGTCCTTTGAAGAGTGGAGATTTGTGCTTCCAACCTCGTGTTAAACAAAACAAACCAAGAGAAGACGCTGTGCAAATTCAATTACCTAGTCAGTGTGTGGCCTGGTGAAATCTAGAGGAGGAGGGGAACTTGCAGTAAACGAAGCAAGTGGAAATAAATGATGGTCCTGTCTTGTTAAAAAGCCTCTGGAAGGAATGGAGAGACACCACAGGCCACTGATGTCCACTCGGACCCCAGACACGTGGGCCAGGGGGGCTGTGTCCTGCTCAGGCCCTGCAGTTGCCCACGTGTCCTGCTCCAACCTGGCCAGGAGCTTCCTCAGACACCAGTCTCCAGCGTCCAGACTTCCAGCTGCTCTTTATGTTACCGAGTCCAAGCTTGCTCTGCTCGCTACATGACAGACCAATGAATGGGAGACGAGGTGTTGAGGCAAGGAAGACGGCTTTATTCGGAAAGCCGGCAGACCGAGAAGATGGCAGACTGGTGCCTCCGATAAACCGTCTTATCGGGGTCTGGATGCCAGTTTCTTTTATAGAATCAGAGAGGGCAGTGAGGAAGTAAAGTAAAAGGGCCATCAGTCTTGCAAAACATCGCCTGGAATGACCAGCCTAGGTGAGGGGATGTGTTAGTTTCTTTTTTCTTGCAGCCATTCACAGGTGGGCACGGTTCCCTGAGGCAGGTCATTATGTACAATTATAATGACAAAAGCAACGAAAAGCAAAGGTTAAAGTCAAAGAAGCAGATCCAACGTGGAGACCAATTTAGCTCTTCCCTGTTACTTTTCCACGGGGCTCACAGGCCCCCGGACCCCTCTGTTGCCAGTCCCCATGTCCTACCAACCTCCCAGAATCCTTCTCGCTGGAATCCATCTTGGCTGAGTGATGCGTGCGCCACCAGGAAGGACCCTGAGTCAGAATGATTGGCCAGAGACAACCCAGAAACTAACCCCATCACCATAAAACCCGAGACTGCGAGCCACGTGGCAGAGCAGTTCTCCTGGGTTCCCTGACCCTGCTGCTCTCCACCCGGGCGCCCCTTCCCAATAAAGTCTCTTGCTTCATCAGCAGGTGTGTCTCCTCGGATAATCCATTTCCGAGTGTTAGACAAGAGCCCACTCTCGGGCCCTGGAAGAGGTCCCCCTTCCTGCAACATCTCCCCGTGCCCCTCCCCATGGCGTCCCTATTGTTTCTCTCTGTGCACCCAAAGCTATAGGTTATAAGACACACCGTGCTTTCAGAGCTGTTGGAATGTGTTTTAAGTGCTACTTAGAATTAATGAAACACAGGCCCTGGTTTATAGCTGCCTCACCCCGTGTCTAGGACAGTGTTTTGCATGCAGTACATGTTCAGTAAATATTTCTGTGCTTTGTCAGAGGTTCTGGCATCAAATCCCAGGGGAGGGAGTGATGGAGCAGAGCACGGGTTTGAGGAAGATATATGCAGAAACGGACGAAGCAAGACAAGATGAAATCCGGGGAGCCCTCCTCATGGGTCGGGTATGTCCGCTCCCCGTGGTCCAGGGAAAGGGTTCGGGGCTGAGGGCCCAGTCACCCCAGAGTTCCAGCTCTCTGATGGCCTGGCTGTCACCAGAAAGCCACTTCATCCCTGTCATGCCCCACATTGAACAATGACAAGTTAGTAACAGCTAACCTTTACCAAGTCCTAACCACACACCTGAGATTTTACACTTATTAATGTACTTTCCTTAAAAATGGAGAACCAGAGTCACTGGCCCTTTTCATTTTAAGAAGGATAATGGGAGGGGCAGCTACCCACAGGTCATGTGACCTTGGACAAGCCGCCACCCACGCTTCACAGCTAAGGAAACGGGATCACAAGAGTTAATCACAGATACCCTGTCTCCACTAGAGGTATTTTATAAGGACAAAATACAAGACTGAACATCAAAGAGCTTTGAAAACCTCAGAGCCAGACAACTGTGAGAGGTTATTATGGGCAAACAATGACATTACAGATTGGGAAGTGCTCACTGCCATCAAGGACAAGGGTCCTATTTCGCTCCAATGCATCACCATAAGAGAGACAGTCCCTGATCTCAAGGCATAAATTTGCCCCAATGAGGCCTTCAGAGACTGTCCAATCGTTAAGTCATTACTAGTATCAGAAAACAGAATATAGGGCAAAAAAAGCAGTAAGATGATCTTATTGCAATTTCTAAAGACGTTATAATAGATGTGGACATTTATGTATTAAATAAAAGTGTGTTGTGTGTATACTTTTTTAAAGGTGAATTAATGGACAGTTCTGGGATTTTGTAACCAACTCAATTTATAAATATTAAATTTTATATGGGCTTCCCTGGCGGCGCAGTGGTTGGGAGTCCGCCTGCCGATGCAGGGGACACGGGTTCATGCCCCGGACCAGGAAGATCCCGCGTGCCACGGAGCGGCTGGGCCTGTAAGCCATGGCCGCTGAGCCTGCATGTCCGGAGCCTGTGCTCCACAACGGGAGAGGCCACAACAGTGAGAAGTCCGCGTACCGCAAAAAAAAAAAAAAAATTAAATTTTATACTTATATTTTATATGTTTTTCCTTTTCATCTTTCCAAGATTGAATCTTCTAATAAATAGTTCATTAATAAATCATAGCAGGAAAAAAAAAAGCATCCTAGATGTTTCTACAGATTCCAGGAACCCAAAGGAATTGATTTTAGGTCCTGAAGAATTAGAATCATATAAAGTACCAATAGAGATAATGGTAGTCCTACAAAGAGGGAGGATAGAGGGGTTTTTAATTAGTCCCATTTTCCCTTGTCTCTTTGTTCTAATCAGAAAATCATTTCAGTCTCTATCTTCCTCCAGATCAGTATGGCCTTGAGTTTACAGGATGGGCTTCCCTTGCCTCCGCCTGACGGCTCAGGAGCCACTGTAATACCGCTCATTTCCCTTCTTCAGTAGTGTCTGTGACTCTGTAAAAATAACTTACAACAGCTGATATGTAAAAGTTCGGCAATCTGATACCTTTAAATAAGGTCAACATCAGACTTAATTTACAGAAGGGCAAGGGAGACTCAAGGAGCTGGAAAGTACGGCTTCATCAGCAGTCATGCAGAGCAGTGATTCTCAGTGAGCATCAGGACCCCGGGACCACTTGCTAAACACAGATCCCAGGCCCCATCCTCAGAGGGCTGGGGTGGGATTCCAGAACCTGCATGTCTCATAACCTCCCAGGTTACAGTGGTGCTGCTGGTCTTGGGATCCCAATTTGAGAACTACTGACACAAACAATGGTTACTGGAAGAGCCAGCAAAGACAAACCACGGAAGCCTTCTCTTCCGTTTTCCTTGGGAGGTGGGTTGCTACGGGCAAAGGAGCTGGGATTAGGTAAAGACTAGGGAAGACACATTGGGCAGGGGGACGGGTCTCGTGTATAAAACCTTTTCCACAGTGCCTCTGAGTTGGGCTGTATATGCGCCCTGGCATTCTCCATCGGAGGGCTAGACATCATGGAGATCTAAGGTTTTTCTTTTGGGACCAGATCCTGTCTGCCTCCCTGGGATTCCAAAGGGGCTTTCCCTGAGGTGACTCAAAGAGGCCAAGGCTCCAGGGGGAATTCTCCAGCACCAGTAACCATGACAGAGCCCACACAACCCCTGCAATGCTCAGGGGCTCATAAAGAAGGGGAGTACATGGTCCCATCCGGTGGTACAATGGGAGCTTCCCATCTGGAAATGATCTGTGTTGCTACAATCCGAAACTACTGGGAGCATTCTGTCTCTGCTGTGCATATTGATTATTAGATAAACACTATAGATAGATAGATAGATAAATAGGAGAGAGAAGGGGGAGAAAGAGAGATAGAGAAATTTTAAGTAGCCCATAGATCATTGAGATATTTTGCATAATGCAACATAGTTCAGATTTGGAAATACTGGGTCACACTCCCTGTTTACCACCTCCTGAGGCATCCATGTGTGTCAAGCAAACCAATGCTACCACCATGACCAGACCTAACTGCACCAAAGGAAGGTGCCCGGATTAGGAGTTCCACTGAACCAAGAGGGAGCCGGCCCCCCACTCCCCCGCTCGGGTAGCTGAAGGAAGGGAAGCAAACGGGCACCATGAGGCCTCCGCAAGTGCCTGGCCCTCCCTGGGCTTTCATTTCTTCCTCAGCAACGTGAGGATGCTGGCTTCCACCAGCTCGGGGGCCCTTGCGGCTCTGACCGACATGAACACAGTAACCTTCTGTTCTTTCACACGCCACCACAGGTCCCCTCTTCTCTATGCTATGCCCGGAACTTGCTCTATCATCAGATTTGAGTTGGGGGGTGTTGGATGCTCAGAAAGGCTGAGAACAGCCCATAGGAAACCAGGGCCGACTTCGCACTGTACGGTCAGACTCAAATGGCAAGGACCTTAGACAATGTTACATTGTGGGGTTTAAAAACACTCATTTCTAAGAGCCTGGGCTTACTGAGTCAGCGATCTGGAACATTCTCAAGACACTAAAAATATCCTGAGAGTGGACTGAATTTTAAACTGTGCTTTAAGAAACTTTCTGTGCGAAAACAATTGGGCATTTCTTCTTTAAAACAATTATGCATTTTCTTTATTTAGATTTTTCACTACTGGAAAGAATAAGAAATACAGAGGGTGTTCGAGCCTCAGAGGGGAACTGAACGTCAGGGCCCATAAGGCCATCCAGTCCTAAGATTCTATCCAAAGAGCCAAGGTTCTACCCAGAGGACCACGATTTATAACCTTAAATCTCTCAATGTACATTTTCAAAGCAAAAAAGATAAAATGCTTTCTTTCCCTTCTGACTGACAGTTTGAGGGTTCCCGTTCCCGGCATCAACTTGCAGGACAAAGGGTTCTTTTCAGCCAGGAGTTGGCATCTGCTGAATGCTTAGTTCTTGGAATTGCCTGCCTGCTCCTAGCAAGACGTGAGCAAGATATCCGTAAACGGTCTGAAACAGGTAAAATGGACACCTGGGTCTCACCACCCTCCAGGCAACCTTTTCCTAATTCACACTAAAATACATTTGGGGACATAGGGAAGGCAAAAGTTCATGATACTGAAAACTGAACGTGGTAAACCACTGCCTGGATCCCAGCACAAAACAGAAGGAGCTGAAAGGAGAAAGTGGCTTCTCTGATGTTCTCAGATGGGCTCTGAATCCAGGGGCCGACAGTGAGAGAGGCAGAGAGACCCAGCGGCCGTCACTCGCCAGAAACCGCGGCATCGAGAAGCTGCCAAGAAGACGTTCCTTCCCATTCGGGGGGCTCGCCCAGGGCCTTCCCTTGGGCCTATGGATTCAGACTCCAAAGGTGAACGTGGACCATCGATCTGGCAGCAAACACACCCTTTAAAACTAAAATAATCTCCCCTCAGGTTGGAGCAGGCTCTTCATCCATCTGGTCTTAGCTCGGGCTGCCGGAACAAAACCCCATAGATGAGGCGGCTCAATCAACAGAAATGTATTTTCTCACAGTTCTAGAGACTGGAAGTCCAAGATGATGGTGCCAGTATGGTCAGTTTCCAGTGAGGGCCCTCTTCCTGGCTTGCAGGTGGTCACCTACTTGCTGTGTCCTCACAGAGAGCGAGCGAGCGAGCGAGCTCTGGTGCCTCTTCTTTATAAGGGCACAAATCCCATGGTGGGGGCCCTACCCTCATAACCTCATATAAAACCTAATCATCTCCACAAAGCCCCGTCTCCGAATACTTTCCCACTGGGGGTCAGGGCTTTCACACATGAATCTCAGGAGAGACACAATTCAGTCCACAGCACGTCCACCTACTGACCACCTGTTATGTGTCAGACGTGCTGGTTGCAAGGGATGCAGACGTCAAAACACAGACCTTGGCCTTACGGAACTCCCAGTTGGGAGCTTTGCCCACAGCCCCAGGGACCCCTTCACTGTGGGGGGGCATCCTTTCCCTGTCTTCGGGGGGCTTTTTCCTTCCAACAGCCCACAGATGCAAGTCTTTTTTGGACAGCTGCCCTTGGGCTACTGGAGCGGCTCTTCCAGAACCAGCCAGAAATGGCGGGGAGCCTCCAATCCCCGCTGGGTGTGGCCCGTGGCCAGCGATTGATGGGTAGGAGCCCAGAGAGCCCAGCTCCCTTGCTCTTTGCTCCCAGAGACGCACTCAAAACTTTCAAAGGCCTAGCTGACACTCCAGGGTTCCCCTTCAGAAACAGGCTGAAGCTACCCCTCCGGGACTCAGCCTAAAACCACACCCTCTCCAGCCTGCTCCTCCCACTGCTGTGCGGACACCAGGAGCACAAGGCTTGCAGGAGAATCGTCATCTCGGTATCCCTCCTGGGGGCGCCTGACCCAGAACCAGCACCTGGGTGAATGGGGCACAGCGCCAGGCTCCGTGGAGGACTTGCCACCCAGAGCAGCAGCGTTTCTCCACTCGGGAGGCTTCCCTGGGGGGCTGGGCCTGAGCAGCGAGACACCGGCTACTACGCTGGATGTGACTTTTATGACGAAATGTTACCAGAGTCACTTGGGTTCAGAGGAGAGAAATCATGGAGTATTTTTTTTAATCCTTTTTGCTTGTGGAGAACCAGAATCCAGAAAGGCCAGGTAACAGAAGACAGGCCTCTGAACAGCACACCAAGGGGTTGAGGCTGTAATTATCCTAAATCCCATCTTTCATCAGTATCTCCCTTGCTCTGGAGTCTCTCGTCTCCAGGGCAGATTGCAGGTTCCAGACACAGTGAGGCTTGGGGCCGCCACAGCAGGGCGCCAGAGCGGAGGCGACAGCAGGAACAGAGAAGAAAGCCTGGCGGTGCTTGTGGAGGGAACCCCAGGGGTCTGGAAGCTGGTGTGAGAGGTGAGATGGAAAATGGTTAGTGTCGGAGTGGGCTCAGGCCCCCGTAACAAAGCACCACAGGCCGGGCAGCTCAGACAAGACACTGACTTCCTCACAGTCTGGAGGACTCTGAGATCAAGGTGCCAGCAGGGCTGGTTTCTCCCGAGGCCTCACTCCTGGGCGCTTAGATGCCGCCTTCTGCCTGTGTCCTCACCTGGTCGTCCCTCTGCGTGTGTCTGCGTCCTAATCTCCTCTTCTTGTAAGGACACCAGTCTGGGCATAAAGCTTGGACTAGACGAGCCTGCGTGCCTGCCCACCTCGGGCCGCCTGGCGAGGTTGGCGCGCAGCATCTCACCCTAGGGGTGCAGGTTCAGAAATGCGGCAGGGTCCGATCGCCAAGTGCTGACCAAGCCCCGGTGAGTCAGTTCACACCCGGCAAACTCAGAACAGGCGGCTCCGTAAACTAGAGTGCCTATCTAATAATCTACCTGCAGAGATTTCTGGAAGGTTACTGAGTGCTGGTCATTTCCGTGGGACCCTCCTTTCCTGCCCTATCCCATCACCCCACACTGATTACAAGCTTTCCGTGGCCCCCAAACTGTGTCCTACTCGATTTCATGTCCCCGTTCACTCATTCCCAAATGTATCTTATTAATATTTGTCCACCCAGTACCGAACACAGCATCTCGCATGGAGCTGGTGGCCAACATATGCGTGTTGGTGGTCACGCTGGCAACACAGGGAGTGTCAGCTAAGGGCACAGGCTCTGGGTCAGAACGCTGTTTCTACCAAGTACCAGCTGTGTGACCCTGGGTAGAACCAACTGCTCTGAGCCTCAGTTCCCTCATCTTATCAAGTTAGGGTGATACTTAACAGAACCTCGCAGCGTTATTCTGAGCATTGACTGAATTAATCTATGCGCTCATTATACCCCACAGAGCAGCAAATGGCACACAGTGAACAGTATGTTCGTGCTGGTCATTTTTTTTTTTTTTAATATCCACTGTGTGCCTGACGCATTGCCTAGTTTCTCTCGTTAAATCTCCAAACAACTATCAGGCGATGTTGTCACCTCCTCCTCAAAGAGGTGGAAGCCAGGCTGCTCACCTGGTAGGCGGCAGAGAGGGGACGTGAGCTCAGAGCTGAGGCTCGCACCTGCCCTCTTTCTACTGCAGTGCAATTAGGCTGCAACCATCAGTGCTCACAGTCTGGAGCGGGGGCCAACATCGCCTCAGGCTCCACCCCAAAACTAAGGCGTTCAGAGATGTGATCAAGTCCCAACTCCTACCCTACGTGGTTGCAACCCTGGATGCTATATCAATATCCCATCCAAGTGCCAAAGCCTTTGCATTCCATCAGCCCCAAGGCATTCCTAGCATTCAGTGCCCCCAAGATGTCCCCCTGGCTCTCAGCCAGACCACCAGCATGCCGGCTGTGCCCACATACTGGAAAGCAGGTGACAGTTGGTGAAAAACATAGGCTGTGACCAGGACAGGATATGACCGTGCTTTTTGAATCCTAAGCATTCCTTCAGCCCCACGATGGCAGAGAGTTAAACACTGTCAGCACTAATTCTAATTAATTAGAAGCAACAGTCTAGAACCACGGCTGAGGCTGGGCTCAGTGGAAAAGAACTCCATGCTTGACTAGCGATGTCCGCCGGGGGCACAGGAGGAAGGGCAGCACACAAGATGCACGTTTGCCAGCCCTTCCTCAGGCCAAGCCCCTACGCTCAGGTATTGAGAAAGCACCTGGTAACCATGGGGTTTATTCCCGGGAGGGGAGGGGACGGGAGGGGGACATGAAAACATAGATGTGCCATGGTCCCTGCCTTCAAGAAGAAACACACGGAGGTGAGAAATCAAATAAAGATATAAATACAAATGATGCGTAGGGAAAACTGCTCTGTTTTTTTATGGGGTGGGGCTTTCAGGGACTTTCAGTTTTCTCATCAGGCTTTAAATACAGTCAGTTGTCGCCTGCCTCTTACAGAAGCCAGGCTATCAAAACCAAACCATAATCAACCTCGGGACTGGGCCCTGCACAGCACTGAGCCCAGCCCCTGTCGCCCTGCAAAACCACCTTCGGCAACAACCTGGCACGCTGCCCAGTCCCTTCATCAGCCCAGCCGGGCACGGCAGCTGCTCCAACCCAATCAACCACGACTCCTAGAAAGTGTTTCCTTGGGCTTGGCCCAAACCTCTTTTCCTAATTTCCATCCAACCGTCCTGATTCCGTCTTCCAGGGCCATACACAGCATGAAGAACACCACTCATCTGAGGTCGGCGCCTTTCCTGCTCCCAGTTAAGCAGTCCCAGGACTTGCCCTGTTTTCCAGGTGACCTGGTTTTCTCAGATCACCTAACTTACCCTGGGCTGGCTTCTTTGGATCTTCTTTGATCTCACAACTCAAGGCGGCTGCCTGCCTCTCTCTGGGCTCCTCCTCCCTGATCCTGGTGTCAAATTGCCTCCAGGCAGAAAGCTCAGGCGATTATAAGGCTCACTTCATTGTTATCCCTTTTCTCAGGCACCACAATTGTGCACCACCTGTTGTCCGATGCCTGGGAGAAAAAAGTTCTTTTATGTATTTTATGTATCCTGTTCAGCTTTCCAACTGTTCACAATGGGAGGTTAAGTCCAGGCCTTGTTATCACACCATGGAAGTCCCCACAACATACATTTGTGATTTTGAGAGCTATTTCTGAGCGTTTTTAGAGATCCATCCAGTTGAGAGTCCCATCAGAATGTCTGGTCCGGGAGCTCTCCAAAGGGTTTTTTATGTCTGAATCTATACAGGTGCTGGCATATATGTTATCACTCAATTCTCACAATTCTGTGAGGTGGGTATTATTACCTCCATTTATCAGATGAGGAACCAGGCTTGAAGGGATTAGCAAGGTGAAAAGTGATGGAGCTCCACACCCACAAGGAAAGAACCTGGACACTGACGGGGGTGGGACCAAGTTAGACACAGCCAGAGCTCCTCCCTCTAAGCCCCAGCCTCCCAAACACATACCTAAAATTAAAGTGTAAATGGGAAAATGTGTGCTTTCTAGTGCCTGCGACTCTACCTGACCAAGAGATCTTTCTAAAACTCCGGCCTGATCATGTTTTCACTCCCATGTTTCAAAACTGGGCAAAAGGGACAACTCTCTTAAAAATATATAAAGAACAGACAGACTCAAGAAAAGCAGCCTGAACAGACTAATAACAATAAAAGTAATCAAATTAGGAATTTAACACACACACACACACACACACACACACACAATCACCCTACCTAGAGTTTCAGAGGCAGTTTCTATTAACATTCAAGGAATGGATAATTCACATTTTGCACAAACTGTTCCAAAGGAAAGAAATATTCCCAAACTGATTTTATGAGGGTAATGTGACCTTGATGCCTTCCCACAAAGAAAACACAACACTCAAGCTGTTCTTCCAATGTACCACCAACTATTAAGGAAACAATAATTCCAGTGTTAAAGAAGTGGATGATATAGGGAACAAGGGAATGCCTGCCAGCTCACTTTACAAGGCAGTCATACCCTTGATATCAAAACTCAACAGGACAATTTGAAAAAGAAAAATTTCAGATCAGTCTCACTCATGAACATGGATGAAAAATATTCTTTTTTTTTTTTTTTTTTTTTGTGGTACGCAGGCCTCTCACTGCTGTGGCCTCTCCCATCGCGGAGCACAGGCTCCGGACGTGCAGGCTCAACGGCCATGGCTCACGGGCCCAGCCGCTCCGCGGCATGCGGGATCTTCCCGGACCGGGGCACGAACCCGTGTCCCCTGCATCGGCAGGCGGACTCTCAACCAGTGCACCACCAGGGAAGCTCCGAAAAATATTCTTTTAAAATATAAAATCAACAACAACATGGTTGGACTTGGAGGAGATCATGCTAAGTGAAATAAGTCAGTCAGGCAAATACTGTATGATATCACTTACACATGGAATCTAAAAAATAAAACAAACTAGTGAACATGACAAAAAAGAAACAGACTCACAGATATGGAAAACAAACTAGTGGTTACCAGTGGGGAGAGGGAAGTGGGGAGGGGCAAGATAGGGGTAGGGGATTAAGAGGTACAAACTACTACGTATGAAATAAATCATCTACAAGGATATACTGCACAGCACAGGGAATCTAGCCTCTATAATAACTATATAACTATAAATGTAATAACTATAAATGGAGTGTAACCTTTTTTACTGAAGTATAGCTGAGGTACAATATTATATAAGTTACATGTGTACAGTATAGTGATTCACAACTTTTAAAGGTTAAACTCCATTAATATAAACCTATACAATATTGTACATCAACTATACCTCAGTAAAATATTAAATTAAAAATAAAATAAGGACTTCCTCGATGGCGCAGTGGTTAAGAATCCTCCTGCCAATGCAGGGGACATGGGTTTGAGCCTTGGTCCGGGAAGATCCCACATGCTGCAGAGCAACTAAGCCCATGCACCACAACGACTGAGCCTGCTCTCTAGAGCCCACAAGCCACAACTGCTGAGCCTGCGTTCCACAACTACTGAAGCTCACACGCCTAGAGCCCGTGCTCCGCAAGAAGAGAAGCCCCCACTCACCGCAACTAGAGGAAGCCCACGTGCAGCAATTAAGACCCAATGCAGCCAAAAATAAACAAATTCATTTTAAAATAAATTTTAAAAATAAATAAGTAAAATATAAAATCAAACCCAATTAAATATATTTAGAAATGGTAAAGTAAGTACTCAAATAGAGAATTGTAACTGAAAAGAGATTCCAGAAGCAGGCCCACATGCGTGCAGAAATTTAATTTATGGCAGAATTGGTACTGGAGATCAATGTGGTAAGGATGGATATTTCAATAATTGGTTATCCATATTGAAAATAAAAATAAATTAAATCTAGTGTTAGTCAGCCATGTTGCTGCAATGATGCTGTATAACAAACATGCCCCAAGATCTCAGTGGCTTACAACAAACAACATTTCTTTCTCACGCACATACAGGTCTGTACGCCAGCTGTGACATCTAACAGTTCAGAGTCAGGTCTGCTCCAGCTGTCTCTCATTCTCTGAGCCAGGCTGGAGGAGAAGAGGGGACCTGGGACATGCACTTCTCATGTTGCAGGTAAGGAACCCAAGAGGGTAAGCCAAACTACATAGCACGCTTAAAGTCTCTTGTTGGCTGGGGCACACATTATATCTGCTCCCATTCCATTCACCAAAGCGAGTCACATGGTTAAGTTCAAAGAAAGTCAGAAAGTGGAGTATATTCTGCCCACAGTGAGCCATAGCAAGGACACAGAGGAAAGGAAGAATTGTTTTAAAATAGTACAATTTACTACAGATCTCTATCTCATACCATACAAAAAAAGTTCATCTTAGAGGCTTAAACACATAAAGGTAAAAGACAAAGTTATGAAACTTTTAGGAGAATATCTTTATATCCTTAGGGTAAGAAAAAGATTCCCAAATATGATGCATAAAAAAGAAACCATTAAAAATTGATAATTTCAACATTAAAAGTAAAAGCTTCTGTTGATCAGAATTTCAAAATGAGATGAAACATTTGCAACATATATCAATGGTAAAGGATTAGTATCCAGAATATATAAAGCACCCTTCCAAATAAATAAGAAAAATAGACCCGTGCATATGGCAAACTTGATATTTGACATAAGCAGCATTACAATCAGAGAGAAAAATCTGAACTGTTTTGTACAAGGTGCTGAGACAACTGACTGTCTATCTGGGGAAAGATAAAAAGAGATCCCTGCCTCACACTGTATACCAAAATACATTCTGGATTATTTAAAAAGCTGAATATGAAAAGCTACATTGTCATTTTAAAAGAAAATATAGAGTACCACTATGCACTGCTTAAGGAACAAGTGTTTTAAATGAATACTGAAAAATCAAGTCATAAAAGGAAAGGCTGACAAATTGACTACATATTTTTTTAAAGCTGTTATGCCCAAAGACATCCTAAACCAAGTTAAAATTGAAGTTACAGAACACATGTCATGGACAAGGGATAAATATCCAGAATATTTAAAAGATGTCTTGCTAAACAAAGCCTTGCACGTCTGAAGAACAATGAGGAATCTCCCGTGGCTGGAGCACACAGTGGTGTGTGTGCGTGCGCGCGCATGCCCAAACGTCTGCATGCTAGGCTCCACGCTCCTGCACAAGGAATTCTTTTGACTTAGAAAGCCCTTTCCCTGTTTTCTTCTAGGAGTTGGAAGAGACTTCAGGGAAACTAGTCTTTCCTTCCTTGACGCTTCTCTGGCTCGTTTCACATCCTCTGAGACAAGCTTTAAAATGCTACAATTCATTATGATTAGTATTGCAGTGGCAGCTTGGGCTATCATAAGAAAATACCGTAGATGAGGGGGCTTAAACAACAGAAATTCATTGCTCACAGTTCTGGAGGCTGCAAGTCCAAGATCGAAGTGCCAACGTATTCAGCTTCCGATGGCAGCTCTCTTCTGGGCTTGCAGACGGCCACTTTCTCTGTGTCCTCACATGGCCTTTCCTTGGCATGTGCACATGGAGAGATCTCTCTCTTCCTGTTCTTATAAGGCCACCAATCCTATTAGATTAGGACCCGCCCTTCTGACCTCATTTTACCTTAATTACCTCCAAAAAGCTCTACCTCCCAATAGTCACGGTGGTTAGGGCTTCGACATAGAACTGGGGGAGCCAGGGAGGGGACACAACTCAGTCCTGGCAGGTATTCTGCCTCCACCACCCCTGTTTTTTAAAAAGCTTTCTGAAATCTGTACAAGTCTTGAGCAGCATCTGCCACAGCCCACCTCTGTCCTAGGGCTTAGGGTATCAAGATGAGTTTGGTTGTCGTCAGGTTACTTCTGTAGATACGGCTAACGAAGGGATGCGTCCATGCTTCTAGGAGGGCAGCGTGACGAGATCCCAGAGAAGAGAGAGGAGAAGGTGAGCAAGTGTTCCAAGATGTGTTTAAATGCTCTTCAAGTAAGAGGTGATGCCATCCTCTCTGAAGTGGTGGGAGGTATGAAACCAGATGCCCAAGAAGGCTCCCCGAAGGACGGCATTTTTAGCCTAATTTTTGGTGGATGCTTCCACCATCTGGGTGGCATCCACTATGCTGTCTCCATATTTTATCAGAAGAGGCTGCCAGGCCTCAGAAGGACGCATGCAGGGCTGGTCTTTCAGAGACCATAGGCACTCATAGATCCACAGTTATCCACTCTTACCTAACCTCACAGGTTGTGGTACATTGTGCCTCCATCCCAACAAAGACAAGTAGCATCAGTGGCTGGAAACAGGTGCCAGCAGAAACCTAAAAACAGAGACAGCGGACACCCAGCGTTCTACAAGGACCCCCACCCAGCTCTTAGTGGTGGCAGCAGCCCTGCTCCCGGCCCCAGCTGGCGATGACCATCAGTTACTTCGTCTTCATTTCTTGCTGTTCAATCCAGGGGGCCCCGAAGGAAGTAACATGTGACTCAAGACACCGAAAATCTGTACCTCTCCAGGTCTACAGTTGAAAGTTCACTTCCGCCCAGGCTGTTGGAGCGTCAGTACACACTCAAATAAGGTTTGTTGGGTGCCGCTGGGTCCCTGGCATTGGTCAACAAGAAAGAGAGCCTCGTGCTGTCACAGCGTTTGCAGACCACTCGGAGAAGAGTGATGGTTAGTTTTAGGTGTCAAGTTGGCCAGGCTACAGCACCCAGGTCTTTAATCAAACGCTAATCCAGGTGTTGCTGTGACGGTATTTTGTAGATGTGGTCAACACCCACAATCCGCTGACTTTAAGTAAAAGAGATTTTACCCTTGAGAATGTGGATCGGCCCCATCCGATTAGTTAAAAGGCCTTAAGAGCAAAACTGAGTTTCCAGAGGAAGAAGGAAGTTGGCTCAAGACCAAAACATCAGCTCCTCACCAGGAGTCCCAGCCTGCTGTTCTACCATACTGACCAGCACTGGCCAGCTCCCACAGCTGCATAAGCCAATTCCTTGAAATAAATGCGTATGTGTGTGTGTGTCTGTGTGTGTGTGTCTGTGTACATGCACTAGGTAGGTAGATATAGATATGGAGAGAGAGTTTATTTCAAGGAATATATCCATAAGATGTAAATACAGACATAGATCTATAGATATAATTTACATTTATATCTCCTACTGGTCTGTTCCTCTGACTGGTACAAGGAGGCTCACACATACACAAGGCATTACTAGCCAGTGTCCTACGCGCTACGACTGGGGGAGCATCACATGCCGTACTTAACGGTGTGAGCCTAAGTCGGACTCTCCAGATCTGAATCTTAGAGCCATCATGCACTAGATGCACCATGACCTGGGGTCAGTTCTTATGTTCTGCAAGCCTCGGTTTCCTCACCTGTAAAATGGAGATAGCATCTTGCTCCTGAGGTTAATGCAAGGGGTCAAAGAGGTCACCTGCCTCGCCCAAGAACACGCCGCTAGGAAGCGTGAAGCCAGGACTTCAACTCAGGACTGTCTGCCACCAGTGCTCGCCCCCCTAACCCTCTGCCGTCACCTTCTCCTTGGGGATTACACTTCAGCTGTTTCTTCTTTAACAGACGCTCTGCCCAAAACAGCCCACATATGTTGTTACAACTTCAACTCTGTTCTGCAGAGATGCCTCTTAACTTCATAGCTTCTGCCCAATCCTCAGGAAGAATTCCATGCTTCCATTGCATTCTGGTACTTGGATGTGACCACTGGCTTCAAACCCAGCATATCTTAAATTCAAACTCATCATCTTTCCCTGCCACTGACCAGTCCTGGCTTCATCTCTCTCTAGTTGTATGACCCTGGGAAAGCTACCGACCCTCTAAGCCTCAGAGTCCCCATCTGTTCAATGGAGGGAGGGGGGTGGTGATATGAGGAAAGCAGACACATATCCTGTATGTAGTACCTATCTCGGGGTCTGGTACATTGTAAGCACTAAATATATGATTGCACTTAGTCATTCAGCATCTATTCATTCATCAGCACTGGTTTTAATTTATTCCACAGTAGGAAGCATGGACTTAGTCCTAACCCACTACTTGCAGGCTAATTTTCCAGGAAAACTATCATTTCCCACTAAATCGAGTAAATAAGATGCTACAGTATGGCTGTTTCCTTTCCATTTTATGTTGGTGTATTGCCATCTAGTGGACAATGCACAAGTTACAAGCAAAAGAAGAAAAGGGCGTGCAGACAAAGGCGATAATCCTACAAGAAATGTTTACCGTGAAGACTGGTCCATAGCATTGTTGGATTTCAACAACTATCTGAAAAACATAAATAACAAGATGTGCTCTGAATAGAAAATAAATTGTAAATGAACACTACAGTAAGTTACCAGCTTATAATATTACAATCTCTAACTTGTTCTAAGCAAAATAAAAAATAAAAGAATCAGCATTCTTTCCTGCAACTGACCACTTTTCTCCATTTGAATTCTCCATGCCGCATATTGGATGGGAATCTAAATCATAAGGAAGCCACTCAACCAGGAGTTAGACCTCCTGACTGCTCTACCTTTAACTAGCTAAGCAACTCTGTTTTCCTTTCTATGTTACCATTACGGAGTGCTTACCATATGCTTGGGACTATGCTGAATATTTTATATGGATTATCTCTTAATCATTAAATTATTAATAGTGAACCACTAGTAATAATGATTACTGAGTTTTTTATTTCTCTCTTCAATCCTCTGACCTTTTGCTTCATGCATTTTGGACCTCTGTTGTCAAGTGCATATGTTTATAATTGTTATGTCTTCCTGATGGATTGACCCTTTTATCAGTATGTAATGTCCTGTCGCTTGTAACAATTCTTTCTGTCTTAAAGTCTGTTTTGAATGTGTCATCTGACCTCATGGTTTCTGATGAGAAGCAAGCTTTTAATCTTATTGAGCATCCTTTATATGTGATGGATTGTTTTCTCTTGCTGCTTTCAATATTCTGTCACTGGCTTTTGACAATTCAACTATGATGTGCTTAGATGTGGATCTCTTTTGAATTTATCCTTAGAATTTGTTGCACTTCTTGAAAGTGCAGATTAATGTAGGGGTTGTTTTTTTTTTCCACGTCTTTCATGAAATTTGAGAAGTCTCCAGCCATTAATTCTTCAAATATTCTTTCTGCGTTTCTCTTGTGTCTTGGGACTCCCGTAACATATATGTTGATATGTTTGATGGTCCCACAGGTCCCTTTGGCTATATTCACTCTTCATTCTCCTTTCTTTCTGCTCCTCAAACTGCATTATTTCAATTGTCCTATTTTCAATTGTTCTCTTTCATCTGTTGGACTTCTCTAGTGAATTGTTCATGTCAGTTACCATACTTTTCAGTTCCAAAGGTTTCTATTTGCTTCCTTTCTATAAATTTTTCATCTCTTTACTGATATTTGCATTTTGTTCACAGCTCATTTTCCTACTTTCTTTTAGTTCTTTGCCCAAAGTCTCTCTTAGATCTGTGAACATATATGACAGCTGATTTAAAATCCGGGCTTCCTCAGGGAAGGTTTCTGTTGAATATTTTTTTCCTGTGTACGAGCCACTGTCTTGTTTCTTTGCATGTCTTGTAATTTTTTGTTGTTGTTGAAAACTGGACTATTTCAGTAATATAAGGTGGCGACTCTGGAAACCAGATTTGTGGCCCCTTCCCTTTAATGCTTATTGTGGTGGTGGCTGCAGGCTTTTTAGTGACTTTCCAGAACTAATTCTGTAAATCCGTACTCTTTGTCACGTGTAGCCACTGAAATCTCTACTCAGTTAAGCTCCATCTTCAGCTAACGATCGGGCGGATATTTCCTTAAGCACCTGAAATAACTCTTCTGCCTTTGGCTGAGGGGCTCATGTGTATTGGGGCACACCTTCAACACTCCGGAAGTTTACAACTCTACCTAAGCCTTTATTTCCTGTCTGTGCAGAGCCTCAAGACCATCAAGAGATGAGGGCCTTTTCGGGTCTTTCCTGGGCATGCAAATCCTGCACATGCACGAGACACATAGTCGGGTGCTCGCAAATATACATATAATTCCTGTATATGTGGCCACTACAAAGCAGACTAATGCAGCTGCAGTGGTTTTAACTTGCAATTCAAATGCCATGACCAACACTGACACGAAAACTGGTGACAGTTTTCAAACTGCTGAGACACTTTGTAAGGTACTGAAAGAGTACAACTTTCCTTCACTTGATAGTTGTGTTTTTGGATAAGTCAAGTGCTGCAAATCTGCAACAAAAAAGGACTTACAGTCTAAGCTCAGATAATTATTAATCAGTGTCAGTGCTCACCAGCTAGAGACCATGCGGAACAGAACTGTGGTTGAACCAAAGTGGGTTTATTAGCACTTTTCGCACAAGGGAGACCACACACCATGGGGTGTCTCAGTACAAGGGCGCTAGGACGGGCTTATCAGAGAATTTGGGCCTGTGTTAGGGGATTTCAAGCAGGGTTCCATGACCCCTAGTTTTACTCCAGATTGGGTGCTTTCAGAAGGCAAAGCAATTCTGAGTAGGTACCTTAGTAATTTTCATCTAGGTGGTAGGAAGAACAGAGTGGTCTAAGACCATACTCAGCAGAGCAGCAGCAGTCTCCACATAAGCCAGGAGAGGGGGTGTTTGTTCATGTTTTGTGGTTTGCACGGTATTCTTGTTTCTATGCTCCAACATGACTACAAAGCGTCCTCATTTTTCTCTTGCTGCCTCATGGTCACAGAGCAGCCTTGTCAGATGTTGGTGTCGTAGAGAATTACTCATGTTCAAAGAGAACACCAGAGCCTAGCTGTAAGGGCCAGGTCAGCCTCCAGCTGACAGCTGTCAGGGGTTGCTTTTCCTTTCTCTTTATAGCAGGACTGTCATGTACATAACTTTCATCATGGGGCACATGGAAGCTATAGAGATGTAGGACAATTTGGGGTTGTACAGGACTGTCCTATGCGCTACAAGCTCCAGGCATCCCTAGCCTCCACCCACTAAAATAACCAATCATCCTGCTAACCAATGATTAACACATTTACAAAAACACCCTCCCTTGGGGGTGGCACCACCTCAAGAGAACTCTTGAGGGTGTAGCTCTAAATATCCTAAATCCAACCCCCAAATCACATTAAAGTAAGAATATATACATAAGAGTACAGCAGCCTACACCCTCACAGAACTATTTCACCAAACAGTGCTTTAATGGCTTTGCATCAAAAGTTGGCTTTAAAAAGGCCGTCCAGATCCAAGGCTATTTATTTACTGTAGAAATGGTGCTGACAGCACCAGCCACAGCAGCAGCCGGTGCCCTCTACATAAAGCCCCCATGAGAAGTATGTGGTTGGCGCTGACAGTTTCCTACCCAATGTCCCTTTCTCCTTTCTCCCCTAACAAAACCTCACTTTTACTCAAGGCAGCCATGTGCCCACCTTCATAGCTGCTTTTCCAGACTTCCGTACACCTGGGTGGCACCACTTTGGCCAATGAGATGTAAGCAAGCAGAAGCAAAAGTCTACAGTGGTTTCTGAGAAAGCTTTTGCTTTTCTGCTAAAAGGGAACAGATAGGACGGGGACCTCCACTCTCCTTCCTTGCTTATAAACAGAGGAGTCATCTTCAGCTGTGACAGTCATCTTGTGACCCTGAGGCAATGAGCATGGGGACAAAAACCAGCTTTCTGAGGAACTGTTTAGTAACTGCATCAACACCAGCAGGTGCCCGCTTTTAGACTTCCTTTGTAGAGAAACACACAAACCCTTTTTTTGTTTAAGCCACTATTATTTGTGGAATTTCCTGTTACTTGCAGTTGAACAAATTACTAATAGAGAAAACAGTTAAACATCAGATAAGGAATAAGAAACGGAGGTTTATGTTAAGCCTTTAATGTTACAACCAAGTGGCGGAAAAAAAAAGTGCTCAAACTATATGAGGGGGAGGGGTTTGAGTTAAATCTTCATTTTTCTTAGCAGGAAGCCAACAGCTATTATAGCAAGTTGATAAGTCAAGAAACACTGTACAAACAATAAGCATTTTATTTAGTATGGAAGTAAATACCCCAAATACAAAACCTGCGGCAGTTGCAGATGTTTGCTTCTGGGGAGCAGAACTGAGAGTGGGGTAAGACTTGCATTTCTTTGTAGCCCTTCGGTTTTCTGACCATGACTGCTTTAATTATTATTTTGTAATTCATTGTAGCGGGGAAAAGTGATATATAAGACTACATTTTTTCTTGGCACTAAATTTAACTTCTTCAGGAAGGAAGGATTGCTCTTTTCCTTTTAGAATAACAATATTAAGGTTTTAAGGAATGCTTCCTGCTTCTCACAAGAATTTGATATTATTTCAACTTTACTTTTAATTGAAAAATGTATGTGACATATGATTTGAGAACGTGTTCCTCAAAACCAGGCAGACTTTGGTTTCACCTTCCCAGCAGCGGTGTGCAGCAAACAGTGGCTCAGGGGCTCAGGGGCTCCTTGGAAAATGGTAGTTAGGGCTGAGCGGGTGATTCCAGAACCTCCAAACCTGTTTCCTCTAGAGCAGCTCTGTTTTGCTCATTACAGATATTCAGCTTTGACACAAGACTTAGAAGAAAGAGCTCTACTAGTTTGAACATCACTGCAATGCCACAAAAGTTAGCACAGCTGAACCTGACCTGCAAACATACTCAGTTTGACTTCACATGTTTTTTTCTTTTAAAATTTAATTTACAAACATTAAAAGATCAGATTTCATATAAACATCCAGATTTTCCATTCCTCTTAAAAAACTGAAAACCCTAGCAACACAGGAACCACATTCCTGAGTGGCAACAAGTGGCTGGAAATGAGAAGCTCCTGTCCCTTTAGATGGAGGTGGACTCTCCTAGTTGAATTTTCACCTGGTCAACTTCACCTGTCTGTTCTGATTAGAATTGGTGATGCTGCACTAAGGGACCAGATTCCAATTTCTCTCCTTGCAAAAGTAAACAGCATGGAACAGTGGAGAAATTACTGAATTAGGACTTAAAAGTTCTCTGAGTATTACTTGTCAGGTGTGCACCTATATTCGTCAGAAGAGGCTATTACGTTGTGTTATGTTATGGAAACAAATTAACCAGGAAATCAAGTGACTTCACACACCAAAAGTTTATTGCTCACTTACGCCATTCGTCCAACAGGAGCAGGTGGGGGATTCTGCTCTACAAGCCACCCAGGGACCCAGCTGGCCGAGGCACCATCTCGAGCACCACTGGCTGCCACAGAAGGGAAGAAAGATTAGAGACTCTCACATCAGTTTCACCTTCCTCACCCAAAAGCGATGCAGGTCACCTTCACTCACATCACACAGGCCATAACTGATCTCATAGCTTCAGTTAATTAGGGAGCTGGTGGGAAGTACAGGAGAACAAAGGGAATACTGGGGGAGCATCACTGTCTCTACTACCTGCAATCGTCAGTAAATTATTTTACTTTTCTCTGTCTTAGCTATTCATCTGTAACATGAGGTTGTTCATGATCTCTCCTCCTTCTAGAGGTTACGGGGGAAAATCAAATAAGGTAATAGACATAAAAGAACTCTGAATGAGCTCTGAAGAGTTTTACAAATTTAAAGGACCACAGTACTGACACCATGGTGGACTTACTGTGCCATCACCTCCACACAACCACACACACCCTTGCCTATGTTTCAGAGTTGTGGGCCAAACAACAGGCACACTGGGGGCTCCAGAATGCAATGTTACTTTCATTTTAATTGCACCATTCAGTCAGTTTACCTGTGCTCAAGGCTGACCAGGGAAGATAAAAAAGAAAGCAACACCTGCCACCCTCGGTCTCTTCAAGCAGTTTTCCCGTCTTGAAACGATTATGTGTGGCAGATTTTACTTTCCAAAGATGGCTGCTTTGTCCCCTCCCCGTGAACTCAGGGGGACCTTAGTGGCTGCTTCAACCAGAGTATGGCAGAAGTGACACTATGTGAACCCCGAGACTAGTCATAAAAACGTCACACACTTCTCTGGCTCCCTGGGGAAGCCTGCCTTAGACCCCAGCTGCCAGGCTGTGAAGAAGCCCAGATGAGCCTCCACAGAGAGACGACCCAGAGGTCACAAATGTGGGTGTTCCAACCAGCAACCTGGCTGAGGTTCAGCTGACAGCCACCATCAATCTCCAGACCCGTGAAGATGCCCCCAGATGTTTCCTGCCTCCTGGCCAATGTGCAAAACCCAGCCTTCAAATCTCTCAGCCAAGCCCCAGACTGTGCAGCAGAGGGGAGCTGTCCCCACTGAGCTCCACCCAAATTCCTGACCCACAGCTTGTGTAAGCATAAGAAAATGACTGCTTTACACTGCTAAGTTTTGGGGTGAATTTTTACGCAGCAACAGCATCTGGAACAGCTGGACTTGTTAGAATCTATAATATTAGCTTAATTAACTCACAGAAAAGAGCAAATATGTATTTGATGAACTATTACATCTCAAATACTATACTAATGGAAACAATTGTGGGGGTTGCTGAAAATATACTGTATTGATAAGAATTCACTTAGGCTGTAGTAACAGAAAAACCAAAGCAATAACACTTAAACAAGACAGAAGTTTGTTTCTCGCTTAAAAGTTCAGACAGGCAGTTCAGGGCTGCTGGCCCCATCAGAGGGAACTCAGTCTCTACCTTATTTCTCTGCTGTTCTCAGAAATAAGGCTTCCACCCCATCGTCCATGACAGCTGTTCAAGCGCCATCTATTCTGTCTACATTTCAGCTAAGAGGGGTGAAAAGGGGAGGGGACGCACATGCCGACCTTCTAAGAATACTTCCTGGAAGCGTAGCCAAGGTGCAGCAAGAAAATCTGGGAAAAACTGTCTTTGTTGCCATGTCCTGGCTAATAAGCGGGAAATGAATAGAAGGGAAAAATGAATATTGGGGGATAAACAGTAGGTCTTGCCACGTACATATTCCAAAATTCAATTCATATTTGGTTTAGGATTGCAGCCTGAAATAACAATAGTTACCTCAAGAGCAACCCCCCCATGAGACTCTCAGCTCTACAGACTGACACCAGATCTTTCAGGTTAAATAAAAACATTTATGCAGCATCCACTTTCCTCACCAGACAAGTATAAATAAAATGGGAAACAAGCACTTACCAAATTAATGACTTAGTAAATTAATGATTCGTACGAAAGGAAAGGACATTTAGAGACAAATATTTCCTCTAAAATCAGTAATATGTCCTGATGGGTCTTCCTGTAATCAGTGTCTCCTTGGGCAAGTCAGTCAATAACCTGAAGTCCTGTTTCGTCACCTATAAACCGGCATCACACATAACAGGCTTGTCGTGAGGATCAAATGAGATTACGAGTGTCAAAGTGCTTTGTAAGCAGTAGAGTTTTATACAAATATAAAGTTATGCACCTTCAAAGCTATCACACCAATAAGATACATTCAATTAAACAAAACATCTTCAAAAAATTTTTAACAATGTATAACTACAATCACAAAATAATCTATCTGCCAATTAAAAGAAAATTTACAGCGCCTACAACAGAGTTTACAGATGCCTGCAATAGTTTGCGGATTGTTACATACATTGTTTTAAGAAATACCATTAATACAAATACATGATTTACAATATCCCCATTATAGCAAGAAAAAAATAGATTCGTAAAATAAAACGTCTTTTAGGCATTTACAATGCCAAGTATTGAAATGATTATTCTCACTATGACATGAGAATAATACTCTTTTAGTGGTAAAAGATAGATTTCATTAGGCCAAGGACCACTGAAGAGCTTCTGGAAGGTTCCAAAGTAAAATCTGGCTATCTTTCCCCAAAAATAAATAGAACAGCAGCAATGCCTACGTATCCCATGAACATAAACTATGAAAATTCCTTTTATATTAACTGGGCCTTAAGTACGTGACTCATTACAAATAAAAATAAACAAAATTTTAGAAACTAGTTAACACCAATAGCCCAAATTTGGTTTTTACCTGCCTGTAAACGCCTAGGATAAGAAGTTTCATCATGAAGTATATATTAAGTGTAAAATTAACAATTATTTCTAACTCTATATATAAGCCAAAGTGCTCACTCTTACCATGGAAGCAAAACCTAAAATAATCTACAGAAATAGTATGTAAACACAGAGAGTTTTGAGATAGACTAGGAACATCCTTCTTGTTCTGTGGATCAAAATGCAAAGGTCTCCATTCCATATGGGCATGAACACAAACACTTTTGTTAATTTAAGACACATGGATCTTACACGACTATGTGCATACACATATGTACACCATGAACCAAATGTTAACAATGTTTCTAGCTACACCACACCTTCAAGCCCCACATCCTAGAAAGTAAAAACTTAATATGAAAACTACTTTTCCTTTTTTTTTTTTAAAGTAAACTTTAAAATGGAAAAACAAACCCAACACTCCTCTTTGCAATAGGTACTGAGTTCTAAAGGTTCAGAGTCAAGATCCCCTTCAGTTGTTCCCAATGGAAACTCCCTCACTCTCTTCAGGAGGTCTGATCGTCTCCAGTGGTCTGCAAAAGAGAAACAACTCCTTAACACTAAAAGCTATTTTACTTGCAAAAGAGAAACAACTCCTTAACACTCAAAGCTATTTTACTTAACATACCAGATTTAAAGCACTAGGAAAACATTTTGTAATTGCCAGCACAGCCAGCTACTACATTACCTGGCACCCCATGGCCCAATTACATTAAAAATTACTGTCATGCTAGAGAAGTACAGCAATGGGTCCACCCAGATGTCCAGCAAGTCACTCGCATTTGAGCAGAGCATCACCAAGTGCCATGTAAGTCTACTGACCCTGTCCATGTATGTCAGCTCAAGGTTCAATTTCACCTGAATGCTGGTAATCGTAAGGGAAAAAAAACCTATTAAGCACACACTTGACAATTACCATGAGGTGGACCTTACCCCGCAAAGGTATACTGGGACTCTGCAAAAACCCTCAGGAGGAGAGTCATGTCCCTACCAGAATCCTCATTTTCCCTACTTCTTAACTTTTATATAAGAGAAACTGTACAGGAAACGGCACTGGATTTCAAGAGAGCTGGCTTAAGCCCTAGCTTTGCACCACTTTGTTTCTGTATGTTCCTGAGAAGTCACTTAGCCTCTCAGGGCTTTAGTCACAAATGTAATCCTTGAACCAGCAACATCAGTACCACCTGGGAACCTGCAAACGTGCAACCTATGAGACCCAGTCCCAGGGCAACTAAATAAGAAACTTTGGGGGTAGGACCCCACAATCTGTGCTCTAGCCCTCCAGGAGATTCTGATGCATGTCCAAGGTTGAGAACCCGTAAGTGTCCTGTATAACGTTACCTGCCCAACCAACTGCATGAACACAAACACGAGACATCACTCATACAAAGACCTAATCAATTTCCCAAAGGTTTTACCAATTACTATTTACCTATGAATACCACTTACCCCATGGAAAACTACGATTTAAATCTTCATATCGGGGAACTATAGTAAAACCTATACATTCTTCAAAAACAAACTGAGTACTTTAAAACAATCTTTAACGATACGGTCTTATTATGTTTCTAACTTGTTCTTACTATAAAGCCTAAAACCATACAATATATTGATACATTCTTCAAAACTGTTCATTTAGAGCCACCGGAAGTAATGGAAAGCAACTGAACTTCACCTAATTAAAAAAAAGAAGTTATTATCAATGAACATTTATCCCTCTGGTTTTAAAACAATTTCAGGATATCGACAATACATTTCTGGAATGCCCTAAAAGCCTCCAAAGAGAAATTAAAATAACTTTAGCATCATCATGTCGTATTTAAATAAGTATGTCCCTTTAAAAAACCTTTTTTTAAAGTACTTCATAGAAATTAAACTCTGCAAGAGTTAGAAATCTTCATTACATTAGTCACTGACCACATCCAAATTACCCTGACATCCAGAAAACACTTACTTGTCTTAAAAACTGCTTTCCAAGGTACGACGTAGCCATGCTGGTTAAATTCTTCCTGCTGCCCACTTTGCACCTGATGTAGCCATACAAGTTGGCCCCTTGCAGCACCACACCCATGATAACCACCGCCTGGGAGAGGGGAATAACCAACAGTTACGGGCTTGACACTGACTGACCGTCTCTCTGCCATAAACAAAACGCGGAGACTGTCTCGGGAAAGAGCAGGAAGTGGAAGCTCTGTGAAGGGGGGCTGTGGCCGTGAGGCTCCCGTGCGCCCTCCCTCCCAGAGCAGACCCGTCCAATATGCGCTCTGCACCACCCAACAAGCACCCATCAACACACATGCTCTGTGCCAGCTCCGGGGGTGCAGTAGGGGGATCATTCATTCTCTAATATTTTCCATGGTTCTGTGAGTAAAGATATAAAAAAAGTAAATGAGACTCAGAAGGGGCTCAAATGTTAACTGTTTCCTTAAGAATGGTCAAGAGATAGATCAAGTTCAACACACTGAAAGCACACAGAGCTGAGTCTCTGCTCTATGCTACTGTGTGGGCAACAACTGGCTTCTAAGAAAGCAAACCAGTGCCTCAAGCAACAGGGGTTTGCCTTCTGTGACAAGGAGATGGGGGAAGGGCGCAGAGGGGGACACAGCACTAGGAAGAAATGCACTTCAGCAGAGTTGTTTCTTCCTTGTGGCCACAATCCTATAGGTGACCCCACTAAGACCGCTAAGGATTGAGAAAAAGAAACGCAAGCCTACTATTTAAATATTATTAAAGAAAAGTTAATTAGAACAACATGAGGGGATCCCACGGTTAAATATTCTACAAAGCTTTTCTGTAAAGGGCCAGATAATAAATATTTTAGGCTCTGCAGGCCATATGGTCTCTTGCAAATACTCAACTCTGCCATTCTAGCCCCAGAGCAGCCACAGGCAATATGTAAACAAACAGGCAAGGCTGTGTTCCAACACAAATTTACAAAAACAGGCGTAAGGCCAGATTTGGCCTGCAGGCCAGTTTGCCAAGCCCTGTTCTAGAATAAGCAAATGGTCTGAGTAGGCAGGAGGACCAACGGTCATCAAGCCCATCACCACAGAGAACAGTGGGTGGGGAAGCTTGAGGGACATGATGCCCCCTTCCTGCCCTGTGGTCTTAAAACAGGAGCCCAAACCACCTTTCACCCCCCTCTCCCTGCTCTGCTTTAGGGAAGGGGAAACACTGCCAGAGAAAGACTGGGCTGCCTCCCCAGAGAGAGGTGAAGGCTCCAAGGGCTCACCAACGATCTAAAGCAGGAGGGCAAAGCACAACAGAGCAACAAGAACTCCACTATGTAAGGGAAGGAACCGGAGCAAGCCAGCCGAGGCAGCCGGTGGCAGGGCTGCGGTCCCCTCCTCACACCTGCGCCTTCAGGCGGCCAAACCGCAGCTCACAGCAGAGCCCAGATGTCTCAGACAACAAGGAAGGCAGGCAAGGAGAACTCACCCACACGAAACCAACATAAAGAGAAGGTCTGGACAGAGCCGCCACTGCAAACAGGAGCAAAATGGGGAGGGGAACAGGGAAAGGCAGCTACGCAGAACCACAGCAAAAAACAAAAAGAGGAAAGAAACACAGTATGCAAAAGGCAGACGAAGAATCGATTCTAAAAAGAAATAGAGTCCACCAAAATAAAAGCATTCCTGAAGCATACATCACCCTACAGAAGAACCTAAAGACAAGAATTCAAAGAGAATGAAGGTAAGACAAGACACCAGAAGGAGCTGAAAACGGAGCTGGCAGAGCTCAGGAAACGCAGAGAAGCCCTTGCTAAAGCAGCCCACTCTGCTCTCCCTGGCACTCTCCATCCACTCCGTTACCGTGTGTCACCTTTCTAACAACCCTTATTTACTGTCTGTCTACACTCTGCTCCACTAGAAAGTGGTGCTATCGGAGCAGTCATCTTGTTTATCAGGCCCTTAATCATATCCCCAGTGCCCAAGACAGCTCTGGTGCATGGCAGACTCTTTTAAGATGTGCTGAGTGAAGAACCAGAAAGGAAAAGATGAGAGACGAAAGCATTTAAGATGGTAGATGAGAACAGATAAAAATGATCCAACACAGAGGTAACTGGTACCTCAGAATCAGAGACACCAAAAACACAGAACATAAATAAATGTAAAGACAACAGAAGATAATTTTCCTGATTCAAAGCAAAACCTGTGCTTGCATATTAGAGGGGCACAGTTTCCAGAAAAAGCAATACAGAAAGATAAACACAATCTGGTTCTGTATGCTATTTTAAAACTTCAAGAATGATTAACAAAAACTATTTGTCCAGGGAGAAAAATAATTCACTCCCTTACATGGAGGTTAAGTAAACCAGGCCTCAGATTTCTCTACAATATTCAATATTAGAAAATGAGGAAGTAATGTCTTCTAAATGGTGAGAGAAAAAAGTTGTGACCCAAGAATATTAACTTAGCCAATTCTTTATTCAAGAATAAAGAATCTTTTTTCAAGAATGAAGAAATAAAGAATTTATTCAAGCATAAAGAGTTTATTCAGAAAGAAAAAAGAAAAGTTTATTCAAGAATAAAGTCAACAGGCTCATATTCTTAAACATGACAGAGCCAAAGGAAAATAACACCCACAAGTTTTTTGAAAAAAATCACCCCAACAATGAAATTCAGCCAACCAAGAGGTAAAGGAGAAGCTGCAATAAAAGGACTGAATCAATTTATTTAAAAGTAGATCAAAGACTGAACAACCAGTAACAAATATCGTTTCGAAAGGTAATTGTTATAAACCTTGACAACAAAAATAATACTGGAACAAACAAAGCTCAGGCATAGAAAGGGAAGAAACAAAGGAGGGAATATAAGAGTGTTTATTTCATTCCCTTTCTAAACAGTCTCTAAGTCAATAAACAGGAGTAAGTATATTACTTAAAATAACTAAAGTAAGACTACAACCAACAAAAATCCAGAAGTGGAAGGAGGGAGGAAAGGTGGGAGAAGGCATGAATGTTAACTTTACATCTTTCACAGCAGGAAATCAAGACATTAAATACATTTCTTAATTCATGAAAGAGGGTATGATACATGAAATACATGAAAGAGTGTTATGTGATACAGATAACTACTAGAAAAACTAAAAACAGAAAATAAACCTTCCAAATCTCAAAAGGGAAAGTATTTATGTATGTGTATGCACAAAGGAAAAGAGAACCTATACAGCGAACTAGACAAGGAAATATTAAAAACAGGGGAAAAAAACACAATTAAGGCCAAAATACATCTGATACCAATATGTATTAAGTGAGATAAAATCAATTATTAAAAGAGTAAGACACACAGTTTGGGCTAAGTGACAGATTATATTTTCCAAACATGGTGGCAATTGTATCTCCACATGCTCTTCTAGAATCTTCTTACTCCCCCATCAAGCTGTAGAGCCTAATTTCCATTCTCCTGAATGTGGACGGGTGCCAAAAGTGATGCTGTGACTTCTGAGGCTAGGTGGTTGTCATGGGCTGAACTTTGTTCCCCCAAAATGTGTATGTTTAATGTATATAATCCCAGGACCCCAGAATGTGACTGTATTTGGAAACAGGGTCTTTAAAGAATTAAGGAAAAATAAGGTCACTAGGGTGGGCCCTAATCCAATATGATAGGTGCCCTTATAAGTAGAGGAGATTAGGACACAGACGTGTACAGAGGGAAGACCACATGAAGACACTGGGAGAAGACAGTCAACTAGCCAAAGAGACAGACCTCCAGAATTGGGAGAAAATAAATTTCTGTTGTTTAAGCCACCCAGTCCGTGATACTTTGTTATGGCAGCCCTAGAAAACTAATACAGTTGTACAAGGTAATACAGCTTGTGAGCTAAAATACTCTCAACTGGAGCTGTGACCCTCCAAGTAAGCTGTGACCCTCCAAGTAAGCTGTGACCCTCCAAGTCTAACTGCCATGAGGCCACCAGACTGTAATGAAGCCCCAACCAGCAATGTAGAAAGACCGTGTTGAGAGGCCATGGGACCCCATAAAGAGGAGAAGCCTCAGCAGCCCCCAGCCACTGTCTGACCACAAGTACAAAAGATCCCAAGCCAGAACTTTCCAGACAAGCCCGTCCTAAACTTCTGAACCAGTGAAACTGCGAGAGATCATAAAATGACTGTTGCAGTAAATAACCAGAACAGGTTACCACCAGTATTTTCAGAAAAGACCACTCTGTTAGTTCCAAACCAAGCTAAGCACGTGTGGAGTATACTGACCATCCCCGACTGACAAGATTATGTGATACACGTGGTAATCACTGAACAAGATGGGCTAAATCAAATTCTGCTCAGCACTTGGAGAACTGGTGAGATGGAGTCTTTCACAGGACTCTGCTCTCTGTACTTAGAGAAGAGCAGAGTTGAGAAACCAAACTTGGGAAATACATGATGAAGCTGCCTATTCAAGGGGGGGGGGGGGGTCCCTGATGTTAACACAGGTGCTGCTTATTATGACTGTCCACCAGCCACCTTAGCGGGTTACTGACAGCTCCACACTGATACTCACCAACCACTTCACTCTGAAGGAGAAGAGGGCACTAAAGGCAAATATCACCCACAGCACCGGACAGGCAATGAGTCCTAACCAGAAGATTCTTGATTCAGCCTCTGAAACAGTTTTACTGTCTTGAGGAGAGGCCTACAAAAGAACATGAAGTTAATAACCAATGTTCTGTGGTATTTATCAGCAAAAAGTTTAACATTTTTAATGAAAAACCCCTTACCCTCAAATTCAAATAAATTAATACAGACAACCCAAGTCCCAAGTTAGAACTCCTACCCCCCGCCCCACAATCTCCCTCAAGCAAAACAGTAGATCTACCACTACTGTAATTTTTGGAACTGGTCTTAACATACTTTGTTTTAAATCGAGAATGTTTCATTTTCAGGGCAGAGTGGACAGTTGTCATCACCCAAGACAGTAAGGGTGGCCTCTGATAGGCTTCTAGTCAATCCTTCTTGCACTTATACTGATTATTCATAAGCAAGCTTTGAAAGATGCCTTCTTAGGTGAGGATTCAGGAAATCAAGGCTATGGTCATCCTGGAGACTAAAAGGTCCATCAGGGTCCACAGGAAGAAATGCAGTCAAGGGATTCCGGACAATGACCAGAATGTCTCAGCAACACCCAGGAATTTAAAAGGGCGCTGAGTGGTTTCCAAGGTAGATTTTATAATATAAAGGACTATGGGCTCACTGAGCACAATGCTGCTTTCTGAGGAGTCCTAGTCAGGGGCCCTAACAAGCAGAGGCAAGCAATTTAATTGGTGCTGTCTCCAGGAGTTTTGTCCTCTGGCTCCCAAACTGATTTCCACTACAGATAAGCAGGCTAACCCAAAACAGAGCAAGGTCCCCTAGGGCTTCTGAAGGCACAGCCTGAAGAACTGACCGCTCTCTGCTTAACTCAGATTTTCTATCCAGATGCAAACTTCCTCTTTCTTCCTCCTGAGTACGAATGGAGGAGGACCCCGGGGGCAAGGACAGAGGGAGCCACTGGAGGGAGCTACACTAGGCAAGGCACACAGGGACCCCAAACAGAGACCCTTCAGCAGCAGCCCCTGGGAGGCAGCTAAGCACGCGGCATAAACCCTGAGCCCAAGCCCTCTCAGGGTTCTTTCCTGGACACGCCCTGTTTCCAGTCGGAACTAAAGAGAAACGCAAGGCAAGTTTAGAAGGTCATCTGGCTCTGTGCTATACCATGCCAAGCGACCTGGGGCGGTCCCTTATGTGTAGATGCATCTGAAGTGTTTAGGTAATTGACCCTTAAATACTCAAATGTATCTACACGTAATTTTTTTTTTTTTTTTTCGGTACGCGGGCCTCTCACTGTTGTGGCCTCTCCCGTTGCGGAGCACGGGCTCCGGACGCGCAGGATCAGCGGCCATGGCTCATGGGCCCAGCCGCTCCGCGTCATGTGGGATCTTCCCGGACCAGGGTACAAACCCATGTCCCCTGCATCGGCAGTCGACTCTCAACCACTGCACCACCAGGGAAGCCCTACACATAATTTTTTGAATGACGCTCAAAAAAAACCACAAAAAACAAAACAAAGGCAGTTTACCTTCCTGGACTCAAACACCCAATGGCTTTTTCCATCTTCATCAATATGATTCCACCAGCGCAGGCCAACCATTAGTCTACCTGTGACATTCTGGTAAAGATTAATATATGCACACACATTTTAAAAACATTATTTACAGGTCTACCATAACATCGTATCTTAGTGTAACAGTTCACAAACAAGAAATCATCAGCTTTCCCGCCATAATATCCAGTTAAAGACCACTACGTACCAGGCCTGGACAAAAGAGTAAATAAAATGCCATGGCAGGCCCCACAGGGGCAGAGGTGACAGGGTCAGCACACCCATAAACATTACCCTTCTTTTCCCTAGCGAACTCTTGTCCTTTCTCCAGTTCCCTAATGTGTTTCTAAACCCCTTGATCTTTAGCTTCTGGGACCTACTTTTTCCTATATATCCTGACCACAGCTACCTATACTTTATAACTATGTATCTCTAAAAAAGGTTATGGACTGAATACTGTGTCCCCCCCAAATCCATGGGTTGAAACTCTGCCCCCACCCCATCACCAAGTGATGGTATCAAGAGGGGGCCTCTGGGAGGTGATTAGGATTAGATGAGGCCATGGGGGCGGAGCCTTTGTGAATGGGATTAGTGTCCTCATAAGAGTCAAGAGACAGCTTTCACCCTCTCTCTGCTCTCAGTCATGTGAGGATACAACGAGACATCAGCAGTCTGGAACCCGAGGAGGGCCCTCACCAGAGGTCGACCATGCTGGCACCCTGACCTTGGATTTCCAGCCTCCAGGACTTGGAAAAACAAATTCCTATCGTTCGTAAGCCACCCAGTCTCTGGTATTCTGTACAGCAGCCCAAACGAAGACTATGGTTATAGGCACTGACCTTCATTCAGTACTTGAAATGCACCAAGCTCTTTCCCTCTTACCAATGAACAAATTGCTTTGATAGCTTTCCTAACATGATGAAAGGAATACAGAAGAGAAGAAGAGGAGGAGCCTTAGAGACCAAACTTCGTTTTGTAGAAACGCTACCAATCAAAGGCTAAGCAAAAGAGAAGAGCTGGCAAAGAAGACCGAGAACAGCCAGAGGTCTATTTTAGTGGCCCTTTCAAATAACAGCTCTTCGAATAGTCTCAAACTCCTCCATTTTCCCATTTTCCAATTCTTTACTTTGTTTTTGTCATTTTAGTTTATTTTCCGAATTTCTCTCAAGCTTATTATTTTTGTTTTTGGAACTTCTAGACCTCTAATAAAAGCCTTTTGTCTATTGTTTTTCCTCTGAATTCAGCTTTAGACACATTTCAAAAGTTTGAATGTAGATGTTCATTATCATTAAGGTATAAATAATCTATATTTACAGTTTTTACTTCCTTTTTACGCCAAGATATTTAACAGAATGGCTCTTTTTAAAAATCCCAATTTTGACAACCATTTTTTTTTTTATTAGTCTCCAGTTCTGTTGTACTGGACTAGAAAATGTAGCTGCTTTGGGCAATTTCTTTGGATTTTCTTCATAGTGATATTTAGTCAGCTTTTGTAAATGTTCCACAGGAACTGAACAAGAAGGTATTATGCCTCTACATACAGAGTTCCAAATACTGCTATGAACGTGACCTTGTTATTTCATTCAGATCCTTCAAATCTTATGTATTTTTTGTTGCTCTGATCTGCAAAGACAATGGTTTGTTAGACTTCTATCACAACAGTGTTCCTCCATCTTCTCTAGTGTTTCTAGTAGTTTTTCACTATAGTTTGATGTGATGTCATTCTGTGAATGATCCTCACTGTGGCTCATCAACTGACCTTTCTTGTTCCACTGAATGCTGTCTTACTCTCAATTTCTGCTTTGTCTGATAATAATATAACGTCAAGTTTCTTTTTGTTTGAATTGGTCTTATGTTATCTTTGCCTTCTTTTACTTTTTCTAATGTTACAATTATAGTTAGATCTTTTGGGTTGGACTTTGATTTTTGACCAAATCTAATTTTTATCTTTAAAAAGAGGGTTTAATTAAATTACATCTACAGCTGTAACTAATGTGCTACTGCTCCCATCCCCTTGCACTCTGCCCTATGATATTTCAGGTTCCTGGACGCTTGCTTTGTTCTCCTTCTCTTGATGTTTTAGTTGCTCCTGTCTTCTCCAATGTTTTGGAAGACACACAGTGTTTTAAATTTTACTAAAAGTTACCATAAAAATTTGAAAACAACTATTCTTTTTTTACTATATTTCTCAAAATAAAGAATAAGACAAAAGCCCCATATAGGTTATAACATTTAAGTTCTTTTCATTTTTTAAATAACTTTATCTTATTTATCTCTTTTTTTTAATAATTATCTCTTCTTTTGACAACTGCCTTGAGATTTACAACTACGACACACTGCTTTTCTAACTACACTCAGAACCCTGCACACCCCCTTCCCCGAGTCCATTTAATAATTTCCCCATTCTTGACTTCTTAATTTCGTATCTCAATTGTCTGCATATCTGTAAGTAATGCTGCCACAGATGAAAGAGTATTTTTAAAGCCCTTGTTTTAAAAAAAAAAATGTTATCAGAAAATATACTTTCTGGCCACATTTTTTTTTTTTTTTTTTTAATTTGGTCATGCTGCGGCTTGCATCCCGGTATCTCAGTTCCCTGACCAGGGACTGAACCCAGGCTATGGAGTGAAAGCCCGGAATCCTAACCATTAGGCCACCAGGGAACTCCCTCTGGCCACATTTTTTAAAGCTCTAAACCCACAAGGATCTAATTATATAATTTTTGGAAATTAGCAGGAAGAACTGACTGAAGGTGGTGTTCTATTTGGCTAAGCAGAAATTACATGAACAACAAAAAGAAATGTTCCTCAAAACAAAACTGTGACCTGGATACAGTAAACACTTTAGAGCACAAAGCAACAGAAGAAATTCAAAGAAATACAAGGCAAAGAAGACTGTACAAAAGAAAAGACTACAGGAAACAGACCTTTGTAATCTTTACTCTCAGCATTTTGTGGCCTACGGAAACTGGCCACCACCAAGCCAACCACTTCTGATATCTGTAACAATCAAAAGATCTAAAAATGGCTGCGTTGGTGGACATGAGCAGACCTGTAACATCTTACTGGTTTTTGAATCAATATACATACCTCAAATTCCAAAAGTAGCTTTTGCCTTTTTCTTTTTTGCCTTCAATTTTTCCCCCTACCATTTTATTATGAAAATTTCCAAACACACAGAAAAGTCAAGTTTTACAGTGAATACTCATACACCTATCACCTAGTGTCTACATTTAATATTTTACCATAGTTACTTTATCACATGCCCCTCTATCTATATACCTATCTCTCCATCCATCCATCCCTCTACCTACCACCGCCTCTGAGTTTGAACCATTTCTTACACTCTTTTCTACCCCTACGACAGGATCCCTCAGCCTCAGCACTATCCACATTTTGGGCCGGGTGATTCCCTGATGTGGGGGGGCTGCCCCGTGTGTGCACCTTAAGATACTTAGCAGCATCCCTGGCCTCTACCCGTGTGACACCAATAGCACACTTCCCCCACCCCCAGTTGTGACAACCAAAGATGTCTTCAGATACTGACAAACTAACGTCCCCCTGGAGGGCAAAACTGGCCCTGGCTGAGAAACACTGCCCTCAAGCTCAAATAGGAGCCTTTGTAATGGTCGGTACTTGTAATGGTGGACAAACTACCCTGGGGTCTTATCTAGAAATCATACGCGGCATAGCCGGAGGTGACCCTGAAGCAAAACCAGTGGTGAGGATTAGAAGCAATATGTGTAGTCTGCAGCTGCTGGTCACTTTTTTATTTGTTTAACTTTAAAGCTGACATAGGTTAACGTAAAGCACAGACAAGTCAGTAAACCTACACGTGATCTGCCACAACTGGCACTTTGACACCGGTGAGGCCTAAGATAACAAAAAGATAAATTAACACCAATCGGAAATGCTAAGTGTCATTTTTTTTTTTTTTTTTACTGTTTACACGTCATTCAATCTCATCATATAAATACGATTTTAAAATAAAAACATTCAAACCTACCTTGACTGCCCAAAAGTCACATGACAACAACAAGATAATTGTCACCATACAGGCAATAAAGCTGCTGCTGAACAATTCACAGAGAAGATAGACTATAATTGCACTGACTCGAAAGAATAAATGGAAAAATGATGCCACTGGGTGTCTGAAAACCAAAACATAATAAAAGATATGCAATTACATTTACAACAGGTACTGTAGATGTAGATGAAAATGTTTCAGCCAAAGCAGAACCATGCAGAGTCTTGCCAAAATAAAAGATGACTTGAGGAAGAAGCAAACCGCCTACCTCTCTTTTTTCATAAGTCCCATTATTTGACTAGGCCCTGCTGTCACAGAAAATACACTATGTAAACGTGACTTTAACACCTCATTGATTATATACTTTCACAAAATATATAACAAGAAACTTTACCAAGCTTAGAGGAATTAGGAAACTACACTCTTAGGACTGACTCCTATTTTCACATGTCTAAATGTCATGCCCTAAGAATTTCTAGGCCCTCAGAAATCACTTCAGGCGTTAAGACAAAGTGACCACCAGGCATAGTTGCCGTTTTATCAGCAGCTTCGTTGTGATATAATCCACACGCCACACAATTCCCCTATTTAAAGGGTATAATTCAGTGATTTTTGGTATATTCACAGAATTGTGCAATTATCACACAATCAATTTTAGAACTTTTTCATGACCCCAAACATAAAGCCTATACCCATGGGCAGTCACCCCCCCATTGACCCCAATCCCACCCCTCTCCAGTCCTAGGCAACCACTAATGTACTTCTTGTCCCTATAGATTTGCCTATTCTGGACATTTCACATAAACAAAATCATATAATACGTGGTCTTTTGTGACGGGCATCTCTCACTTAGAGATGTTCTCAAGGTTCAGGTAGAATTTGATTTCATCAAGTGAATTTCTTTAGCAATAACTAAGTTTGGAATAGAAAGATATTTGGCTTGATATTCTCACATTAGTTGATACAAAAGACACAATTCTGAAATTTGCATAATAAATCAAAATGTAATATATCTACAGAAACTATCTAAAGAAATGGTGCATTCTTGGTACAAAAGTCAGAATTAAAAACACCAGTGTTCAAAAAATTGGATTTGCAGATTTGAAAACTCAGTATTGAGTAAAATGCCATATGTCAATTATTCCCAGGGAAAACGTGAGATGTCACCTCATCTCAGACTAAAGAGCAAAGCAGCAATACACAATATTCACCAGCACATCACAACCACTCTGCCCCGAACCCCGTCGCTGGCACCAGGCGATGGACAGAACAGCACCAGACACTAACCCGAGTCTTGTAACTTATCGTCGTACCTGATTTTGGATTTTTTTGGTCTACTAGTTGTCTCCTCTTCTGCATCAAACAGTGAAACATCTTCAATGTCATCATTACTGTCCTGATAGGAAAAGCAAATATTCATGAAGCAGAATGAAACTCCGTATTGCATGCCTACTACACGCAAGGCAGCACACAAGTCAATATGAAAGATGACGGCAGGATGCCGTCACGGCCACCTGGAACTCACAGCCTAGGGAAGGGGCGAGGTCAGTTCCCTCCCCCAACCCTGATCACCTGGCCAAACCCCACGTGGCAACCCAAGCACCTGCTGTCTCCATCCCACCCAAGAAGCTGCCAAGCGCAAACTCAATGCAGCCACCCTCAGGCGGCTCTCAGAGAAGGCTGAGGCTGCCGAGATAAACTCACTGTCTCTGGCTCCTCCACAAAATCATCTGACTGCAGCCCTGTTTTCCTGACCCCTTCTCACAACTCTGTCCCTTTTTCTCCAAGGCTAAACCAGCTACTTGTAGTCAGAATCCCTTCTCTTCCTGCCTCCTTGGGGGCGTGTTCCATCACTCTTCCCCTTTATTTACAGTTTCCTGTATCTTCAGGTCTTTCTGGTGGATCTTTCTCATCAGCATACAAGCTTCTTCAGGTGTCCTTTACAGCGTGAAGAGATGTTTTAAAGTCCTGATGCTGAATCTCCCTTCTGTCCTCTACTTCCCTCCCCTCCTCAACCTCAGGTCTCTAAGTGGTTCGCACCTCAGCTCACTGCAACTCACCTGCAGCCTCAGTCATGCTTCACACCTTCACAGTGCCAGCCCCTCCCCACTCACCTGCCATCTCTGGTCTCACCCCCGCTCTACTCCAGCCCCTCATTACCCGGAGTATCTCCCTAAATGGAGAGCATACCATGTCACCCCCCTGCCCAAACTGTTCAGTGGCGCCCCTCCCTGTACAGGATAAGACTTAAATCCCTCAGGCACAGCAAACCAGAGCTCGCGGCAGCTCAGGACCTGATCCCGTGCCCACCTCCCGACAACGCCCCCTCCCACTGAGCACTGCAGCAACGCTGTTACTACCTGCTCTGGGAAAACACTTCGGGTCCTCCCACCTTTCTGCCCTTCATGTTTTCTCTACCCAGAAGCTCTTCCCTTCCCCATCCCCTATGAAGCGGACCATCAGGCAAACGCCAAATCATCTTTCAACTTTCAGCTCAAATACTGCAACGGCTGAGAAACTTGCCCTGAAATCCCCAGGCATCCCCCCTCCCACGTCCCCACAGCACCTGGGCAAATCTCCGCTTGAACAATTATCTCGGGATAGTCTTACTTTAAGTCTACTCCTCCTACCTCCTCCTAGACTCCAAGCTACTGGAGGGCAAGTTCCGTCCCTGCATTGTAATAAATCCTAGGGTCTAGCCGAGCACCAGGCCAGGTGCTACAGTATTTGTTGAAGGCATGAGCTAATAAACAAAGAAGCAATCACCTACGACACGTGGCAGACTGTGATCAGTGCCAGAAGTAACCTGAGCGCAAACAGGAGCAGAGGGAGGGACGGGCTGTGGGGAGGCTTCCAGGAGAGTTCACCCGCTGGGCCTCCCTCTGGCCCCTTGACTAGGTATCTGTTCACAGGCACAGAAGTGGGAACACACAGAGTATGTATGGAGAAAGCCCTCATAGTAAATGAAGGTGGAAGAGTGGAGGAACAGCTGAAGCTAGAAAATGTAAAATGGATTCACATCTATGAGACCAGTGGTCTCCACCTTGGTGACAGGCTAGAATTCTCTGGGGGTACTTTATTTAGGCAAGAGGGGATGGAAACCAGTGCACAAGGAGAGGGCTCGACTTTAGAAGGCAGCACCGGGACTTCCCTGGCTGTCCAGTGGTTACGACTTCGCCTTCCAGTGCAGGGGGTGTGGGTTCGATCCCTGGTCAGGGAGCTAAGATCCCACATGCCTCATGACCAAAAAACCAAAACATAAAAAAAAAAAAAAAGCAATACTGTTTTCGCACAAATTCGATAAAGGCTTTAAAAATGGCCCATATCAAAAAAGAAAAACGCAGCACAGACAGTGCAGTTACATAAAACAAAGGCAGAGTGAACAGGAGATTACAAGGAAAGCTGGAGATGGCAGGCGGTGCGGACACCGATGTCTTCCACCTTCTCAGTGAAACGAGCAGCAAGGCTAGGGGCTGAGAGCAGATAAGGAAGAAACGCTGAAGGTCTGAGGGAGAAGCCCTGGAGAGCAGCCTAGGTGGGAGGGAGAGGGGGCTACGGAGGGGGCAGGGTGAGGACTGCCTGGCGGCCCTAAGGGCTCGCTTGAGGTGCCTGGCCACACGCTTAAGTGGGAACAGTCAGTGCCGTTGTGTTTTTCTCCAGCCTCGCTTAAGTGGGAACAGTCAGTGCCTTTGTGTTTTTCTCCAGCCTCCTTCAGCCGGGGCGCAGGTGCAGACCATCACCTGGTTTTCCCCACTCAGGTCACCTCCCCGGAGCGGTCCTTTCCGACACTAAATCCCGAGGGCGTCCTATTCGCAGACACCTGCTATCACATCACCCTGGTGACAGCCCTGTGAAAACTACCTTCAGTCTTTAACTTATCTTGCCTCCCCACCTCCGGTACCTTCCAATTCTCCCTCCGATTCAGGGCAGGAAATCGTCTGTGCGGTTCGCAGCCCTTCCCCGGGGCCTAGCACAGTGCTTGGGCCACGGTAACCCCTCAAGAGGAAAAGACGCCTACAAAATCTAACTAAAAGTGTAACTTTTTGAAAAATAGCAAGAAACTACGAAATGATTCTTACTAATCTCTGATCCTACACGTGAGGGCTGTAATTAGCTCGGAGGGGCAGATGCAGTCACGGGAGTGGACCAGCCACCTCCAACGCTGCTGTAACAGCACAAACTTGAACGCAAGGCCGGGTCGGGGGTCCCCTAATCCCACGTGCGGGGTGGCGGCCCCCCTCCCCTCGCCCGGCCACACACGGCGTCTCCGCAGCCGCCCGCCCACCCGGGCGCGACCCCGCGCCTCTCACACCCGCGCCGGCCCTCAGCGCAGCCCGGACCCCGGCCCCGCCCCCGGCCGCCCCGCCCGCCGCCCACCCGCTCCTCCTCGGGCTCCGGCAGCGGCCCCGGACGCTCAGCACGGGCCCCTCAGGCCCTGCAGGCCCGGCCCACCCGCCGCGGCCCTCTCTCCGCGCCCACAGCCCCTCACCTGCTGCAACATAGCGGCCCACGCCAGCCCCACTTCCGGGAGCCACGTCAGCGCCGCAGCCGCGGGCCGGGGACCAGAACAGACGAGGCGGGGTCACTACGGGCCTGGAGGAGCCGGAGTAACAGCAGCAACCCGACCCCACTTCCGCTTCCGGGCCCTCAGGGGAGGAGCAAGTGGGGGCGGGGCGATTCGGAGTGGGAGGATCCGGGCGGCGCTAGAGAGTGGGCGGGGCGGGGCGGGGCGGGGCGGGGCGAAAAGCCAGGACTCAGGCTGGGGCCCGGGCAGGTCCAAGCAGGAGAGGAAAGTAAAAGATGCTGCTTTAGGCACTTCATGGTTTGTTGCCTGGAGATGTTGCTGCCGCCTACAGTGTCATTCCTCTAGTGTGGATGTCCTGAAGGCAGGGGTGGGGGTCAGGGGCATGATTATTCCATAGTTTTCATTTCGTTTGAGTGTTTTACGGTGACGTGTAATTCCGTACAGGATTACTTTTGTACCTTAAATAGTGGAAGCAGTTGAAGAAATAAATGTCCTCCTGCGAAGGGGTAAATGTTATTAAGAAGAACTAGGCAGGAGGACCGTAAACATGGCGGGTCTTATTAAGGGAGGAAGGTAGACCTGGGTAAGAGTAAGGAGAGAGGCTGAGAGCGTGGGCCCCGGAGTCTGAGCCCCCTGGGTTTGAGCCCGTCTACTCCGCTTAACCAATTATCTAGCTAACATCTATGTGTCCTTCCCTTCCAGGGTCCATACCTACCTACTCAATAGAAGTTATTCTTATCACGGTTTTAAGTTTAGCCGTGAATATTGTGATCTTGCCCCTTGAAGGAGCTGAAATTCAGGGACTTCATGTCATCTTTGAAACTGTGATTATAACAATATCCTATCTGCCCAGCCTGCTGTCAAACTGCTGTTGGAAGGCTCATGGAATAATGTGTAGAAGCACGTTTCCTTAATTGAAGGGATTCTTTCCATTCAAATCACAATTTTTACATGGCTATTTGCCAGTGCTACTTTAAACCTGATTTCCTAAGAATGGAGAAAAAATTCTCCAGGGAGAGAAAGCTTGGCAAATGATGGTATTCCTGCACCTGGAGGTGAAAGCGGAGGCTGGGAACAGGTGGCCTGTGCATCCAGCCTACCGATGCCAGGGTTTTGGTGGCCCACTCAGTGTGTGGGTTGCGGAGTTTTGTGGGGTTGGTGTCTTGTTGTTTTGTTCTGCATTCTGCTTCAATGGTTTCCATCCTACGCCAAGCTGAGCTACTGAGTAGGAGCTACCCCCTTCACATGGGGCTTGAGCTCTTTGACGGGCCACAGCACCTATGCTGGGCTGCTCACATCTAAATCACCTGCCTGGCCCCTGACACCAACCTCAGCAGGCTTAAGTAGCAACCTCAACACACATGATATTAATGTAGAAAGGATGAATGTGCCTAATTCTCTTCCATAGGAGTTAGCCCTGAGGAGGAAGAATGCAATTTGAGGGCTTCTCCTTTTAGATTCTTAATTGAACTCATTGAGCTTCATCAGGCTTCCATACGAAAATACCAGGGAACTCCAGTGCATTATTCTGATATAATCCCATCAGTTCATTTGCTAGAAGAAACGACAGCCCTAAATTGGTAGCCATGAGTGGTATTAAACTTCCAACATCTCCCATCAATGAAACAGGGCTTCCATGCCTCTCACTGAATGGTTTTCAGTGGAACTACAGATGCCAATCACCCCCAGCCTCTCTGTTTTCTTACTTTGATAAATATCAGTTCTTTGGCTTATAGGAAAATAATTAAAGAGTCCCCATGTTAATTGCCAGGGAACAGTTGAAAACAAACAAACAAAAAGAGGCCGAACACCAACATCCATTTGGTTTTTTGTTTATTATAAAACGCTGTAATTTCCCAAGGCTGGTTCAGATAAATACGTTTTGCCCAAGTTCAGGGGCTGCTGTTTTCCCTTGTTTCATGAAATTATCAATGGGCAGGCCTTTGATCTTCCTGACCCAGGCAGCTCTGCTGGCTTTTTCCAGATCAACCCCTCCAGCCGGCTTTATGGCCTGAAACTCCTTCATCTTGGCCTCCTCGTACTCCTTCTCCTCCTTCACAGTCAGCAGCATGAACTCCGTGTTCACTCTGAAGGGGTCGAGGGCCGTGTAGAAGCGGGGCCAATCTCTCTTGGCAGCCTGGGCCGTCGTGCCCATCGGCGGAGCCAGCACGCGGTTTGGTTGGATGACCTGTGTGCTGGTTAAGGGGCTGAAGCTGCGCACTGCCCCATCAGTTGAACTGGTTGGCGGGTCTTCAGCCTTTAAGCTGCCAGACAACCTGGGGCAGATGAGCACCGGCTGGGGGATGGTAGACTGGACTCTGGGGCTGTGCACGGAGTTCTTCAGGTTAGGCTGAAGCTTCTGGATTTCAAGGGGAATACTGGTTTGTTTCACGTCTATGGGAGGGTTGCTCAATCTCAACCGATCGACGGCATGTTGGACCGATCGTCCCTTCAAACTCAGGACCTTCCTTGGGTATGAAATGGAAGGTCCCCAGGCATCGATGACCTGGGTTTGGGGCCTCCGGGGATAGGCAAGCTCCCCAGAATTATGGGCTTTCTGCAGGGCATTCACAGTCAGGAGGAACTGGTCAGGTGACATAGAGATGCACCAGGACTTCTTCTTTGAGCAACTGATCAAGTCCCCCAAAGTTCCCAGTTGTCCTTGTTTTGGTATTTCCTCCACATCACCTGCTTTAAAAAAAAAAAGAAAAGAAAAACAAACCAGTGTTCCGTGAAGACCATTAAGTACTTACGTATGAAAGTTAAATCCATTCCAACTGCTATTCAGAGTATGGTCTTTGTTACCCAGTGGACATGCTGCCATCATGTGAGCAAAAATCCTCTATGAGACGAGAAATTACAAAATATTTAACACACGTTTTTAACAAATATGCTAGTACTTGTGTACAAGTGTGTATGAACCTCTAGATACGCATATTTTGGAAGGAACATATGTAATGCCTGTGCTCCACACATTCCTGAAACTTCCCTGTGGGAAGGACCTTCACACCCCATTTATAGCCTTACAGAGTTTCAGTAACATACCTATATTTTTAAGTAAAACCTGGATGGCAAAGCTTGATTTCCACTTTATTCATCAAATTTGACTCCAAATGATCTTTGGATGTTTCTCAAAATCAAAACTGCCTTCAAAAAACATGTCACCTCTGCAAAACTGAAACTATCAAATGGCCAAAAGACAGTTCCTGAACAGGAGTTCCCTAAATGTTTTGAACATTTCGTAGGTCCAAAAGCCACTGACAAGGACAAGAGATTTATTCTGGCATGCTACTTTAGGGTCAAGGCCTCCAAGATGCCTAAGGCCCTTGAGTTAGCAACGATGTCTTCACAGGTGAGCAAACTTACTATGTCTCTCATTTGGGCTTTTGAATCTCTGCAATACCTCACAGACACACTGAAAACATTATCCTCCTTTTACAAAAGGCATAACTGAACCATGAAAAGGAGAAGGCATTTGTCTAGTCTGACCTAGCAAGTAAAATCTGCACCTCAAACTGCACCAATAAAACTAGCAAAGAAAATGCAACAGGGTATTGATTTCACAATTTTATAACAGTGTATAATTTTCCTTGACCAAGTAGGTCTTATCTAAATGAAATTAAGATGTCAAAGTCTTCCCCGTGCTTCGTGCAATTCCAGAATACACCACTCTGTGTGTGTGTGTTGGGGGGGGGGGTCTGTGTGTGTGTGAGAGAGACAAAACACAGTTTTTCTCCTTCTATTAAAAGGAATTGTGATGGACTCATTGTTCAGTAACTTGTCTTTTTTTCATATAATAATACATTATGGATCTCTTTCCAAGTCAAAAATGGGGCTCCGTGGGCTTCCCTGGTGGCGCAGTGGTTGAGAGTCCGCCTGCCGAGGCAGGGGACACGGGTTCGTGCCCTGGTCCGGGAAGGTCCCACGTGCCGCGGAGCGGCTGGGCGCGTGAGCCATGGCTGCTGAGCCTGCGCGTCCGGAGCCTGTGCCCCGCAACGGGAGAGGCCACGACAGTGAGAGGCCCGTGTACTGCAAAAAAAAGAAAAAAGAAAAATGGGGCTCCTCATCCATTTTTAGCTGTTGTATAATATGCCTTTGTCATAGTATGGCTTTGTCATCACCTACTTAGTTACTGCCCACTGAGGGACATTTAGTTTGTGAGTGATCAACCTTAAAGAAATGCAAATAGCATCTTTACTTATCATATGAGCAAAATGATGGTGGACACCCAGTGTTGGCTTGGGAGCAGTGGGAGCTCTCAAGCATTGCTGGTGGGAGTGAAAAGTGACACAGCAGTTTTTAAAGACAACTATGGCGATCTCCTTCTAGCTTTTAAAATGCAATCATCCTTGTGGCTCAGCGATGCCACGCCTAAGACTTTATCCCGCAGGTATACCTATACAGGTACACAGAGACAGGTATATGCAAGGATGCCCATTGTTATTACAGACCTCACAAAACTCAATTGTTTTACCCTCACCTTGAAGCTAGTCTCTGCAGGGAGTTTGATTCAAAGAAAAACTACTATATTAGCCAAAAATATTTGAAAGGCATTTTAAATCTTTACCAGAGTCTCTCGAAAACAACAAAGGGACACCTGATTCATGGCAACTCTTCTCCAAAGCCCCTCCCCGCCTATCTCCCTGATCCCCTTATCTCACATGTAGAGCACCCCCCAATCCAGCTCCTCCCCCATGAAACCCCCCTAAAACGCCTCTGCAATCAGCCCCACTGCCTCTTCTCCCTTCCGCTGAGCCCATTACTCAGATTGATGACACAACAGTCCAAGAAGTGATGAGGCTGACTGTGAGCCCAAAACCAGAAGCTCAGCTCTGAGAAAGGCGCTCGCTCTGTGTGGCCTCAAGTCAGAAAGGGGACGGTTAGGGAAAACCCACCACTCTTAGGAGAAGCTGGGCATTTTATCCATTCAGAATCCAAGCAAACTGATTGATGAACCTGCTGAAAAATCAGACTGAACAAAGAGAAAGAGAGAGAGAGAGAGAGAGAGAGAGATTGAATCTTGCCACATGAATTCAGAATAAAGGATCACCGTTCTTCTTATCTCCGGCGAGGGGTTTTGCTTCCAAATTCTCTTGCTCAGTGCCCGTGCCATTTGCTTCCCTAGAACTCGATCTCTTCCTGCCATCTCTTCGGGGTGACTTTGGCATTCCTTGACTTAAAGGGGACTCCGTTAACACTCCTAAATTAAGATTGAGGAGGAAACTGTAGTAATTATGTGATTCAATTAGGTATGAATACTGGGGGCGTAGCCGATAATTCAACTGATTTTCACCCAAATGATCACTTTACTGTTCGTTGCTTCCTGTTGTCCCATGAAATTAGGCAATCACTTACTGTTTGTTGCTTCCTGTTGTCCCATGAAACTAGGCAATCACCTGGAGCCGAAGGTCCATCTAGATCACCTCCTGACGCCCCCCTCCTACCCCCGTTTCCTACTGATTATCCAGCTTTATGCATTATCTGAAATTCTCGGTCCTCTGTCCTAACTGACCGTTTGCGGTGTAATACTCTTGGAGGTGATCTATTGACCTAGTATTTTCCAGGTACGCATGTTATCAGTCAGAGGTCTACAGAGAATACATTCCACAGAGGACGTTTTTCTGCCGTACAATATATCTTGTCTGTGTCCTAAGGAAATAATCACGTACTATATGCTTGGATCAGGCGCAAGGGGGAGGATGTTGGTTGTCTGGTTTTTGTTTTAATGGCAAGTATGAAGGGCTAGTGTCATCTACTGCAGAAAGATTCTATAAGTCTGAAAACTTAGGCCTTGAAAATCAGGAGATCCCCTTGAGCTGGCTAACAAATTGTCACATCAAAGAGAATGACATACAGGTTGGGATTTATATCATCAAGAAACGATTGACCAAAATATTCCACAGAGAAACTGGTCCTGGAAGCCCCTCACCTGCTCCACTGGGTACCACTGGGGCTGCCTGGGATTCGGTTCTTACCTGTGGGTAACCTGGATGCCCTCAGGAGAACTGGGGACCTGTGAGATTTGCTGAACAGGGACTCCTGGGCCGTGTGTTTGCTAGGTATGGATTCCTGAGGGCTGTAAATCTGAGTGCTCGACTTGGAGAGAACTTCTGCGAGGCCGTTTTCTTCCCTGTCATACTCTTTGTCCTTCTTTTGTTTGGCCCGTTCCAGGGGGTACTGCCACTTGATATTCTCGAACTGGAACATGAGGATGTTGCTCTCTGTGTTGATCACCATCCTGGAACCAAAGCAACAGGGTTGCCCACAAAAGGAGTGTGGAGGCTGCCACTGCCCGGCTTCCAAATATGCATTTGGACTACTGTCCCATCCGATCCTGAGGCCAAGGGATCAGTGCCCGGGAAATGACCGCACAGACAGGGTGGTGTAGGTTGTTGCAGGGTCTACGGGCAGAGAAAGGTGGCAGGCCGTGCAGCAGGGGTTGTTAGCTCTGTAGCCGTTTTCTTTAGAAATTAGATGTGAACAAGGCACACACGTCCTGATTACTTCGCTTCTCGGATTACAATATTTTTTAACGAATTTCCGTTCCTGGAGTGAGTGCCGAGAACCTGGGGTGCCCGAGTCAGAAGGCTTAGCTACTCTGCACACAGATGTCTTCAAGTTCACTCCTTTTTTCTTAAGCACAGCATCCAAATGCCATGGCTCTACTGCCGTGATGGGGTGAGGAAAACTCTAATGGGGGAGGCCTTCAAGCCCTCGCTGACCCTCCAGCCCCACCCCCTTCAAGCCATCGCCCTGGGTGTCTGTGCACGCTCTACGTTCAGACAGAACATTTGTACTTTGTAAAGCAGGAGGACATCTGTCTTCCCTAATCCCCACTCTCATGCCACTAGAGAAAAAAAGAGTGCTAAACCCGGGGTCCCCAACATCACCTCCTACCCACCCACTGTTCCTGGGGTTCACAGCGGTTACAGGGCATTGCTTTTCCTCCCCCACCTCTGCTCCTAGGTCTCCCATAACCATAAACAAGAAATGGAAATGCTATGTGTGGGCTCCTTTCCTGCGCCAAAAGCCTGCAATTTTAAGACTGTCACTGTTAGCGTAAACTCTCCATAAAAGTGACTCGTTACGGTTGGAAGCACTGGAATGGAACTTGGGGAATCGTTCCAATTAGGAATCTCTTTCAGACATATTTTGCTCAAGCTGACATCTCTCTTCGGATGTCATGATTAAGAAAAGGTCAAAGGTGACCTTTTTTTATAGCCTTCTGACTTCGTAACTGAAAACCATTAATTTATTGAGCCTTAGTATACTAGCACCCCCCCTGCTTTAAGCAAGGAGGACTAATCAGGAGGAAGGCAATGTGGTTCGAAGCGATTAAGCGATGTCTTAAGTGAGGCTGTGGTAGAATTTAAAAGTTAAGTCTAGTTGGGTATTTTCACATAATATCACCCTGAACCTAGCGTCTAACAACACCGTATTATATACAGTTAGTGTCGTCATGGTTCTGCTTTCTGTAAACTCATCTGCTCAGTTCTGCCCCACTGGACACTGGGCCGCCTGCCAATGCCACTCCCGCCCTCCTGCGCGTCACTCTGCATCAGAAGCGAGACACAGAGAGCTGGGAAGCTCTCAGGCTGGACGTGGGATCAGGGGCTGCAGGCTGGCAGAACCTCGGTCCCCACGGCAGAGCTGTATCGAGCCCATCGCGTGACTGGATCAGACACCCAGAACGAATGAAGAGTAGTGTGGTCCCTGATTGCTAAGTTCTGTGTGAAGTCCCATGAGTCCCCCATGAGCCTATTACTGCAGCCAAGACTGGAGCGGAGCACGGCCCACTCTCTCCTGCTGCCAGCAAATCCGGGGCCGGTGTCCCATAGGAGGAAAAATAATCATCCAAACAGAAATGCTCAGGGCTCTGACCTACCACCCACCTGTTGCCCTGAATAAAGAAGGACAGCACAGGATAACCTCTGCCATTGGCTTTCATCACCTTCAGACAGTTCCCGTTTAGGAAATTGTAAATGCGGATCTTGCCATCTGCACAGGCACTGATGACCCGGAGGAAGAGAAGGGCCACGTGGAGAACCTCCCTGGAAGGGAACAGAGCAATGGGCAGTACCCACCTTCTGGCAAACTGTGTGGGTGTGTCTGGAGTTGGGGCATTTCGGGTACTGTTGGGAGGCAGGGGTCGTGACTGTCCTTGAAACGATGTTTGCCATCATTTTAGGATTCTGGATGTAAACCATTAACCCTCAAGACACAGATGGAATCTCCCCCCATATTCTGTTATTTTTCCTGCAATTTGGTCACAGTGCCACAAGGTGGCAAAACAAAAAAGCTTAAGTCACAGATTCTTTTTTGGTCTGATACAGAGATGACCATGCTTCTCTCTTACAATTTGATTCCTAGCTAATACTTCTCATGCTGAGAAGTATTTAACGTTTTGAATCTTTCTAAAAGTAGCATTGTTATTTAAAGAAACAAAGAAAAAACAAGGGAAAATAATCTTTATAATAAGCAAAAACCTGGTATTTGAGCAGTTTCTTTTGGTTCTTAAATTAGTGGCTTTAATTCTTTCAGTGAAACATCCTTAAGGAAAATTGTACCCAGGGGTGAGATTTTTGAGCTCCCTTTTGTGACAACCAGCAGGAAAAGAGAGGGGATCAGGAGAAGACTTAGGTAGATGCCTCCAACAAAATTCTCCCTACAACAGCTGGCTCCAACTTGGGCTCCAGGTAAGTCGGAGTATTCAATTCTGAGAAGTGTAATTACCCCATTGCTGTTAATGCTACTGAAAAATGGACCTTGATGCCACCAATTTGTTAGATCTTATATGTAAAGCAGATCCATTGATCCCTGCCGTCCATCCATGGCCTCGCTCACGTGCTACCTTCTCCATAAAACCATCCCTTACCTTCATTCTCCTCTCATTCCACTCACATACACAAACTTCGGGTATATTGTCAGAACCTCTTGGGCACAGTCCACATCTTATCCATCTTTGCACACCCAGCACAGTGCCTAGCCCCATAGCAGGCCCTCAATAAATATTTGTTAGAAAAGTGAATGTCAACTCACATTTCAGTGTATGATTGTTGCTACAGTACGTTAAAAGAATGACATCCACCCCACACCATTTGGCCTTGGTCAGATCCCAGAGCCAATAATAAGACTTTTCAAGGCCCCAACAACTAGCAAAACAGAAATAGCAAAGACCTTGAAAGACAGGAGGTATTCAAAAAGCAGCAAAGACGCCAATGTGGTTCGAATCCCGCCTCACATGATGAATGGATGGATAGATAGATAGATCAATCTAAGGTATAAAATAAGTATAAGAAAGTCCAACAAAGTTCCGGTTTTTTCTTAAGATGGAAATACAATAACTATATTGATGCACCTCGGTCCACCTGTGGGGGAATCCAGCACTAGGAGAGATGCCTCATGATAGAAGGGTTGCCTCTTTGTGTATCTCTTTGGATCTTGCTGAGCTAAGCCTACACTTCTCATGGGTTCCTGTGACATTTGGTGGTTCAACCTATACCATTATAGCCTGGTGATTAAAAACACAGGCTTTGGGATCAGAAGACCTGGGATCAAAACCTGATCCTACCTCTTACTGACTATATAACCTTGAGAAAATAACTTAACCTCTCAGTTTTCAGTTTTCTATTCCATGAAAAGGGGGAACTGCCTCAGAGGATTGCTGTCAGGATTAAATCAATCAAGGTATTTTAAAAACTTAGCCCATACCTGACACAAGAGCAGTTTTCATGGTCCTGGCATAACCCAGTCTCCTTTCAGGTTTATCTCTGTTCTAAAAATAAGTCATTTGTCTCCTTCTTTGCTCCTCTTTTATCAAAAGAGACTGCAGAGGGTGATATCAGTGAAAATGGTGGAGGAAGGAACTCCAAAATTCCATCCTTCCATAAAAGCAACGAAGAAACTGGCAAAAACTGTCAGAATCAACTATTTGGAACTCTGGAAAATAACCAAAGGCTTGCAGCAACCCAGGGAGCACTTAGGCAAGAAAATGATCTTAGTCTCAGTAGGAACAGTGGACTTTGTGGCATGTTAACTTACCCTAGTCCAATCCCAACTCCCCAGCCCAGTGGCAGCCATGAAAATATCAATAACAGCCCGCATCCCTGGTACTGGAGGAAACAGAACAGAACTCATTCACAATGAATTATCTGACCTGTCTGGTGGCTTCCTGGGAGACTGGCTCAAAAAACTTGTCATTATTTCATCTCACCAGGAACTTACCCAGTGCTAAAACTACTACCTGGGGAGGGTAGAGGTGGGGGGAATGTTTTGTTAAAAACATAGGCAAATATTTTAGTCATGGTTGCCTAAGGCAATAGATATCTGCTGGGGCAAACAATACACTAACCAAGAAGCTTTGGAGGAAAAACTGGGGAATGAAATGTCTGTAAGGGCTGTGAAAAGCTCAGCTGTATTTCTGAGACTCTATCTGGCCACATACACGCCCAGGGCTGTGCACATGCTTGGGGGACACTTGAAAAAGCCCTAAGCTCTCACTCTTGAATGACCTTGATGGTCTGCACAAGCAGGAAGTGAGGGCTAAGGCAGAGTTGTAAACTGTCTGGCTGAGTGTTGAAGGCTTCCCTCAACAGGCACACAGAGCCCCTTGGCAAAGAATGGGGGGTATTTTGTTTCCAGGTGTTCCAATAATCTCTTTCCAGTCATGAGCACACCACCAAGGTAATAAAAGAGACTCCGGTGGCCAAACAAGACAAAGAATACAGACTCACTAAACAAACAAACAATAAAAACTACAACAAACAGCTAGAAAAAAAAAAAGAAAGAAAGAAACCCTGGGCATGGGGGAGAATTTGATTTCCCGAGTTGTCATATTAAAATATTCAGAATGTACAGCTTTCAGCAAAAAAGTTGTAAAGTGTAAAAAGACACTAGAGGGTATGGCCCATAAACAGGGAAAAAAGTAATCGATAAAAACTGTGCATAAGGAAGCCCAATGGTTGCACTTTCTAGACAAAGACTTTAAATCATCTATTTTAAATGTGTTCAAAGAGCTAAGGAAAACCATGCCCACAAAACTAAAGGAAAGTATAAGAATGGTGTCTCACCAAATAAAGAATATCAATAAAGAATTAGAAATTATAAAAGAATCCAAACAGAAATTCTGGAGTTGAAAAACTATACTAACTGAAATGAAAATTCACTAGAGGGGCTCAACAGCAGGTTCAAGCAGGCAGAAGAAGGAAAGCATTTGAAGAGAGGTCAATTGAGACTATATAGTCTAAAGAACAGAAAGAAAGGAGAATGAAGAAAAATGAACAGAACCTCCGAAGTCTGTGTGACATCATCAAACATCAACACATGCATAACAGGATTCCCAGAAAAAGAGGAGAGAAAGGAGCAGAAAGAATATTTGAATAATGGCCAAAAACTTTCCAAACATGATGAAAAACATTAATCTACACATTCCAGAACCTCAACTCTAACTAGGATAGACTCAAAAAGATCCACACCTAGACATATTATAATCAAACTGTAAGCAGTAAGAGAAGGGCAGCTCATAACATAAAAAGGATCCTCAATAACATTAATAACTGACTTCTCATCAGAAACCATGGAAGCTAGAGGGCAATAGAATGACCTACTCAAAGCGCTGAAAGGGTAAAAAAATAACTGTAAACCCAGTATTCTATATCCATCAAAACCATTCTCAAAAATGGAGAAATTAAGAAATTCCGAAATAAACAAAAACTGAAAGTTCATCACTAGCAGACCTACCTAACAAGAAATGGTACATGGAGTCCTTCAGGTTGAACTGAAAGGACACTAGACAGTAATTCAAATCTACATGAAGAAATAAAGAGCATCAGTAAAGGTAACTATCAATACAACTACCTAGGAAAATATAAAACAGAACATAAATGTATTTTTTAATTTATAACTCTTTTTTTCATCTCATTTAAAAGACAACTGCATAAAACAATAATTATAAGTCTATGATAATGGACACACAGGATATAAAGATTTAATTTGTTTACAAAAAGAGTATAAAAGAGGGGGGGAAAGGAGTTGTATAGGAGCAGTTTTTGTATACTATTGAAATTAAGTTGATATTAATGTGAACTAGATAAATGAAGACATTCATTGTAATCCCCTGGGCAACGACTAAGAAAATAATTCAAAAATATAGAGGAAAAAAATGACAAGGGAATTAAAATGGCACACTAGAAAATATCCAAATATTCACTTAATATCCAAAAAGACCATAATAGAAGACTTGAGAAACAAAAAAATACAAAAGACTATATAGAAAATAGCAAAATGGTAGAGTTAAGTCCATTCTACACTTAATGTAAATGGGCTAACTCTTCAATTAAAAGGCAGACATTGGAAAAAGGATTAAAAACGTGATCCAGCTATATGCTGTCTACAAGAGACTCAATTGTAGATTCAAAGACACAAATAAAGGTGAAAGAATGGAAAAAGATACTCCATACCAAAGAAGCTCCAGAGTAGCTACACTAATATCATACAAAATAGACTTTTAGACAAAATTGCTAATGGAGACCAAAAAAGAACATTGTATAATGATAAAAGGGTGAATTTACCAAGCAGATATAACAATTATAAATGCATATTCACCTAAGAGCCCCCAAACTCACAGAATTAAAGGGAGAAATAGAAAACTCAATAATCATAGATGGAGACTTCAATGCAACACTTTAAAAAATGGATAGAACAGAAAATCAGCAAGAAAACACAAGCCATAAACAACATTATAAACTATATGTAGACCTAACACACATATACTGAGCATTCCACCAACAACAGCATACACATTCATACCAGTGCACATGAAGCATTCTCCAGGGTGGACCATACATTAGGCCATAAAATGTGTCAGTAAATTTTGAAAGATGGAAATTATATAAAGTATGTTCTCCAACTGCAATGAAATTAAATCAGAAATGAGTAACAGAAGGAAATTTGGGGAATTCATAAATATGTATGGAAATTAAACAACATGCTCTTAAATAACCACTGGGGGAAAGAAGAATTTAGAAAGGAAATTAGAAAATACTTTTGAGATAAATTAAAATAAAAACACGACATATCAAAACTTATGGGATGCAGCCTATAGCAGTGTTCAGAGGGAAATTTATAGCAGTAAATACTCACATTTCTCCAATCAATAACCTAACCTTTCACCTTAAGAAACTAAAAAAAAGGGTCAAACTAAACCCAAAGCAAGCAGAAGGAAGGAAAATATAGAGCAGAAATCAATGAAAAGAGAATTGAAAAACAATAGAGAAAATTAATAAAACGAAAAGTTTGTTCTTTGAAAAGATCAACAAACCTTTAGCTAGAAATTGTCAAATCTTTGCTTAGACTGACCAATAAAATAAGAAATAAAAGTCAAATTACTAAAATCAGAAATGAAACAGAGGACATTACTACTGACTAATGGAAATATTCTGTAATTAGACAGTGGTAATGGTTGCACAACATTATGGATATACTAAAAACCACTGAATTGTATGCTACAAAATGGTAAGTTTTATGTAATGTGAATTATATCTTAATTTTAAAATTGCAAAAAAATATATTAGTACAATACTAGCTATGGAAAAGACATTAAAGAATAAGGGTTTTTAAAAAAAAGACACTCCAGGGTACAGAAGCTTTTCTAAGGATCATCATTTTTGTCAGCCCTACTTTGCATCCTCTAATTTCATTCCTCATAACCATTCTCTCCTACGCTGTATACAGAATCTTAATTTTGGATAAAAAAAAATGTTGGACCAAGAGAACAGAAAGGAGCCCTCTTTCTCTGGTCCTTCTTCCATGAAGGACAGAGAGCAAATATATGTTTTTTCATCCATGTCATATTCTAAAGATGGGTATCAGTGCATCATTAGAACCCTCCAGGAAGGCAATCTGTCAAATTAGTCCTCATTATCAATCAGTTGGAAATATTTATTAAGCACTTACATATACACAGCACTACGACAGATGAGTGGGAGAAAGGGCCCTAAAAATGAGAACATTGACAATGTCCTCCAGGTGTACTGTAACTGTCTATGGATTTGCTGTAACTGTACAAGGCATCAAGAGCCAACGTGAATGGTATGTTGGGCTGTCATTCGACGGAAGTGGGAATGGTCTAAGAAGGTCTCATAGCTGAGGAAGAGTGGGAGGCTCATAGATTGATGAAATGTTGAACATACTGCTGAGTTTGCTGGGAACAATTATTTTCCAATAAGTAAACTAAATCTTACTGAATCATGCTTGGAAGGTTTTAAAAACGCAGAGTTACAATTTTCAGGTGACATCACAAAGTTTGAGTCCCTCCTTGAGGTCAAGTTTTGACAATCCAGATGATATGCTGAGAAGCTTACTGATAATCACCCAAGGGTTGGGTAAATCACTGAACACTGGCCTTTCCTGACACCCACCTGTCAACAATGCAGTCATACACGCCAGAGAGAGAACATACACATAAACGCCCATATCCCCCTCCACCGCCCACAAAGCCAGTCTGCCTGTTCAAGAGGTTCCTGTGAGGGTACAAGGAAATATAGGGCCATATTTCACTAAATAACTATTCCATGATAGACCCTCCTGGAAGGCCCATTTACTCTTTCAATCGATTGGGACAGCACTTAGTTTCCTGGTATTTCTTATAATGCACTCAGGGGAAGAAGCATTATTCATGCAGTACAGAAGTGGCATACAGCAGCCTGTAAAACCCATGACTGTGGCAGAACCATTAACCGACCACAATACCCTTTCAAATAAGCTTAGATGTGACCTCAGAGTACTTCTTAACTGGCTCCAAGCAGCCACCATCACTAAACTGGGATTGGAAGTGTACAATGAAATCCATTTGCTGTCCTGGAATAGAATCAAGTCCGCAGGCTTTAAGGGAGCTCCTTCTTTAAGCCCTTGGTTATTTTTAAACCTTTGGCACTTGGATAATTTTAAGCTTTTATGAACACGCAATTCCAAGATTTTAAGCTTAGTGGAGCTGGCATTATTTGGGGGGCAGTTCTGCCAATATTCCTAAGTTTGGTAGGTAACAGATACAAATTTATCCCATGTGCCATAAGTGTAAAGTTTCAATAACCTCTCAAAATCCACATTTAGTATTATTTCTTAAGAGAAATAAGGGAGGACAGGAGAGGGGGTGTTCGTAGTGGACGACACGCAGAAGAAGAGGGAGCAGAGACGGACGAGGAGCAGAGGCAACAGAAGGTCAGCAGAGGGGACCGATCTGCTGAAGAGCGAAGTCTGGGCTCTGGCAGGAAACAGAGCGCGGCAGGAGCTGGGTCACAGTTTCCTTGGCACCTACTTTGGATGCTTGAAGGCCATGAGGCACCGCTCGTACTTTCCCACCATGCTCCAGGCCATCACCAGGCCGTCAGCGCTTCCCGACAGGAGATGCCACTGGTCGAAGCACAGACACTTCACAGCTCCCTCATGGCCGTTGAGAGTCTGCAAGAAAAGATGCCTCTGTTTTCAGCCCGTCTTCAACTCAGACTGTGACTCCTCAAAGGCCAGAGCTGGAGGCTTCTCGAGATGAATCCCAAAGCCACACTCCACCAATCCGTGGCCACCACCACTTAGCATTTATCTGAGCTGACCGCGCCTTTGCTCTGATGAGGCCAGCGGACTCCACGCCCCCCGCTCCCCGGAGGTCTCCAGAGTTAAGGAGGAAGGTGAGCAGGGCAAGGCCTTGCTCCCGGCGGGTCTGCGGCAGGGCCCACCTTCCTAGAGTGCCAGAGAGGGCCACGACTTACCTTCCTCTGCTGCCAGAAGGGCAAGGCTCAGGTGTTCCGTCCCCAGCTCCTTGCCAGGACCCGGAGGCAGCTGGGCTTCTCTGTGCCTGCAACTGCTGGGCAGACCACAGTGACGACACCACTGGTGGCAAGAGCCTGCCAGCCACGTCAGTGTTTCTCACTGTGATCCTGTGTCCCGGCACAAATGACATCTCCCCACCACCCACTAGGGCCAGGGGGCTTCCAATCCAGCGAGAACGCTTTTTGTGTGTGAACAATCACTTTCTAGACAGCCAATGTTCTCTTCTCGTGAGAGGAAGGAGGAAAACAGTTGTGGCTTTGTTCATTCCTATACCCCACACCAGAATCAGGCTGGAATGTTCCAGAAGAGGAGAAGGCACTTTACTCGTGCTGCTGTTAAAAGACCCCGAGCCCACGTACCATGCGGAGTCAGAATGCAGCCTCCGCCACCGCCACCCACCCATGACGAGGTGGCTCACGCGGGCCTTGACCTTCTACTGGCTCAGAATGGCCCATTCTTGGGGGGCCTTCCCCTCCCCCTTTTCAGGACCACCCTCTTTAGGTGACTGTCACTCAACTGCTCTAGGGCAGTCTGGGGAGCTACCTGGAGGGGGACTGCCAGTGTCCTCCAGCCCCTCACCCCCAGTGCCCCGACCCCCCAGTCCCCACCCCTCACCTTTACCAGCTGGGCTGTGATGATGTGCCACACTTTGACCAGCCCTTTCTCACAGCTGCTCACGATGTACGTGTCATTGATCCTGGTGGCCAGGATGGGGTCTTTGTGTTTAAAGGTCTTCAGGCACTTTCCTGTCTCTATATCCCACTCTGAAAGGGAGGGCGAGAGAGGGGTAGGTGCACGGAGAGGGTGGCAGTGGGGCTCCACACCCCATCGCACAAGCTAAGACCAGCCGAGCCCATGGTGTCAGACCCTGCAAGGCTTCACCTGGCCCGGCAGCTCCAGAGGCTGACCCACACTCCATGTACCTGCAACCCAGCGCTCCCCGAACACAGCCCTTAGGAGAGCCAGCAGGGCATGGACCTTGGCTCTGACCCTGGAACTTAGCCTCGGGGTCCGAGAGTCGGACAGCTCATCCCTAATAAGCCTCCTCAGCTCTAATAAGCCTGAAAAATGCTTCCTAGGGAGTGGATTTCAGGAAAACCATGGCAGACGTTCATGTCCTCGTTCCTCCCGGATGCTGTCCTCCTGACCCACACCTTCTATCCCCCAAAGGAAAGAAAGCTGTGTCTCCTCATTTACATTTTAAAATATTTCTGAATCTGACTTTTGGATTGATTTTACTTTTGCGAGACTGTCACAGCTCAGGGCAGGTCTACTGCTGCTGCTACACAGACAGCGTCAGAGCCACTGTACCCCAAACTGTAAGTGTTGGGTGGGTATGTGTCCCTGGGTGGGTGGGAGAGCCGAGCTTAAAGGAAGAAGCTGAAAGCAGGCACCACAATTTCAGGGGGGCGAGGGCATTAAAGCCCCCGAAGAACCTTCCCCCTCGGGTAACAGAACACGTAAGCTAGGACCGGAGAGTAACCATAGCTGGCATCCACGCTGCGCTAGCTGTGAGCCAGGCGCCTCTCGAAGTGCCTGACAGGCATTAACTCATCTTCACAGGGCAGAGCGATTACTATTCCTCACTGTACAGGTGGCGAAACTGAGGCCCAGAGAGGTTCTGTAACCTGCTCAAGATCACACAGGCGGTGAGCAGATTGAGCTGCGATTCAAACCCAGGGAGTCTGGGTCCACAGGCCACGCTCCTAACCATTAACCAGAACTATGTGAATACACTTCTCTACACTTGTTTTTAAATATATATTGGCCCTTTTATCAAATTAGGAGTGGGAAAATTGAAAGATGAATTAAAGGAGTTATTGGTAAGGTGTCCTGACTTAAAGAAATTTTAAAGTGTGTGGGGGTACCCTTCAGGTCTCTAATTGTCTCCTTTTTGTTCTATTTTGGTAACCCAGGAAGGTGGGAAGAGCCCAAGCAGGCTGGCTGGTAGCTTGGGCCAGGATTAGGGTGGAGTGAGAGATCTTCAGATACTTTTTTCGTTGTGTATTTTGCACGTTAATTTTGACTTTTAAAATATTGCATTAAAATAAGCATCTTGATCACTGAGGTTTTTTTTCTGTCCCCTTAAATTTTGCACCAGAGGTGAGGGCCTAACTCCCCTTGCCCTATAGCCCTGCTGGTGGCCCACAGGACTCTCTCAGGTGAGTGGGAGGTCACGTCCACCCTTCCATCTTCAGAGTCTCATCCTTCATCCTTTCTGCTCCACCCCTCAAAGCAATCACGGCAATGAGACGCTCAGTCAGTTGGGGAGGGCAAAGAGGTAGGGAGTAAGGCTTCCCAGGCAGCTCTGAGCATCCGTGTGTGTCCCACCAGCCCACTGTCCCTTTCCCGTCATTTTCCTCCGCCCACACCTAACATGCTGTGGGTTCCTGAGGCCCTGGCTTCTCTTCTCTTTCACTCTTTCCTCCTGCTCTGCAAAGAAAATCTCACCCACACCCGGGGCTTCCACCTTTCACTGTACTTGGTAACCACCAAGCTGACCCATCTGGGGCTGCATCCACCTCCTGCTGCCCTCCCCCGGATGTCCGCGGTAATCCCATGCTCAATATGTTAGCTTCCTATTGCTGCTGTAACAGATTACCACCAGCTTCGTGTCTGAAAACAACAAATGGATTATCTTACAGACGTTCGGCACGACTTCGCAAGGCTAAAATCAAGGTGTCAGCAGGGCTGTGTGCGTTTATGCAGGCTCTGGGGGGTGGGCGGGAAGGAACCCATTTCCTGGCCTTTTCCACCTTCTAGGGTCACCCACATTCCGTGGCTCACGACCCCCTTCCTCCATCTCCAAAGCCAGCAACACTGTATCTCTCTGACCACTCTTCATAGTCATGACTCCCTTTGATCACAGGTAAGAAAATGTCTGTTTTTCTGGATCCAAGTGATCCAGACCCATGGGCCCACACCAACAACCCGGGAACATCTCCCCATTTTAAGGTCCTTAACTTCAGTACATCTGCAAAGTCCCTTTTGCCATGCGAGGCACAAGATGACACAGACGCCGGTGTCCGGGATTAGAACGTGACCATCTCTGGTCGGCAGTCCTCCTGCCTGCCACACTCAACGTGTCCAAAATGGAAGCCTTCACCCCCTCCTGCTTCCCTCCCCCACCCGACTCTTCCTCTGAAGCCCCGTTTCCATCAGCGGTACTTCCAGATACCCAGAGGCCTGCGTTATAAAGTCTGGCCTCACCCTTTGCCCTCCTCTCTCACTTTTCATCTCCAGCTAGTGTTGAAGTCCCGCCAGTTCTCCTTCTAGAAGTCTCCCTTCTCTTTGTACCATCTCGTGTAAACTCGCATCCATCTGCTGTCTTCACACTTGCCTGTTCTCGGATATTCTGAAGACATCACAGGTTCTCTAGACTGCGTAAGTACCTTAACTTGCCCCCTGTCCCCCGGAGTCACCACCTCTCCAAATCCTTCTTCCACGATATCACCAGAGCAATCTTTCTCGAATACACATTTCATCGTATCAATCCTCAGCTTAAAGCGCATCTACCGGCCCCCACGTCTTATAGAATAAAGTTCAATTTCCAACCACGGCGCAGAAGGCCCTTGACAATCTGGCCCCAGACAAACGTATCCGCCTGATCTCCAACACCACAGGCTGCAGCCCAGCTGTACAGAGCAAAGGGAAATTCCCCAAATTCTTCATGTTTTTTCAATATTCTGTGATTTGCCTGAGGTGTTCCTTCCGCTTGGAATGCTCTACACTCTCCCTCTGCATGTAGAACTACTCCTCCTCAAGATCACACTCAAAGAGCACCCTGCCTGCAGTGCTTTCCCTTTTACTCTTATATCTACGGTCCCTTAGTACCCCACAAGCTCATTGGAGCACACGTTTTAGAGCCAGACAGCCCTGGGTTCAAATTCCCACCCGACAACTTAGCAGCTTTGATTTGGGGCAAGTTGGTTTTCTGAGTTGTGGATTCCTTATCTGCATCCATCCCATAGGATTCTTTTTTTTTTTCTCTCTCCCTCTTTTTTCTCTCTTCTTTTTAAAATTGATTGTAATTTAAAATTACAGTCACCCCATAGGATTCTTGTGAGAGTTAAATAAGATAATGTATGCAAAGCACCTATCACAGTGCCTGTCTCAAGGTTAGTACTCAATGAATGGCAACTGTTATCATTCACATATTTACTATAATCCCCCATTATATATTTCTACGTGTGTCTCCATTAGAAGACCATGAGACTCTTGGGGAAATAAAAAGCCACATCGGAAGGGCCATATCATAAGCGCTTTTTTCCTTGCCGTCTAGCACAGCACCTGGCATTCAATCAATAGTTGTTGAGTGAATGGGTCAGTGGATACATGGACAGTTGAAAGGATAAATGACCGCCCGTAGAAATGAGCAAAACAAGTCCTTTGGCAACCCATGGATTTGGGGAAACTTCTTAGAGAGGTGGAGGTGTTTCTTTCTCACCTTTTACCTGGCAATCTCTTGCTCCAGATGCGAGCTTGTTCTTCCACACATCCATGCAACTGATAGCCCCCTGGTGGCCATTGAAGATGCGTATGCAAGCCCCACTGTCCAGATCCCAGTATCTGCAGGAATCAGGCCAAAAATAATAAGTTTTTGAGGTTTTCTGAGGGCCCAAGGGATCAGACGGTATAGAGTTCAATAGGGAGTTGGAAGGCAGCAGTTTTATGACCAAGGCCTGCATCTGAATCCCAGTTGCAGGGCCTATTAGCTGTAACTTCGGGAAGGTTACTTAATTTCTGAGTAAGCTTCATTTCCCCATTGATAAAATGGAGATGATAATAATAGTAGTTACCTCACAGGGTTTTTGTGAAGAATTAAATACACTAATGTAGTGACTGTCAACCAGGGGTGATTTCTACCCCCAGGGGTGATTTCCATCCCCTGTGACAATGTCTGCAGGCATTTTGGGTTGTCACAAGTTGGTAGGGAGGCGCTATTGGTATCTAGCATGCAAGGTCCAAGGATGCTGCTAAACATCCTACAATTCACAGCATGACCCCCCCACAGGGAGAATTTTCCAGCCCCAAATGTCAATGCTTCTGAGGTTGAGAAACTCTGCAATAATGCATGTAACACTAGAACAATGAGCAGTGTGTAGAAAATAATTGATAACTGTTAGCTCGTATTAGGTGGAAGGGTCCCTAGAATGGTCACCAGGCTCAGAATCCATGGCACCGATTCAGTGGTAGAGCTGACCTTCAAACAAGAACAACACAACAATTGACCCGAGCCACTAGAATATTTTATGTGCATTTCTAAAGCATATCTAAGAGATAACGTGGGAACGTGTATGAGTCACACTGTTTTTTTTGTTTGTTTGTTTTTGTCTGTTTTTTTGGCCACACAGCTTGTGGGATCTTAGTTCCCTGACCAGGGACTGAACCCGCGCCCTTGGCAGTGAAAGCATAGAGTCCTAATCCCTGGACCGACAGGTAATTCCCAGAGTCACACTGTTTTTTAATACGCAAACCTGCCTGAGGTCTCTCAACTATCATTAATACTGACTTCCACTTCAGCCAAATGCCTTTATGATAGTACAAAGTATCGATATAATGTCAAGATGGTGGGCTCCGGAGCCAGGCTGCCTGAGGTCCAATCCCAGGTCCATCACTTACTAGCTGTGTGATCTCGAATAAGTCACTGAATCACTCTGTACCTCAGTTTCGTCATCTGTAAATTGGGGATAATAATGGTACTTACCTCATAGTTATTATGAGACTTGGCACATAATAAATGATTAGTAAATGGGTTTTTTTTGTTCTGTTTTTCTTTAGATTTGTTAGGCTTTTCCTTCTAATATTCCTAAAGGTCCTATGGCTTTACCTGCTCGTCAGAGCCTGCTCCGCACCCACAGTGAGTTCAACAATGTCCCACTGGTCTGAAAAAAAAGCATGTTTTTTTAAAATTTATTTTTGGCTGCGTTGGGTCTTCGTTGCTGCGCATAGGCTTTCTCCAGTTACGGCGAGCGGGGGCTACTCTTCGTTGTGGTGCGCAGGCTTCTCATTGCAGTGGCTTCTCTTGTTGCAGAGCACGGACTCTAGGCATGTGGGCTTCAGTAGTTGTGGCACATGGGCTCAGTAGTTGTGGCTCGCGGGCTGTAGAACGCAGGCTCAGTAGTTGTGGCGCATAGGCTTAGTTGCTCTGTGACATTTGTGATCTTCCTGGACCAGGGCTCGAACCTATGCCCCTGCATTGGCAGGCGGATTCTTAACCACTGTGCCACCAGGGAAGTCCCAAAAAGCATGTTTTGAACTTCTGTTTCTAGCAACATGGCCAACCACATGTCCAGGTTGTCTTCGTAATTTATGCAGAAAAGGTATTGATATTTGAGAAACACTTTCAGAAAAATAGGAATGGAAGGGACTTCCTTGTCTTAGCAAACTTATAAAAGAAAAAACAGATGTACTTCCTTCAAAAAGGGGAAAAAGATAAAGATGGCTTTCACAGCTACTGCTTAACTATAAGGCCAAGGCAAAGTTAGAATGAAAGAAAGAGAAAAAAGCATAAGTATCAGAAAAGAAGATAATATATAGCCATTATTTCCAGTTGATAAGATCATCTACATGGAAAAACCAAACCAACATACATACTTTGAGGTTAGCAAGAGAGGTTAGCAAGGTTGCTGGATACAAGATCCACCTATAAAAATCAATACCATTTCTCAATACCAGCAATAACCAACTTTAAAATATAAATGAAAATAAGATACCACTCAAAATAGCAATAAAATTATAAAGTTTACAAGTATTAAATAAGACTACACAAGACTTTTATAAAGAAAAAGTTTTAAGTTCTAAGAAAGAACAAAGAAATGAACGTGTTGCCCAAATTGTTTATAAATTCAATGCAACTCCAATTGAAAGTCTAGTTAGATTTTTCAAGTCGGTAAACTTACCCTAAAAACTCAAAAAATGTATACCATAGCTAAGTTATATAAAAAAAGGAAAGTGAAATGTAAAACTTGCCCCACCATCACATACGAAAACATCAGAAACAACAACAACAACTTTAAAAAAATCTTTAAAACAAAACAAAACAGGGTAGAGTCCCAATCAGAATCCTAGCAAGTTATTTTGTGGATATTGAAAACTCATTCTGAAGTTCATAGGAAGAGGCATGAGACCCAGAATTGCCAAAACAATATTGAAGGAGGGGAATAATGGTGGAGAACTGACACTACCTGACTTCAAGACTCACTACAAAGCTATAGTACTTAAGACAATGTGGTATTGGTGAAAGAATAGACAAATAGATCAATGGAACAGAACAGAGAACCCAGAAACAGACCCATGTAAGTACCGTCAACTGATTGCAAAGGTAATACAATGGAGCAAAGAGAGTCTATCCAACAAATGGTTCTGGAACAACTGGACGTCCACATGCAAAAAAAAAAAAAAGAATTTAGCCACAGACCTCACATCCTTCACAAAATTTAACTCAAAATGGATCACGGACTTAAACATAAAACACAAAACTATAATATTCTTAGATGATAACATAGAAGAAAACTACGACCTTGGGTATGGCAATGACTTTTAGATACAACACCAAAGGCATGACCCATGAAAGAAAGAATTGATAGACTGGACTCCATTAAAATTTAAAATAGCTACTCTGCAAAAGATAATGTCAAGAAAATTAGAAGACAAGGCACAGACTGGAAGAAAGTATTTGCAAAAGACACATGTGATAAAGGACTATTATCCAAAATACACAAAGAACTCTCAGAACTCAACAAAAAGAAAACAAACAACCAAAACAAAAACTGGGCAGAAGAGCTAAATAGACATTTCTCCAAAGAAGACATACAAATGGCCAACAGGCACATGAAAAGATGCTCAACATCGCTAGTTATTAGAGAAATGCAAATCAAAACCTCAGTCAGGTATCACCTCACACCAGTCAGAATGGCCATCATCAAAAAGTCTACAAGTAATAAATGCTGGAGAGGGTGTGCAGGACAGGGAACCTGCCTACACTGCACTTTTCCACAGTGCAGCCACTGTGGAAAACAGTATGGAAGTTCCTTTTAAAAAGCTAAAAATAGAGCTACCATATGATCTAACAATCCCGCTCCTGGACATATATCTGGAAAAAATGAAAACTCTAATTCGAAAAGATACATGCACCCCAATGTTCATAGCAACACTATTTACAATTGCCAAGTCATGGAAACAGCCTAAGTGCCCATCAACAGATAACTGGCTTAAGATGATGTGGTATATATATATATATATATATATATATACAATGGACTATTACCCAGCCATGAGAAAGAACAAAATATTGCCATTTGCAGCAACATGGATGGACCTAGAGAATATACTTAGTGAAGTAAGTCAGATGGAGAAAGACAAATATTATATGATATCACTTACATGTGGACTCTAAAAAATAATAAAAATGAATCTACATACAAAACAGAAAGAGACACACAGACATAGAAAACAAACTTATGGTTATCAAAGGGTAAAGGGAGGGTGGGAGGGATAATTTAGGAGGATGGGGCTAACAGATTCAAAGTACTATACATAAACTACATATACAACAAGGATTTACTGTATAGCACAGGGAACTATATTCAATATCTTGTAATAACCTATAATGGAAAATAATCTGAAATATATATATGTATGTATTTCAGCTTACCATACACCTGAAACTAACACAATATTGTAAATCAAATATACTTCAATTTTTTTTAATGGGCCAAAGATTTTAACGGACATCTCACCAAAGAAGACATCCCCAAAAGATACTCCACGTCTCAGGTCATCAGGGAAATGCAAAAAAAAATAACAAGACACCACTACACACCTATCTGAATGGCCAAAATCCAGCACACTGACAACACCAAATGCTGGTGAGGATGTGAAGGAACAGGAACTCTCATTGACTGTTGGTAGAAAAGCAAAATGATGCGGCCATGTTGGAAGACAGTCGGAGATTTCTTACAAAATTAAACATACTTTACCGTGTAATCTAGCAATTGTTCTCCTTGATATTTACCCTAAGAATCTGAAAACTTATGTCCACACAAAAAACTTGTAAATGGATATTTATAGCAGCTTTACTCATAACAGCCAAAACTTAGAAGCAACCAAGATGTCCTTCAGTAGATGAATGAATAAATAAACTGTGGTCCATCCGGAAAGTGGAATATTATTCAGCATAAGGAAGAAATGAGCTATCAAGCTATGAAAGGACCCAGAGGAGCCTTAAATGCATATGACTAAGTGAAAGAAGCCAATCTGAAAAAGCTACGTATTGTATAATTGCAACTATATGACATTTTGGAAAAGGGAAAATTACGGAGCCAGTAAAAAGATCTCTGGTTGTCAGGGGTTAGGGGGAAGCATGAATAGGCAGAGCATAGAGGATTTTTAGGGCACTGAAAATACTCTGTATGATACTATAATGATGAATACACGTCACTATATATTTGTCCAAATTCATAGAATGTACACCACCAAGCATGAACCCTAAGGTATGTTATGGACTTTAGGTGATTATGATGTGTCAATGAAGGTTCATCAAATGTAACGAATGTACTACTCTGATGGGGTATCTTGAGAATGGGGCAAAGGGTATATGGGAAACCTTTGTACCTTCCTCTCAATTTTGCTGTGAATCTAAAACTGCTCTATAAAAACTATCTTTTTAAAAGAGGCGGTTTTGATGCAAGAACAGAAAAATAAGCCAACTATACTGTATTGTATGTTTGAAAGTTGCTGAGAGAGTAGATCTTGAAAGTTCTCATCACAAGAAAAAACACTGTCACTGTGTAGTGATGGATATAACTAAATTCACTGTGGTAATCATTTTGCAATATATGCATATATCAAATCATTATATCGTACACCTAAAACTAACACTTTATGTCAATTATACCTCAATAAAAAATTTAAAAACTCATGCACATGGGTATCAGGAGACACATCCAGGAATGTCTGTGGCAGTTCTCTTTGAAAGAATACAGAACTATAAACAATGCAAATATCCGCCAACAGAAGAGTACATAAACGAGCTATGATGCATTCATCTAATAAAATACTGTATCTCAGCGAAAATAAATTAATTACTGCTACCTACATCCTACAAATGAACCTCAAAATCACAGTTCAGTGCAAGAATCAAGTACAGATGAACTTTTAAGATACAATTCCACTTATGTTAAGTTCAAGAATGGACAAAAGTAATTAATATATAGGCATATATATAAATAGGTAGCAAAACTATAAAGAAATACAAGGGAATAATTAGTATAAAATTCAGGATAACATTACCTCTGGTTGGGAGGAAGAAAGAAGGAATAAGAAAAAGGCACATAGGGGATTTAGGGAATGGTAACACCCTATTGCCTGGCCTGAGTAATGAGCACATGGGTGTTCATTAGATTGTTTAAAAATATACATATATATATATATATATATATATATATATATTTAACACTATTTTGTTTCCATACCCACAAAAAACTACTTTCCCCTGAAGAAATCTATAAAAATATATATAAATTATGCCTTCACCTAATAATGCTAAAGAAAATACTTTTTGAGTCACAGCCTTCAGCTAGAAAATAGATCTGATAATTGCTATACATCTATCTCACCCAAAGTTTAAACAATATACAAATTTTTGGTTTTTATCTTGCCAAAATAAAAGTGGGTTATTCTAAAAGTCAGTGTAACTTAGGATAACTTTTGCATAAATACAAAAAGGTAAAGGCATGCATGCTCTTTCCACAAGCTGCATTTAGGCCTCGGCAGGTTGGGGACCACAGCTTTCTTGGACCACTTACCTGATACTCAGGTCATAACTCCCGCTCAGGAGAAAGTTTTCCTCCTCACACAAGAAGAGGGTACGGACACTCCCAGTGTGGCCTCGGAACTTGATGGGTATCTGTTTTATCTGTATGATGTCCAGAAGCTGGATCTTCCGATTGGATGACACAGCTAACAAATCTCCCCCAGAATAGTGGATGACTCTGTTTCGGTCCCACCTGAGTTGCCAGAAAAAGGATGATCCATGGAAAGAAGAGTTAGTGTCCTTCCTAGAACTCACTTAGCACAGTGCCTTTCACCTGCAGCAATACTATAATGGAAAATACAGGGCCTTCCAACAAGGGATATAGCAGAAGGCAAGGCCTAATGTTAATCATTCCTGATGGATCCCCACCTCACACCATAACAAAAATCCATTTCAAACAGATTTAAAACCTAAACACAAAAGGCAAAACTATTTTAATCATTTCTGCTAATGTATGATAAATCATCAAGACACAGAACAGAGTATGCAGCATTTCCCACCTTATTTGACCATGGAAACCTTTTTTTCATGGAAAACCTCAGAGGAACACACTTGGGAAGCCCTATACCCACTGTATGTCCCATTGTTGGTTTTTTGCTGTTCTTCTTTTTTCCCTTAACCAATATCCAGTGAGCATATGTTAGGGGCAAAGTCCTGGGATAATTGGTGCTAACGGGAAATACAAAGATAGATGAATAAGATATGAATGGACCTTGCCCTCAATGAGCTTACAGTCTAACAAAACAGGAAGAGTTGAATTAATTTTCCAATCATAAGATTATTAGCAAATAGATAAAATATGAGCAGGATGACCAAATAATTTATTGTCCAAACTGAGTTTTTTTACTGTGAAAGGGGACACTATTGTTAATTATTGGAGGACCACAGAGTAAAATCGAATTGTTTCAGTAAACAGGGATATAAAGTCACTCTAAATATGAGGAGCAATTCCTGACGTTTTTGTCCTCATTCCATTTGTCCTATCTAGAGTTCAACCAGTCATCTTCTCTTCTAAAGAGCATGTATCACCATACTATCCATAAAATCTCAGCTCTGCCTTTTCCCATCTGCTCTGTCTTCCCCCTACTGGCTGGTCAAGAAGCAATTTGTTAGTAAGGTTCACAGACAAAAATAGAACAATGATGGTCTTCACAAAACTTTATGAATAAAGAGTGAAGTCCTAGGTCTAAAGTATGGAAGAAAGTTGCCTATTAAAGGGTCTTCTTACGGCATATTCAAACGATGCCACACTAGGTAGTTATCATAAATACCATTTTCATGTTTAACATGGAAAGACATCCACAGTACCTTGCCAGAGTGGGTTACAGAACTATGTATAGCATAGCCCCCTTTCTATTTAAAATATGTATTTATAGAGGCAAAGAAAAAGTTCTGGGGTAGACATCGATATTAATGGTAGTCATCTCTATGTGACAAGATTGTAGGAGAGCTTTCCTTTCCTCTATACACTTCCTGGCATTTTTTGGATTTTTTTTCCAGTAAGGATATATTACCTCTAAAATAAGAATTAAACAATAAAGATATTTTTTAAAAAGATTTCATGCCTGTGAATTGTGTAAAAGCTTGGTCAGTGTACACAAAATTTATAAGGGGAGAGCGACCTCCACCCAATGCCAAGAATGGTGCAAAAATCAAGCACCTATTCTCCAAATGGGATCTCATGTGGGTTTGAGGCTGGGGCTTGAGGTGAGGAAGGACTGCCTTTCCAAGTGAGCAAAGGTCATGGGAGTCCTCAGATGCCCGTGTGGGTAGTTCAGGGGTCCCTGGAGACCTGGACTCTGACCACAGTACCTACATGTCAGAGAGAATGCGGATGTTATAAGTGCCACAGAAGACATTCCTCTCCTCCATCTGCACCTGCTGAGTTTCCTGGTTCTGGTATGCGGTCCACAGGTTGTAGTCATTCTAACAAGGGAACACTTACAGTCAAAGGACGGCAGCAACCTGACCCCAGACACGCATCCCTATGACTCTCCCATGGCGAGGGTACAGGGGCCCAAGAGCTCCTTCTCTTCAGGCTGTGGCCACTGCTATGTGGTGATGGGGAGGGACCCGTGAGCAAAAGGAACCCCTGTGTGAGAAAATACTGAGTTGAAGGTCCTGACCCTTCTTCTACCTCTGGTTCTGTGAACTTCCGATGCTGCTGATAGCACAACTTTTCCAAAAATGAGCTCACGACCAGGATGCACACAAAATAAAGTCATCGGTGCCCATTTCACAGAAGCCGGGGTTTCGAGTTCCTGTTGTGTGTGCACGAGACAGTACAGAGCGTACTCGTGGGAACTCAAGTCACATGTGAAATTCCTGTTACACGCTCTACGCACTTGTGTGTCAAAGTTTTCATACATCTGCAACCTTCATTTCTCCTTACAGCTGTCTCACAAAGTACATCACTTGCCCCACAAAGTATTGCCACCATTTTACAGATGACGCGTCTGAGCCTGAGCGGGGAAATCAATTTTATCAAGTCTCAGCAGGGGTGTTCCCCCGTCCCTTTCCAACATTCCTTCCTTCCTTCCTTCCCTCCTTCCTTCCTTCCCTCCTTCCTTCCTCCCTCCTTCCCTTCCTTCCTTCCCTCACTTCCTTCCCTCCTTCCTTCCTCCTTCCCTCCCTCCTTCCTTCCCTCCTTCCTTCCTCCCTCCTTCCCTTCCTTCCTTCCTCCCTCCCTTCCCTCCTTGCTACCCTCCCTTCCTTCCCCCCTCCTTCTCTCCCTCCCTTCCTTCCTTCCCTGCATCCTTCCCTCCTTCCTTCCTTCCTCCTTCCTTCCCTCCTTCTGTCCTCCCTCCCTCCTTCCCTTCCCTCCTTCCTTCCTCCCTCCTTCCTTCCCTCCTTCCTTCTTCCCTCCTTCCTTCCTTCCTTCCTCCCTCCCCACTCCCTCCCTTCATCACACACTTTCTGAGTAGCTATGGCCCTCCAGGGATGCTAAACTCTGGTATAGATGACTCAACTGGAATTCCAGCTCCAGTCTTCTTCCCAGCCTCATTTTCTTCAACCTCAAAAAGCAGGAAATAGCAATCACGCTAACAGGAAACTGATAAGACAAGGTGAGTTTATGATGAAAGCAAAGAGGACCACAGCACGACGTCTGTGTCTGGGGACCTGTCTTCCTTCCCAACCTCAGCCTTCTCTTCCATGCCCGTCCACTCTTCCTCAGCCCATCCTCCTTCTCGATCTTTCACCAGGTCCTGACATCCACATAGAAGTCTCTCCCCAGAAGAATCCATCAGCCCGCTTCCCCTCGCGTGTTCAGGCAGCTCTGATATCCTGCCTTGAATTAAACGAGGCTTCCCTGGCTTCTCACAGCCCAGGCTGGAATTCCTTGGCTCTCACCTACCCACTGAGCTTTGAGAGCCTGGAGGCTACTCAGTAGAGTCGATGGGGTGGAAAAGATCTGGCTTCAAATCCCAGCTCTGCCATGACCAGCCAGGAGACCTTGGGCAAGTATTCTAACAGCACAGCCTCATTTCCACACCCACACACTGGGAGCAACGCTGTCCACCCGACCCGTTGTGAGGATCAAGTAGATCAAGTAGATCACGGAAATCAAGCACAGGCAGTACCCGCTGTAGCCACCACCCCTGGAAGCACTCACCACTCGTCTCCACCTCTTCCCAGCAGCCCACTCTCTGCTGAGTCCCACTGCCTCCCTACCTGTCTCCATACCTTTACCTGTTTCTCTTTCTTTTCTTAAATTAATTATACATTTCTAAGCAGCAAACACTGTCCGGGTAGTCCTTGTTTGTCTGGCAATTACTAGCTATATCACCTAAGGAAGAAGGGTGCTGGCTGTGTTACACTTAACAGAGCGACGGGCTTGGAAAGAGCGGGTCAGCCTTGAACTTATGTCTCTTTCCCTCCAGTGGAGGCCTGACACTCTGTTTCTTCTTCTATAAAATGAGTGGAGGGGCCAACTCAAAGATTTCAAAAATTGCAGGCCCACAAATGTGCTTTCTTTGGCCCATGTAGTTTTGGGGGTTTTTTTAATGCTTTTAATTGGTTGCCAGCATTAAAGAAAAGCAAGAGTTGTCCCGTGATAATTCAGATTTCTCATTTCCCTTGAAAGCTCAGGCGGCCTGGGAAGCCGGGGTGCACAGTCTCCCGTGGCAATGCTCAGCTGGACCTGAGTAGGGACTGGACCCCCCAGAGTCACCACGGTCCCATCATCCTGCTGCCCTCCTCGCCTCCCTCCCTCCTTTGTGTGACCAGAACGGCCTCTACAGACATAAGAACTGGACCCTTCTCTTTCTCAACTTCTAATTGAAACTGCACAGTCTTCCTATGGAAAGCTACAGTCTGACCACCCTTGTTAAGTATCCTTTTGGGGCCCATTGAATAGATTTCAAAATAGAAGGCCCTTGAGCAGAGAGGAGGGGGCAGGAGTCCACTGGTCTGGGGAACGACCACCACGGCTGAATGGGCAGAACCCAGAGCTCAGAGTCTCCCATCTGAGACACGGTACTTTTTTTTTATTACTGCCCGAGGTTTTGTAGAGAGGTCTGAGGCTAAGTAACGCTCTCCTTCCATCCCAGAACCAGAATGAACCTGGAAGTGAGAGGTTGGAAAGCTTAATTCATTCTGGACCCTGGACATTTGGGGACAGCTCTAGCCCTGCCCTCATGTCCTCAATCCCGAGCGACAGACCCCCCTGCAGCCTCTCAATGCAGGGACAGAGGTGGTGAGGAAAACCCCAGCGATCCTGACACTGCTCCTGGCTCTGAGCTCCCCACTAGATGGCAGATGCCATGGACACAGGACCTGACGTGGGAGCTGCAGTCAGGAAGAACCCTGAGAAGACAACCAAATCAGCCCCCTCATTTAACAGAAGAGGTAGTTAAGGCTTAAGGAGAGAAAGTCACTCCCTTAAGGACACACAGCACCCAACTGTGGTCTCCCTTAGGGAATGTTGCCTCCCATACCCTACATCCATATGCTCCATGCTACACCCTCCCATACCCTACATCCATATGCCCCATCCTACATCTCCCATATCCTACATCCATATGCTCTATCCCACACCCTCCCATACCCTACATCCATATGCTCTATCCTACATCCTCCCATATCCGACATCCGTATGTGAGGGCCGAGTCTGGACTTCAGCCTTCAATAGCCAGTAGCAAACGACGCCCACAGTCGCTTGCCCCAGGTGCCATCGGAACCCACCTTCGTTCTCAGTTTCCATTTCTGATTTTTCACATATAGGTGCTTCCCGTCATCTGCCATCTTAGGAACTGGGATAGTAACTTTGTTGGCATAATTAGGGTCTATTCCCCTGGTGTAGGACCCCTGGGGGAAAAGAACCAAAAATGGCTACTCTTAGTTCTTACACTCCAAGAGGAGGGGAAAAACTAGTGTTTGGCAAGATCTGAAAGATGGGTAAGTTCTGGGCAAGGAAGGCCTGGGCCTGGCCAGCTAGGCTAGTGGTGCGTGTAGACTGGCTGAAGGAGGGTAACGCCCACCAAACATCCGGAGAGGGACCAGCGAGGATGGTGGGCGGTTCCCAGCTTCCAGCATGTCCCCTGGCTCAAGGTCTCCTCTCCCTCTGCTGGGAAAAATCCAAGCTACCAGGAACCCATGATTTAGGGTCAGGCTTCTGGCAAGAAACAGAAGTATGAATACCAGAGATGGTTACTATCCAGGGAAAACTGCATTTTAACCTAAAAAAATACTCTGTGGCTCCGTGAACATCTGTGTACATGAGGCTTTCTTATATTGCACAAGCTGCAATATGGCTCCCTGGGGAAAGTTCCCTGCTCTGTGAGGCTCTGGAAAGGCTCTGCCTCTGTCTTCCCAAGAGGTTTCTATACGTGTCACCCCTGCTAGATGCACCAACAAGGGGAGAGTAAATGGGGGTATCGGGAGTCCAGACAAAAAGGCAGTTGAGGAAGCAGCAGGAGGCCAGCTCAGGGTCTACCGCAGACGGAAAGGCTGGTGCAGACATGAGGCTGGTCTACAGCTGTCCCCTCCCAAAGAAAGTACCTGCAGTAAGGTGATCTGGTGCTGGATGAAAGAGTGCATGGACAGGTCGGTCCTGACCTGCTGTGCCAGCACTGCCCAGTGCTGGCTCACGAACACACACCTGTTCAGGCTGTTCTTATCCAGCATACCTGGAAGACAAGAGGTGGACCTGGGGACCTCCCAACTGCGCTGCGATGGTGGCGGGCGGGGGGCGGGGGGCGAGTCTTGAGAAATCCCCCAACAGGCCCCACGTACCGAGGATATACTTGGAGAGATGGACCGGCAGGTGACGGATGAAGTCGCGGTATGCGCTGACCCCAGAAGACAGCTCTCTGACGGCCTCCAGATCCACCAGCACATCGGCGGCGGGGGCCGAGCCTGCTTTGGACACGCTTGCTTTTTCAGAAGACAGCCTATTCATCTCGGAAATATACTGGAGTGAACTCTTCCACTGTCCTTCTAGAGGAAAGCCGGAGAAGGGGGCATGGTTGGGGCGTCTTTGGGGTGACTCCGGGCCGAGAGCAAGTCCTTGCCAAAAGCTTTCCCCAAAACAGAGCTCACCAGGGCCTACCCTGAGGCCACCGGGGTTTGGTCATTTCTTCCGCCAAAATGAAAACAGAGCTTCCCCAACCAAACGCACCAGCAGTTTTCAACGTTCCCAGCTCAAGTCGATGTCTGTGGCATCCAAACTGCCCTGCTGGTGAGATGGCATGGTGTCTGGAGTTTCCTCTAAATGAGCCCAACAAGAAAAAGTCTCAATTTCAAAAGAGGGGGTTGGAGGAAATGAGATTGGTAAGGCGGTGATAATTACTGAGGCTGGATGACGGTTATGTGGGTAATGATAACACTGTTCTACCTACTTCTGAAACTTGAAAATGTCTGTATAAAAAGCGTTTCTGAATCTATGTTTTGTGTTTCCCGTAATTTTTCCGTGTATATGTCTTGCTTCAAAACCCAAGTGAGGACGGCCCTAAGGTCAGGGCCCAATTCCCCACTGCTTTTGTTTCCACCTCAAGACTGAATCCAATGCCGCAAAAATAGCTCCTGGTGGGTTGGATTCTGGAGGTGCCCCTCCTCATATCCCCCCACACCAGAGGTCAGGGGCTAGACCGAGAGATTCCGGCCTGGGGCAAAAGGGGACTTAAGGTCACACTGACTGATTTTATTTTATCTTTTGGCCACGCCCCACAGCATGTGGGATCTTAGCTCCAGACCAGGGATCGAACCCGCAGCCCCTGCAGGGGAAGCGCAGAGTCTTAACCGCTGGACTGCAAGGGAAGTCCCACACTGACTGATTTTAATCCTTGTTTCTCTCCTTACCAGATGTGGGATTAAATGAGGGAATAAATATCACAGAGCCCAACCCACTTCGTAGGTGACAAGTGAATGTTAGTTGCCCAACTCTGTCCTCCCCAGATACGGCTGCCCTACCAGCCCCTCCATCTCCACGGGACTCCCTCCCCATCGGCTTTCTTCCTACCAGCAGACTTACCAGTAGTGGCTGCTCCCCACGACACATTTTGCTCCCCACGACACAAGTGCAAGCTTGCTTTTCCTGTAGTTTTGGAGAACGGGAAGGATGTGTGCCCGGGTCTGGCTGCCCAGCAGACTTGTGAGGTCTTGCACGGGGGCGTGTGGCCTTTCTCAGGGACGAAAACCACATCCTTGGAGTCTGGGTCGTTCCCTGAAAAACAAAAGGCCAAGATGAGCAGCTCTTTAGTACAGGTGTGTGGAGAGGAAGTGGTAGAGAGAGATGGTGTTATTTCTACTGGCTTCTTTTTAATCGACACAAAACAGACCAGGCCAGTTATGTCTGTTTTTATTTGGGGCCTCTGAGTTTCTACATAAAAATCACAGAGAGCCTCTGTTAGCCTTTGCCAGCCCACCTGCACTGCAAACTTCATCAGGGCTCTATATACACGAGGACAGAGAGAGAATGAGAGGGAGAGAGGGAGGGAAAGAGGAAGAGAGCGAGCGAGGAGCTGGAAGAGGGACTGCTTTTCTGAAGCTTTTGCGTCATGTTCTTCAATGATATGAATAAATGCCCTTGAGTCAAATTAGAAATTTTAATTTTTTTTCTTTCTTTTTGGCCGCACCGCGCAGCATGCAGAACTTCCCCCAACAGGGATCGAACCCATGTCCCCTGCAGGAAAAGCAGAGTCTTAACCACTGGACGACCAGGGAAGTCCTAGAAAATTTAATTTTTAAGAGAGAAGCTCCCCTAGGAAAAGGGGAAGGTTGCCACAACCCGTAACTGGACTTACACAACTTTTAATACAAGGAGCTGATTCCTATGGTGGGTGAGGACCTGTGTGTACAGATGAGGCTACTCAAGCCTGCCGCCGCTGTCCGGGGGCCAGCATTGCCCATGGGAGATGATCAGGATGGGGGGCCTGGTTTTCAACCCCCCGACTGGGTGACCACGGCCAAATCACTCAGGTTCCCTGAACTTCGACTTCCTTACCTATACAATGAAGGAGCTGGACTGATCAATCTCTAATCTAACTTATGGGATCCTCTGATTTTCTCCACCACTTTTTCATTCCAGATGATTATTGTTTTACTTTGTGGACACACCAAAGAAATCAAGGGCATATAACGGGATCTAACTGCCCCCAAGGTCACGTAGCTTTAAACTTTCCCGGGATTCTATGAGTCTGCAAACAGGACCACAAACCAGGTCTCATGGACAGCAGGAATTCCCCGCCCTCAAGAGCTCAACCTCTGAATCCCTCCATCTGACGCCCTCTCCCAGCCTTGTCCCAGTCTGCAATCCTCTGCTTCTAGTACTGGACCCCCTGCAACCCCCAGTCCCTTACCTCCTTTCTGGTTGCTTTTGCTGCCCCAGTCCAGCTGGCCAAACATGTCCAAGACCTTGTCACCGACACCCTAGACCACCGGCTCTCAAAGTGAGGTCACCAGACCAGCAGCAGCATCCGCTGGGAACTTTTTAGAAATGCAGACTTGTGGCCCACATCGCACCTGCTGGGTCAGGACCTTTCGGGGAGGACCCCGGCCACCTGGGTTTTAATAAGCCCTCCCAGTGATTCTGATACAAGCAACGATTGAGAACGCCTACCCCAGCCTTATTTGGCCCCTCCACTACCTCCAGCCTTGGATAAACTCCAAGTCGAGGTTGGATTTTATGTGCAAGCAAGGAATACAGTGGGATGAATGAAGGAAAGCCCTAGGTTCTGACCTCTTGGCCTAGTTTCCGTGCAGTGCAAACTGAAGGGCAAGACAACTCAGTAGCACCCCCCTTACCACCTCAAACCCGCTTCAACCCCTAACCCGCTAAAGCAGGAACCGCCCCAGCATTCAGCAGCAGAGGCGCAGACCCGCCACTTCTGGGCCTAAGGGAGGCAGAAATCCCTTTGAAAAGCCTGACAGTTTAAAGTTCCTTCTGCATTTGTCCTTTTAGAATTTTCTAGAAGGAAGTCACATTCAGCAGCTTCTCCTTCGGTCAGCAGGATCAGGTGTCAGGACAAAGCGCTCTGTTCTGCAATCTGGAAGATCCCCATCTACCTAAGCTTGTCCACACCTCCCGTTCCTTGACGGGCTCCTGAAGTCTGGCCTCCTGGTCTCTGGGGACCCTTAGGTCTCTACCTGTGGCCTCGCTCACCTGAGGCATCGTTCCGCCCTCTCAGAAACAGGACTCTGATGACATCAACAGCAGTGAGCAGTAACTCGGGGTCGCACATCTGCAGCAGCAAGAGTGTGTAATTCGCCTTCGTCCAGCAGCTGCTGTTCCCAAACCAGTACAAAATCTCCCTCATCTTCTGTTCCACCATCTTGTCCAGCATTTGGTTCAAGGAGGACTTGATGATTTTCCCCTCCTTCTTGCTGAGGTTGACCCGGGACCTGTGGTAGACAAAATCCTTCCCCTGCGTGGTCTGAAGGATATTTTGAAAATAGTGTAACAAATACAAGCTATCCAGCTGCTGCAGGATGCTGACCAGAAACCTCCTCTGGGATATCCTGCCCACCCTTCGGAACCACTCTTTGGTGGAGAAGATCTTCCAGGCCAGGACACACGTCTCACACTTCTGGCACACGGGGACAGAATTGTTCCCCTTCTCACATCGAAAATAAGGGGCATTTTTGAGCCTCGATGCCATGTTTTCCATGGTCCCGAGATGTCCAGCTCATTTTATCCTTGCCGGTTGTCAACTGCACCAAACCCCAGAGGAACAGGAGAGGCTGATAAATATCCCAATTGAGCCTTTTCAAATGTGAACATCTCCCAAAGAAAAAGAAAACTGCTGCAAGGGGCAGAAAGCTGCTCTCCCCAGAAACTGCCGTTGACTCTGGCTTTCCGTACTGACCTCCTAGGAAACATGGCTTTACCGTAAATCTCCTAAGCCTGGCGCTGCTCAGGCGGAGGCAGTTGCTGTATATTCTGAAAGAGCCGGTCATGTCATTTCTAGAACAACAGGAAGAGAGGTAGTCAAATTTAAGTAATGTACGGACCCCCTTCAAAGGGGGAAAAAAAACCATTGTGGAGCCTGGTGTTGAGCTTCCATTGTTGCTGTTCGCGAGTGACTTTTAAATATTTGTGAATATGAAATTAGATGGAAACGTCTGTGTACGGCTGTTTGGTTAGAACGATCTTGAATATGTTTATAGTCATCTTCTTAACTCATCATCAAAGTGAAAACACAAATGTTTAATATATATTTGTTACTTAACTGCCTCAGAAGGTTAACCAGAAACCTCTGCAGGGAAAACTCCCTAGTGGAAAAAAATGTCTGTGGGCCTGAGAATATATTTGGGGACTTCCAGCCTCAATCACACACCAACCCAGCTATCTGGGAGGAAGCACAGCTGAGCGGAGTGTGGGGTCTGGGGTCAAATTCCTGGGTTTGGACCCCAGCCCAGCTGCTCACTAGCTCTGTGAACACGGGCACATTACTTAACCCTTTATGCCTCAGTCTCCTCATCTGTAAAATGGAAACAACAGTAGTTCCTACTTCAGAGGCAGTGTGAGGATGAAATGGGGTATTATATGCAAAGCACTTAGAAGACCGCCTGGTACATATTCAGCCCCCAATAAATGCTAACTATCGTCCTACTGTCATCAGTATTATTGTCATTGGGATCATTATTCTGGGCAGCCACATAATCAAAGTCCACTATGATGTTTATACATGCGTATGTAAAGACATTGAGATGCATGGGAAGAAACAGTATGTGTGGAGCTTTTAAAAGAAAAATGACATGACAGTGACTTACCTGTTTCATGAGATCATTACCATTTAGCACTGGCTTGTGATCCACTCAGAAGTGGTGACTTGGGCCATTCCAGCCAAACATGTGGGCACACACGGCCCTCGGGGCCCCCGAAAGATGGTCAGTGATGACCCAGAAGGAGACCAGGGGCTCACTGAGATTTCCAAAACTTTTTAGTAACAAAAGCCTGTTTGCAAATTATATCTTCTGTAAAAACCCAACATGCAACATAGGCATAGTGATAGTCTATTAGTATAAATTTATAAGTTCAAAAGTTGACTTGTTAGCAGGGCAGCTGTTGAGAGCCACGGGGCTATTCTGAAGACAAAACCTTTACACCTGAGGCCAAAGATGACAGACATTGTCTTACACCAGCTTCAGACTCCACAAAATTTAAATTAGCAGCAGCTCCAGAGAACCCAGAGTCCACAGAAAACAGCTTGAAAATCACTCCTAAATGCTGACATACTCAGAATGAAGTGTCTCCAAATAATTTTCAAAAGGTCTGAGAAAAATACGCGCACACACACACACACACACACAACACACATATTCAGTGTGTATATGTGTATACACAGAGAGAAAGAGAGCACAAATGCCAACAAACTGCTAATAACTGGTGAAGTGGGTGAAGAGCATATGAGTGTTCATCATTCTATTCTTTCAGCTTTTCACAGGTTTGAAATTTTTCAAAATAACTAATAAAGCTATACTGCTAAATTAGGAAAAATGACTGTAAAAGACCACTACGTAACCATAGCCCCTCAGCTCACCACCGCAGCCAAAATGCCCTTGCAAACGTAGGACAACCCAGAAAAGAGTTTTGAGGACACCCTGAGACAACTCTACTTCAGGTGGGACCAGGTTCACACACTGATTCTGGTACCACGGAGCTGGGTGATCATGAGCTCCCTGCCTGGCTTCTCTGAGCCTCAGTTTCTCCATCTTACTGATGATGAGGAAGGAGGAGATGAAGGCAGGTGATGGAAATTACGCTACCTTCTACCATCAGATCAAATGTGTGAGGCCAGTTGCCTCTGCTCTTGTTGTTGTTATTACTACCCCGGATTAAACCAAAAGGTTGGCAATACCGTGAGCATGTCTAGCGCCCGCGTCTGGCGACCGGGCACCGATAGAGAAAGGCGGCGTGAGTCATCGCTGGGTTGGTTGGCCGTGAAGGTCTTGTAAAGAGTGGGGGTGGGGACAGGAGCCAGGCCGGGAAGGAGGTCAGTGCTAACAGCTCAAGCTCCTCTATCTGACAGATGCCTGGAGAAAAGGCCAGAGTGGATTAGCATCTCACCCACCAGGAAGGCCAGACAGAGGAGGGAGGCCCAAAGCACCTGAGCGTGTAAGGGGGCACATTACCCCCAGAAATGCTACAAGCTGAAAATACAATAGCTTGTTCCTAAAGGTCCAAATAAATGAGGATTTTCATCTGTGAAGCTGACATACTTCAAGGGAGCAGTTTTACAATCCAACTCAGCCTTGGAGTCAGAGATTGGCTGGAATCCTGCTGCTTTCTTACTAGGGCTGTGGCCTTGGGCAAGCCCCTCGGCCCCTCTGGGACCCCATCTCTCCTCCTCTGTAGAAGATGTGTGATCACCAGTGCCCTGCAGGGTGAGGCTTACATTCGTTAGTGTAACTAAGTCTGGTGGTTACTTCTGCTGCCGCCGCATCCCACATACACAGGTGTGAGCACGCACACACGTGCACACACGGCATGTCAGCCGGCTCAGGCAGGGACACTGGAGCCATTTGAGATCGGGTGTTAGAGTTTAGAATGTGACCTTGGCGGATGGCGGGATGCGACGGCCTGATGCGTAAGCCAGTGGTGGGGAAGTGGCGCCGGTGGTACCCAAAGAGGTAGGCAGGCAAACAGGTCTCGCTGGAGTAAGACCCAGGAGGGGAAAACACTTCTCAGAGGAAAGCTTTGGTGCTGAGACGTACATCTGGAGATTTCTCAAATATCCAGGCTACCAGCAGGCTGCAGGCTCCATGCAGTCCCCGAGCTGCCTTCTGCCCTTTGCATTCTGTTTTGTTCATGATTCTGATTAAAGCCTACACCGCCCCAAATCTTCACCTCCTCTGCCCGCCCCCTGCATGGCGTAGCGAGCCCCAGAAGGCATGGCTGCTGTACCCCCATCGGCTCCGCTGTCCTGCCCAACGACATGCACCTGAGGTTCTGCTGGTTCCCACCCAGCACCTGACCTGGGTCAGATGGCGGGAAATCAGGGAAGGGCTCAGGATGCAGAGCAGGAGGGTCTCGGCTACGGAGCGGCAAACATACCTCCACCCCGCGACTCACTTGCCGCCCTCGGCTGCCCGCCTCTGTAGATGGAGATCGTGAGTCCACCTCGCTCACAGGCGGGTGATGTGTTTGCAAAGGCACTTGATCACATGGGAAAAGCTGTACTAGGATCGTTCTCAAGAGGAAAGATGGGAAAACCATCGTGTTTGAGCCACCGCCTGCCAATCAGGTGGTGTCACACTTGTTGGCAAAGTTAACTGAGACAAGTCTTCGTTCCTGAGAAATCGTGGAGTTTCCAGTTGCCATTTGCCCTTTGGTTTAAAGAGAAGCAGGTGGGGGGCTTCCCTGGTGGCGCAGTGGTTGAAAGTCCGTCTGCCGATGCAGGGGACACGGGTTCATGCCCCGGTCCGGGAAGATCCCACATGCCGCGGAGCGGCTGGGCCCGTGAGCCATGGCCGCTGAGCCTGCGCGTCCGGAGCCTGCGCTCCGCAACGGGAGAGGCCACAACAGTGAGAGGCCCACATACTGCCAAAAAAAATGGATACAGAAACATTAAGAGGAAAAGGGTAAAAATATATATGCAGATGAATACCAGTCAAAAGAAAACTATTGTGGTTATGGAAATTTTAGGAAAAAAATGGACTTTAAAGCAAACAATGTTGCTATAGGTATTGGGACACTACTTAATGATAAAAGATTTAATTTGATAGTAAGTTAAAATAATTCTAAACTATTATGCACCTAATCACAAGGCCTCAAATACATAAAGCAAAAGTTGACAGAAAATATAAAAATAGATAACTCTACCACCATTGCAATAGATTTTCATATCATACTCTCAGAAATTATGAGTCCAAGCATTCAAAAAATCAGCAAAGACATAGAAGATGTGAAAATAAAACAATTAAAAAGTTTAACCTACTAAATGGATAGAAAATTGTACCTAATAGCTACTGAGAGTATTTATAAAAACTGACCATATAGTGCTGCATTATGCAAGTTTCAACACATTTAAAAGAATTGGTATCATACAGAACACATTTTATAACAATGCTATCAATAAAAATTACTAACAAGGGGCTTCCCTGGTGGCGCAGTGGTTGAGAGTCCGCCTGCCCATGCAGGGGACACGGGTTCATGCCCCGGTCCGGGAAGATCCCACATGCCGCGGAGCGGCTGGGCCCGTGAGCCATGGCCGCTGAGCCTGCGCGTCCGGAGCCTGTGCTCCGCGATAGGAGAGGCCACAACAGTGAGAGGCCCGCGTACCGCCAAAAAAAAGAAAGAGAAGCAGGTGGGGAACGAGGGCATTGGCTAGAAATGTCTCCCTCTCCGGGAGGGGGAGAAACACGAGAGCACAGAAAAGTTCTCACCTGGCTGACACGGCCAGGTCCTCAAGGAGATCGGGTGACTTCCTGCTTGTTCGGAAACTCGCGGCCACTTGCTACTGGTATGAAGGGTGGAACAGATTCAAGAGAGTAGATGGGGCAGACAGAAGTTCTCAAACCCAAGTCTGCATCAGAAGCCCCAGAGGCCTTGTTAAAACACTGCCCCAGAGCTTCTGATTCAGCGGGTCTGGCTGACGCCCGAGAATTTGCTTTTCTAATAGGTTCCCAGGTGGTGCCGATGCTGCTGGTCAGGAAGCCACACTCTGAGAACCACTGATGTTCATGTCTCAGAGCCTGTGAACATAACCTCGTTTTAGAAATAAACACAAACGTTTTTTTCAAAACGTCCTACTGAGCGTCCTTGACCAAGTTTTGCCTCTCTGAGCCGCCAACCTTTTCATTTTCATTCCATAGAACAGGAAAAATACTACCTATCTCACAGGGCTGCAAAGATTAAACGAGGTAAGAAATGGGGAACGGTCCTCAAAATGCCAAAGCCCTCCCTACTCATCATTAACTTTAAAAACCTAAGCTTTAAAAATTTTTTTAATTTTTATTTTTTGCCAGCGTCGCAAGGCAGGCAAGATCCTAGCTCCCTGACCAGGGATCAAACCACAGCCCCCTGAAGCCGCAGTGGAAGCGTGGAGTCTGAACCACTGGACCGCCAGGGAAGTCCCCAAACCTAAGCTTTTTAGAGGAAACCCGAGGGCCTCAGCAAAACTTCAGTGAAGGAACGCGGCAGCCAGCGGTGGGTGTGAAGAGGAAAGAGGATCCAGAACCTCTGGAATGTCGGATCAGCTGCATCTGCTATTATACGTCCCTGTCTATGCTTAGGGAGTTGCCAAAGACCGTGGAGGCTTCTGTGGGACATACAGAAGAGTGGCACACACTGACACAGCTTGGGGAAAATGACAGAGGGCGTAAAATTGGCCTTTGTTATCTTTTTTTAATTTTTTATTTTGTTTTAGGCGATTTTCAGTTTTTGGACCCAGGGGAAGAAAAAAGATATGCCCATCGCTTAAGGCAATGCTAATGCTCAATTTTGCTTTGATCTTCTATCTCGAGAAGAAAGGTCTTAAAACCAAAAATGAGTGGACAAAAAGAGGAACTGAAGTTCAAAACAGGTAAGGAGACACCCAAAGAGTTCCTTTTATGAATCTGAGTGTGGCCTAAACAAATTACATCTCACGACACTGACACAGTTTACCAACGTGACTGAAATCCAGGCAGTAAATTTTGAGAAATTAGGGAGAATGGTGGAGGATGAAGACAGGCAATGTTGTCTTGATTTTTTAAAAGAAAAAAAAGGTAGATTCTGGAAACAGCAGATGAGGTGTGAACTTACACCAGAATTCTAAAATGGTTTGTCAAATATTATGTGAGCATTTGGAGAAGAAAGTAAGGAGCAATCAACAACCCAGCCAAGCTGATCTCACTTTCCCCCTAGAGGGCATCATGAGAGAGGAAATGCTGACATAGTATATCCTGATCTCTGCCACTGAAAAGTCCTTCATGGTGTGCAGTGGATAAAGGGGCATAAGGTGGGGCTACATTAGCAAACAATTCTACTGATGTATAACTTATTGAATAACTAAACCCAAAAGATATTGGCTGAGGACTGCAAGATTCCAATCAATATAGGTATCAACCTAATCAATATGTATATCAACAAGAGTAAGATTTAAGAAGAAAAGGTTACCAATTCTGTAGGTGACACCAGGCTAGGAAGGAGAGCTATTACACTGGGCATAGAGTCATGAATAAAACTGTCTCCGCAGCAGCAACGATGTGACGACATTTAGAATGCAAATTTAAAAATTTCTAAGGATGCACAGTATAGCCCAGGGAACTCTACTCAATACTCTGTAATGGCCTATATGGGAAAAGAATCTAAAAAAAGAGTGGATATATGTGTATGTATAACTGATTCACTTTGCCGTACAGCGGAAACTAATACAACATTGTAAATCAACTATACACCAAAAAAAATTTTTTTTAATATTTTCAAGGTCAGTAAAATTCAAAGCTTTTAAATTCAATTAAAAAATTCAAATCCTATACTATATAAATCCTAGAATTCAAATGTAGGGCAGGGTCTCTGGAAACGAGTCAAGTGACGCTGGAGTAAAGTACTCTTGACACAGGACCGTCAGACTGGCCAAAGAGGAAGGGACTTGACTTGACACAGGTCACGGAAAAGACCCAGAAGTTGTATTTCCAGGGAATCCCGAAAGGGGCCTCAGGTTATATCCTCAGAAACCCATTTAAATACAGTTTGTCATTGCGCTTAGGGAGCGCGTCTGAAGAAAGGAGGGGGATGTGATCAGAGGAGTAGAAGGTCCGGAAACCACAAAGGAAAGTGGGAGATAGAGTGAGAAGCCAAGAATAATTCCCGGGCGGGACAGTGTGAGAGCTGCCCCCAAACACGTGGAGAACTGCCCTTGAATGAGGAATCAGACGCATCCACACCGTCTGGGTGGCTCCAGGAGAGAGGAAGGAGCCCCGTCGCCTGAGGTCACAGGGACTATAGGACTCGGACCCCACTAAGACATTCCTGCAATCCTCACTGTCCCCAAGCCAGGTGAGCTTCCAGGTAAGGTAGTGAGCTCTCCATCACGGCAGAGCTGCAAGGCCTGGTCAGACGTGCGGGTGCAAAGCGACGGAGACCGTAAGGCGCTCTACTCCTATGAACGCAGTTCATGATGTGGTTTATTCCCGTGCACACAACACCCACCGTCTAAGGAGCAAGGCAGCGTGGGGTCGGGGTTAGAAGTTCAACGTCAGCCCTCCCAGGTCTGAATCCCGGCTCGGCCACTCACTCACCACGTGACCACGGTGACCCCGAGCAAGTTCACTGACCCCCACCAGACCACAGCTTCCCCACCTGCAAAATGGGGACGGTGTGAGCAGCTACCCCACGGGGCTGCCATGAGAGCCACGAGGGCTGACGCACGGGAGGAGCTCAGGACAGTGCCGGGGACGCGGGGGAAGCGAGATAAAGTTAGCGATTTATTCTGATTCCTCTGCAGTCTTTCTGACGGTTCTGAGGATTCCTGGTGACCACCTCTGGGCACCGTGCACTGTTCACCCGAGCAGACAGGACATCACGAGAAGATGGCGAGGGGGACTTAGGGCCTGAGGGTTATTGCAAACGTGGGGAACAGTGCTGCATGGAGCCCAAGGCGGCGGCCAGAGACCCTTCCCCTCATCCTGTGACCCACGTGATTTCTGAAGCCAGCAACCGCTGGCAGAGATTCTGCCCCCCAGTCAGCCTTAAAACGCAAGCTGCCGCCCCATCTGTGTGTTAGCACAGGTCTGGGCTCTGGACCCCGGCATCTAGGGAGCAGGCTCCACCGGGGTCGGTGCCGGCTTCTCGGGTTCCTCTCCCAGATCCGCAATCCGGATGGTGTTGTCCTTCTTGGAAAGCCAGAAGGCTGGGTAGACAGGCTCTGAAAACTTACAGTCGAAACGGTGCACCAGCGTCATGGCCTCCTGCTCAATGCCGTAGAAGGAGAGGACGCCTCCGGGGAAGTCCACATAGACTCCCAGCCTCCGACAAGGGCGGGCCCTGAGTGGGGTCTCCGTGTCACTGTGCCAGGCCCTGAACCCCTTGCCATCCCACTGGAGGCTCCAGGAGAAGTCGTTTCCGGAAATGCAACCATTGCGTTCCTCGCCCTTGCGGTCGATGCCCTGGCACGTCAGGCCCACGTAGATGCCCGCCCCGGAGAGCTCCACCTCGAAGTAGTACCTATGCAGGTAGAGGCTCTGCTGGGCCAGCACCTGCCGCCAGTGTGTGAACCTGCTGGGGAGGCCCGGGTACGGGTGCGCCCAGGGCGTGGTGTTGGTGACCTTGCGGTTGTCCTCCTGCAGCCGGAGGTACCTGTGTGCCGTGTCGGGATCGAAGGCAACGTCACAGGCATCTGAGGGGACACAGAAAGTCAGGGACCGACAGCTGATTCAGACCCAACACTTCAAACCTAGCGAGCCTCCAAAGGACGAAAAGACATCCGTCTCCCAGACCCCTGTTCCTTCCCAGAAAAGAGATGGGTGAAAACCAGAAAACAGAACGCAAGTGTGATATTGTGATTTATAATAAATATATATTTGGTCTCTGGTTCCCGTTTGCCGGCACAAAGCTCCCTGTGATCTCCTGAGTGATAAGAGCACTAGGACCATCTGTTGTTCTAATATTTGGTCTTTGGCCCCTGTTCCCGACACAGAGCTACTGAAACCCTTGTAATTTCCCAGGTTATACATGTATCTTTTGTTCTGACGAGGCAACTCTGGGTGGGCTCCTGGAGGGGGCTGGCTGGTCACCAGAGAGACCAAGTCATGACTAGAAGCTTGGAACTTGCAGCCCTAACTCCTATTCTCATGAGAAGTGAGAGGGGCTGGAAATGGAGTTAGTGGGCCATCATGCCTATGAGATGAAGCCTCCATAAAATCTCAATAGTGCAGGGTTCTGAGTGCTTCCAGGTTGGCAAACATCCACACCAGAAGGCGATGCACCCCATCTCCATGGGGACAGAAGCTCCTGAAATCAGGACCCTCCCCAGCCTTGCCCCGTGCCTCTCTCTCTCCATCTGGCTGCTCATCTGTGTCCTTTACCACATCCTTTAATAAACTGGTGAATATAAGTGTCTCCCTGACTTCTGTGAGCTGTTCTAGCAAATGCTCGAGTCCAGGGCTGGGGTGGGGGGTCCTGGGAACCTCTGATTTGTAGCCAAGTAGGACAGAAGTTGTCCGTCACCTGGGGACCCAATACTTGGCGACTGGCATCTGAAGTGGGAGCCATTCTGTGGGATCTGACGCCATCTCCAGGCAGTGCCAGAACCGAGCTAAACTGTGGGACGCCAGGGCAGTGTCACGGAGAACTGCTTGCGGGGGGGTACCTCGCCCATGCAGGTCGTAAGTGGTCCCAGACCCCTTTTGACAAGTCAACCCACCTCCTTCCTTCCTGAAGCTCAAATTGCTTGGAATTTACTGTATTATTTGCTGCACTGAATCAAGAAGTAAAACCTACGGATGGGCTCACGCTTTCATTCATTCAAACAAATACGTCCTGAAATCCAGGCACTTTTCTACCCAGTGTCGGCAAGGGTTTGGGGCAGACAGGCACTCATACACCCACATTTGATTCACTCATTTGTTAAAATATCTGGCCAATATTTAGCAGGGGAACCCTCAAGCAGTCCCCCGCCCCACACATTCTCTTCCTGGTCCCAGAGAACAACACCTCCACGCACCCAGGTGCCCAAGTCACACTCCATTTCTTTTCCCTCATCCTCCCACATCTTGTCCCACCACACACACAGGCAGCCCTGAGTCCTCTCAGTGCCCTGCTTCACCCCCATCTAAGCCACCCCCAAATCTCCCCCAGAGCGTGCAGTAGCCCCACACTGGTCGGGGTACTCTCTCCCGCCTCCCCCGCCCAGACCTTCTCCCCGACAGGAGCTCGCTTCAGGGAGCCAGCTAAGGTGAATCGCGTCGCCCCAGCTTACAGCCCCTGATGGCGCCCCTGCCCTTAGGAAAAAGCGGTGACCTGCCTCCCTGGCCACGCAGCCCTGTGTGACTGGCGCTTGCCTGCGTCAGCAACCTCGTCTCCTGCCCTCTCCCCCTTGACCTCCACACTCCAGCACCCTGACCTCAGACCCACCCAATGCTGAACCCGCTCGGGCGGCTTCGGCACAGACCGTTCCCTCCACGGTGGGGTCCTCGCCCTGACCTGAGTCAGGGAGATCCCGACTGATCCGTTCGGGTTGCGGTTGTGAGTCTGTCCTCAAAGAGGTCTCCATGCCTGCCTGTCAATGTCTGTCGGAGAACCCTGGCTTTATAACTTCCTGGTACTCATCACAATGTGTAATTATTTATCAGTGTGTTTGTTTCATGAATGTTCTCCTTTTATTCTATCAGCTCCACATTTTATGCGGGACTCTATCCTGGGGTTCTAGCTCTGAGAAGATGCTCGGTATACACGTGCCAAATGAATGAGTGCGTTAGTACTCTTCTCATCTAGGGCAACCCAGGGCTCCTTACAGGGTAGGTGATTCTATGCCTTGGGACAAGAAAACCAGAATGGGTCTGGAACATTCTGTTAGTGCCAGAAAGCAGCAATACTTTTTAGAATCTCAAGGGCAGAAGGTCAAGGCTTAAAGGTCACAGAGGCCAGCTTACAAGTGGCTCCCACTGGTCAGTCAAGTTGGCAATTTGACAGAACCTGGACAGGTGAAATGATGTGAGTCCATAAAAGGCTAAAAGTTCACAGCAATACTCTAGGAGCAAAAGTTAATATCATGCATGAAAAGAGACAACTTTCATGCAACAGAAAACAGATTATAATAGGATGTGGTTCACTTTTATTTTAATGTTAAGCACAAAAGGTGTTTGGCTTCTTGTATTAACTATATCTGTTAGTAAAACATACATGTGGGGCTTCCCTGGTGGCGCAGTGGTTAAGAATCCGCTTGCCAATGCAGGGGACACGGGTTCAAGCCCTGGTCCGGGAAGATCCCACATGCCGCGGAGCAACTAAGCCCGTGTGCCACAACTACTGAGCCTGAGCTCTAGAGCCCGTGAGCCACAACTACTGAAGCCCATGTGCCACAACTACTGAGCCCACGCGCCAAAACTACTGAAGCCGCACACCTAGAGCCCGCACTCTGCAACAAGAGAAGCCACCGCAATGAGAAGCCCGTGCACCACAACAAAGAGTAGCCCCTGCTAGCCGCAACTAGAGAAAGCCCGCGCACAGCAACGAAGACCCGACGCAGCCAAAAATAGATAATTAATAAATAAATAAATTTATTTTAAAGAAAAAACATAGACGTGCTGGTGTCAGGAAGCAGGAAAGAATAAATCAAGGAAACTGTGTGGAAACCGAGAGGTCCTGGGGAAAATGAGGAGCTGTGGAAAGAACAGGAGACAGTCATCGAACCCGAGGCTCCACGTCACGACCAGAGCAAAAGGGGTTCAGGAGTTGGTCAGCCAGCGCTCACCCCCAGAAAGCAAGCAGAAGCAGGGTTCAACAGCACGTTCCAAATAGATGAAGCAGCTGCATGTCCTAAAAGTGAGCCTTGACTACCCAGATGCAGCCCTTCCTCTCCTGGGAGATGAAACCTCCCTGCCTTGTTAACGATAAGGAAGTATTGATTGGAAATAACGTGTTTGCAAAAATGCTGACAGCCCAGGACACTCCCACATCATGACAGGACAATGGGTTTTGCAGTTCTGGCCAAGTTAGACTTAACAGGGAGCCATTTGGGAACTAGCCAGGATCTTTGAAAGGGCCAGGGTCATGAAGGACACAGAAGGACAAAGGGACTGGACCCAGACTGGAGACAAAGAAACATCTGTGACCTTGGACCGGACTTGCAGCCAGAAAAAGGACACTGGGAGGAATACCTCGTGAAACCTGAATAAATTCCATAGATTAGTTAATAGACTTGCAGTAATTTCATTTTCCAGTTTGGATCAGTGGACCGTTGTAACGTAAAGTGTTAATGTTTGGAAAAACCGGATGAAAGGTATACAAGAATTCTTGGTCCTCTTTTTGCAATGTTTTAGTAAGTTTGAAACTGTTTCAAAATGAAAAGTTCAAATTTTTTTTAAATTAAACTTTTTAAAATGTACCATTTGGGAATAGACCCTGATGTTGCAAGAACCTGAAACCTACGTGAGAGACGGCATCCTTGCTTCCAAAGCCTCACACGTACACCCACGCCCAGGGAAAGGGAAGCTGTTCACGACTTACACAGGAGGAACTGCTGCCTGGTGCTGGGCTCCGGTTCTGAGGTCCAGTGTTTGTGTTCAGTGAGGGCACACACCTGAGTTCCGATGTCGTACTCCTCTAGAAAATCAGAGAATTGTGAATGCACACCTGTCCAGGTGGGCAGGAGAACCTAAGAAGCAGGAACCCCCAGCCCCTCTTCCCTGGGCTTCCTCGGGGAAGAAGGGCCCGGACACTAGTCACGTGTCAGAGACCCCTGCTCAATGGACCACACTAAAGTAAAACACGCCGAGGAAAGACCCCAGCCTGACTTGGATTTCCCTTGAAAGTACAGGCATCAGCAACCTCAGAAGCTAGTCTCGGAGATGCCGGCCAAGGGCGTGATGTGACTGACTCACATTCTCTGGTCTCAGTCATCAAGGTAAGTGTCCATCAGTAGCACGGCTAGCCAGAGGATGGCTCTGAAAACGAGAAGCTCCCCGGTTCTGCTCTCCCTCCCAACTCCCACCTCCCGCGTCAGCCCCTCCGAGACACTTCAAGCCACAGCTTCTCACCTTCCTTGGAGAACTCCTGGAGCTTCTCCTTGTAGTTCTGCAGCAACTGGATCAGGTGTGCGGTGGTGTCCGTGATGACCTTGCGGATGCCCGAGAGCTTGTCCTTGAGTCCAATGTAGACACTGGGGAAAGCATCGTCCTTCATGTTCTTGAACTTGCAGTACTCCTGCAGGAAAGGACACACGGCAGAACTTGCCCTGGCTTCTGTGCTTCTTAAACAGGGCTGTCCTCCTCAATACGGCACTTTCCTCATCTGTAAAATAGGCTGATGGTGACGTGCACTTCACAAAGAAAGTGTGTGTAATGGGTCCAGCTCAGTGTCTGATAATGTAGAAAGCATTCGTGTTTTTTAACTGGGAAAGTGGACTTTGAAAAATCAAGAGATACTAGGCACCCACGAGCAGATGCAATACACAGCCCAGACAGGGAATCGAAGAACAAATGTGTTACACCAACAGCGCAGATGGCGGTAACATTCCTGCAACCTTCATTCTATCAGTACTTTTTTTTTTTTTTTTTTAACTAATTTAAACACAAACCACGACAGGGATGGAGGAAGGGGTGTAGCACTTGGAAGATTCACAGACAAGTCCTCAGGCGGGAGTGCTTGCTGCTGCATTTTCCTAGTCGGTTCAATCCAATACAGTGTTCTCTAATTCTTGTTCTGTGCTTTAGAGTTTGAAAAGTGTTTTCACATAGGTAATCACATTATCAAGCCTCTCATGCTTCAAAACTCTGCAGTGATCAGGAAAGGTTGCTTTCAGGTGTAACACATTATCAAAACTCAAACGCAATGGAAGCACTGGATTACAGGGTGGGTACGGCAGAAAACTTAGCGATGAAAACAGCTGTACCAGAATGGTTAGATTAATAATGGAAGAGAAGAAAGAGGCCAAGCCAGAGAGTAGACAGGGAGAAAAATGAACATTTTAACACCATATGTAGAGTTAGTGCCATATATGATAAAAGTAACATTTTAGATCACTGGGGGGACTTCCCTGGCGGTCCAGTGGTTAAGACTCTATGCTTCCAAGGCAGGGGGCGAGAGTTGGATCCCTGGTTGGGGCACTAAGATCCCTCATACTGCACGGCACAGCGAAAAAATAAAAAATAAAATAAAATAAAATGGTCTATTTCTAAAAAAAAAGAATCACTGGGGAACAATACATGTCATTTCGATTGGCTAAAAATGTGTGGAAAAAGAAGTTATGTTTAACTAAAATAAGTTGGCCTATACTAAAATATATTTTATACATATTAAAGTTTTTATGTTAAAGTTACAAAAGGAGAAAAAAATAAAGAGATTTTATTTCTTTTTAAAAATTATTTATATGCTCTTTAGGAAACTCATGACATGGGAAGCCAAATTTTTCTTCATAGTTTCTTTGTTTTGATATTGAAAAGTAAAGGAACTGAAAGACATTCTTTGGTATGTCTGTCTGTCTCTGTCTGCTTCTCTTTCTCTCACTCACTACAAGGCTAACGATGATTATCTTGGGTGATGGGAATATGAATGATCGTGTTCCTTTATATTTTTCCATATTTTCCAAGGCTTTTTTTCATAATAAACATTTATGTCTGCCATTAACTGGAACGGAATCTTCCCAAAATGCAATAAAAGAATTATTTGTATGTAGGAATATTAGCACTGAAGGAGCCTTGGAAATCATTGACTCCGACCTGCTTGTTTATAAATGAGGAATTTGAGACCCAAAAAGGTCAAGTGACTTGCTAAAAACTACACAGCGCTCTAGTGACAGATCCAGGAGGATGGAATGTCTGATGGCAGGTGGCTTAACATACAATGAATGGCACATGGTAATGAAAGGTCTCATCTTCTCTGCTGGGCTGTCTGTCCTCAGTCACCCCCAGCGCGTGCAGCCCTCTCCGAAAGGCAGCAGGACCCGGGTCTCACCCCGGCCCAGCAAGCATCCCTCCACTGTCGGAGCGGTTTATAAAGCACACTGAGGCCTGAGCTCATCACCCCTCAGCTGAAGTCCTCCCTGGGCTGCTGTGCCTTCACGATGAAGAGCAAGCTTCTACAGCCAGATGCCCACCTGGTCCCGCCAGCCTCGCCTCCCATCACTCTGTACCCAGCATCCCACACCCCATCCCTGTGAAAGCACCTCAGTTCCCCAAGTCAGCTGTGCTGTCTCAAACCTCTCTGCCTCGGCACATGCCGTTGCCGCTGCTGGCACAGGATGCGTCTTCCACGACCCGGTTCCAGCCTCTCTGCTCTGGAAAGCCCTCCCTCCTGTACCCCTGTACTCAGCTCCTCTCTGCCCTCACAGCTCCCTGCGCACCCGTTTATCAGCGGGCAGTCCCCCTCCCCCGTGCGCCACAGGCCGAGCAGAGCAAAGGTCTCCCTGGCGTCAGCGGCATGGCAGCCCATACCTCCAGGAAAAGCACGGGGTTGCCGATGGCAGCGATTCTGTCCAGTTCCTGCCTGGTCTTCTCCATCTCTGCGCTCCTGTACTCCAGGTGGGTCTTGATGCCATTGGCCTGGCCCAGGGCAGCTTGTTCCTTCTCCTCCAAGAAAAGCATCATGTCAGCCTGGGCCTTCCTCATGGCAGCAAGGAGATTCCCAAACTGCTCCTTGGCCACTGCCTTTACCTCCGACACCGACACCTGGCGGGGGGAGGGGCGGGGGGGTGAAGAGCCTGTTAGTGAGGCGTCCAAGCTTCTCAAAGCTCAACACGCAGAAACGCAAACCCGAGAAACCCGCAAATCAGGGAGCGATTTCCTATTGTAAAAGCAAGCCTTTATTCTCATTTGAATCCTGGGTTCCCGGAAACAAGAAGGACTCTCCAGGGTATAAGTACTTATTTGCCAATCATTCCCTTAGTCTCTCATCCATCAGATGAGAGAGTGAATTATCTGATTTCTGAGTCCAGCTCTGACAGTCGGGCTGCTCTTCAAGTTTGTGACATCAGTCTACCAACCAGGACAATGTGCGTATTCAGTACACTTGATAGTCATGTTTCTTGCGGTAAAATAATAATTTGGCTTCTTTGTACAAATCAGTAGCATGGATTTGCTTTCTTAGCATTTCATTTATGTCCAGTTAAACTGCCCACCGGGTCCATCTGAGCCAAAAGCACATCTAACCCTATGGTGTCTGTGCCAGGCACAAAATGTTTAGGGTGTGTGCAGGTGTCCACAGCACCTAAGCATCGCAGGACCAGCCTACCTATGCAGAATGGAATGCCACGTTCAAAAATATATAAAACAAATTCCATGTGATGAATAGCAAGGATTTGCATGATGGCACTTGTGCATGTTGGATTCTATCCTTCCACATCCTTTACAAATGCCTTCAGTCAATGTCATATTTACAACTTCAATCCACGTTTTCAACGGTTTCCACTTCTCTTTGGTAGTTCTTAGGTCCTGGTGCTGACGGCTCCCTCTGACAACGCCCAACTCCAGATCGTTGCCCCAACACAAATTACCTGGTTAAACTTCATGTAACGTTCTTGGAAACACTTTCCTTTGCTCACCCTGCCTTCAATCTCCCCCATTGTCCCTCCATGCCCATCCCATCTGAGAGCCCTCTGAGCAGCCCCTCCAGGTACTATTTTCTGTCCTCCTGGGGTCCTGCCGCCTGCCTGGTCACTTTTTAATTACACAGCATAGTAATACAATACCGGCCACATTTAGTAAGTGCTCATCATGGGCCGGGCATTGTTCTGAGCACTGCATACACGCTCTCTCACGGCGACCCTAGAAGGTAAATACAGATGTCCCTCCATACCTGCGGACTCCACATCCACGAATTCAACCAACCACAGAACGAAAATATTTGGGAAAATATTCCAGAAAGTTCCAAAAAGCAAAACTAGACTCTGCCAAGCTGGCCACTATTTACATAGCATTTACATTTTATCCGGTATTGTAAGTAATCTAGAGAAGATTTAAAGTATACGGGAGGATATGCGTAGGTTTACGTGCAAACACTAGGCCATTTTATACAAGGGACTTGAGCATCTGTGGATTTTGGTATCCGTGGTGGGGGGATTGGGGGTTGTCCTAAAACCAGTCCCCTGAGGACACCAAGGCACGACTGTACTACTACAGTCCCCATTTCTTAGATAAAGAAACTAAAGCACCGCCATTTCAACAGACTGAGTAATTCTTAGGTCAAGGGAGCAACACTTGCAGGCTCTCCTGTCCCATCAATCTAGGGACCCTGGACGATTCTTGTTGTCTCTGTGTCCTCATGTACCTCCTACATGGTGGCCACTATGGTAACTACCTCACCTGGTTACCATGCAGTTAAGAGAAGAACTGAGTAGGGATCAAAGTGTCTGGAAAATAAAGAGCTGGAAAAAGGCAAGATGCTCCATGCGGTTCTCCAGATTACACTGAGCATGGAAATCAACAATCTCTGAAGGTTTCCAAGACTTTAAAAGTGATAATTATTGTTCTTCTTTTCATAAGACTATATGGGTAAGAAATAGGTATTCATTCTTCCACAGCCAGTTAGTTATAAACACCAAGAAGGAAGAAATTAAGTTGAAATGGTTACATGTATTAGATATGGATAGATGGATGGATGGACGGATGGATGGATGGATGGGTGAGCGGATGCGTAGGTGATGGATGGATGGATGGATGGATGGACGGAGGGGTGGATGGATGGATAGATGGATGGGTGGATGGATGGATGGATAGGTGGGTGGATGGATGGATGGGTGGATGGATGGATAGTGGATACGTAGGTGGATGGATGGATGAATGGATAGAATCATTCTTGATATGCAAAGATGCTGCTGCTGACTGACTGCCATAGGGTAGTTGTTTTGCATTCTCCTCTGAGTTGTGGTTATTGGCTTGCCACTAATGAGAAACCTTTGTGGAACTGTTTGGGTCTACTTAGGGTTTATTATAGAAAGTGGTCATAAACCAGAGAGACTAAAACTAAGTAGCCTGGCACGCCACTGGCCTTATCAAGTACCATCCACTAATCCAGCAGCTCTCACCTCTCTTTTCTGGCTGCCAGGATTTAGGACTGGTGAGAAGTGCATGCAGAACACCCTCCTATGATGGAAGAATCCACGATTATGCATAATTTCTGGAGCTCTGGCTAACCACCCCCCTTGACTCCCACATACACCCTTTTCTCCCGGTCAAAAAAGCATATACACATGTACAAATAAGGACACTGTCATTACAGGACTAGCTTGCTTCTACTCTATAACATTAAAAAGTAAATCACTTGCCAGTTCTGAATCTTGAACTAATTTCATAGCAAATCCCCATAACAAGTTGAAGCCACCCTGCAGTGTGGCCGACCTTATCTGTACCCACAGTTCTCACCCAATGATAAAACCCATGGGGCCCGTGCACATGGGGGCCGGGCCTGCACCCTGCATCCCACAACCCCGGGTGGGCCTGGCTGGGCATGCAGCAGCGCCAAAGCCCGGCAGGTGACCCCGGCCAGCCTTACCAGAACAGATTTATGGTTGTCTTGGAGCCTGGCGATGGCATTTTCATTCAACTTGAGTTTCCGCTCCAGGTCTAACTGGGTGATCCGAAGCTCAGCCTAAGAAGAGGAAAGGTCAGCGTCAAGGAGGAAGGAGCCCAGGGCACTCGGAAGGTCCCCAGGAGCAAGGGCACCGTCTGCCCTTCTTCCATGGAAAGGGGAGTCTGTCTCAGAAGCTGCTCTCAGAAGCCAGGCTGGAGCACCCACCCTCAGTGGAGGCACAGAGGGTCAGCTGTGTGCCGGCACTTCCTGGGGTGAACTGGCTAAAATGCAGGGAGGGCTTACGCTGCACTGGGCATCGCTTCAAGCATTTCTCTGTGTCACCTCTTATCATCCTGACCATGCCCATAGCAGGTAAACACATTATCTCCATTGTACAGGTGAGAAAATGGAGCCACCTATCCAAGGTCACACGGTTGTCAGTGGAGTTGAGTCCAGCCCATCCGGCCCAGAACGGCCTGACAAGGAGCACAGGGCGCTTGAAGTCGGGGGTGGGCATCCCAGGGTTTCTAGTTAGCAGATGAGACTTCGGGAAAATCTACTTAACGCCTCCACACTTGCATTTCTTCACCTGTGAGGTGGGAGCAGCTAAAGTGCCCAATTCGCAGGGCTCCCGCAGGGATGGGAGGCATGTCAGCAGGAACTCTGTACAGGAGCGCGCACGCTGCAGGCGCTCCATCCGTGTCAGTAGTGTCATTATCCTCATCGTTGCTAGCACTACCTCGGCCGCTTTCCATCACGGACTCTTATTCTCTGCCGGATGCAGGCGGAGCGAACCCTCCCCGCTGAGGCAAGTGCCCGCCTGAGAACCCCGGGTTTGCCCACGTCGACGCCCCTGCCCAGCCCCACTCTCGCCTCCTGAAACTCCCCAAGCACTGTCTGCCGAGAACATGCCGAGGCATGAAACCAGAGCCTTTGCAAACTTCAGAGGCCCTGTCACTTTCTGCGTCCACAAGGGCACGAGACAGCAGCAACAGAAAGGAGAGCTTTCACTCATTTTCATAGCAGCGTGTCTGCACTCGCCCTAACAGAACTCGGGGTGCGGGGGCACCGTGACGCGTCTTCCCCTTCCTCTCACTGAAGCCCACGGGAATCCCAGGCCCCAGTGGTGGCAGCCCAGGCAGGCGGGGGACTCGCCTCCCTCTGCAGAAGCCTGGCAACGTTTGCTCAGGCCCTGCGGCCCTGACTCAGAGCCGAGTGAGTCCAGGTGACCTCCCACCCCTGAGGCCTGAGACCTGATGCCCGGGAGTGGGGGAAGCAGGGAAGATGCGGGGTCCGGCCTATTTGGGGGCAACGTGGAATCTTGGTCTGTCTAGAAGGCTTATTACCCAGTGACCTGTTCCACGACGGGAGGGGACAGGAGCTGCTTGTTGAAAGGTGGTGGGAGATACAACAGAACACACGTTAGCAACGAGTGCAGAGCGTATTAAAGCGGTCGGCCCCAGCACCATCCGGGGACACGGGAGACCCCCAGAGTGTCCAGGGAGGGGGCTTCTCCCCACTGTCTGCGGATTGCCATAAAAGGAGAAAGGGACTCCCAAGTGCCTAACGGGGACCTCTGAGTGAGTCACCCCACAAGCAGGCACTCCTGCCTATCACAAGAGGCGGGGCCGCTTCGGAGGCCAGCATCTCCAGTTTTTCCTGTTCCCAGGAAATGACGGGGTGCCTTAGACCCTGGCTCCGGGTCGCAGGCCCAGGCAAGCCCCACACAAAAGCAGGACAGCAGTGCCAATGAGAGTAGACGGCCCCATGTCCAAGGGCACAGAGAGCCCTCCCTGCTTCAGCAGGGTGAGGGCAGATGCTGTGCAAAAGGCACCACATCTGGGGTACAAGACCTGCCTCTCTCAGGCTCTACGACCCTCATCAGATGGTTTAGCGTCTCCTCCGGTGCCTCAAGAATATGTTAACAAAATCGTTCTTGCTTCTGTCTCCAGGGCAAAGGTGGTACCCAGCTCAGTGGCCAGGGTCGGGGTAGAGATGCAAACTGGAACAGCAGGGGGAGGGAGAAGAGAGAAGGAGATTCCAGATGGTGCCAGTTGCTTTGTGTTTCCCTCTAGAGAGTCTGTGTCTGGGAACACTAGGGTCCCAGCTGGGCCCTGACTTCACCCCTTGGCCAGCTGATCAGAGCTCACTATGTGCCAGTCCAGTTATATAAGACACCGTCCCTGCTCCTGAAAGACGCACAGCCTGGTGGAATGTTCCGGATAAAACAAGTCGCATAACACTGAGTCCAAGGCACTCCTCGGAACTTCTAGAAGAAATTCTCCTGAACAGCCTCAAGCCATCCGCCTTTTGGCAGCAGACGGGCTGTGAACAATGCTGGTTAACAGCGCCCCCAAGAAGCGGGAACACTTGTGGCTCTCAGAACTCAGATCCTGCTCTAGCTGCAGACTGTGTCCGAGACCCCCACCATATCCTGAGCTTTCTGGAACCAATGCTGAGATCGGATGTGGTGACCTGCCACTAATGGACCTGAAGGTCTAAGGCGGGGCCCAGCCGAGCCTTCCTTCCTCCAAGATACCTGCCCTGACCTCACTGCCAGGGGTCTTCCTCCTTGGAACACGCAGCAGGGCCTTTGTGCTGCCCCAGCCCTTTGGCAGACGTGGACCTGCCCTGGCTTCCTGACTACAGCCCACGCTCCCTGAGATAGTGTAGCACACTTAGCCCATAGAAAGTGCTTGATAATGTTTGATAAACTTGAAAAGGAACAGGAAAGCAGTCACAGAAAGAGTGCAAACTTCACAACTCACACACACGCATGCCACAGCTTCATTTCCCAGCAGCGAGCCTGAGTTCAGAGAAGGTGAGTGGAGTTAAGATCAGCTGCTCTTAAAGCTAAGGGAAGGGTTTCCCTGGTGGTCCAGTGGTTAAGACTCTGCACTTCCACTGCAGGGGGCACAGTGGTCGGGGAAGTTCTGCATGCTGCAGGGTGTGGCCAAAAAGAAACAAAAAAGCTGCGGGAGAGGGATGGTCTGGGAATTCGGGGTTGGTAGATGCAAACTATTACGTGTAGAATGGATAAACAACAAGATCCTACTGTAGAGCACAGGGAACTATATCCAATCTCCTGGGGCAAGCCATAATGGAAAAGAATATTTTAAAAAGAATGTCTATATGTGTAAAACGGAGTCAGTTTGCTGTACAGCAGAAATTAACACAACGTTGTAAATCAACTACACTTCCATTTAAAAAAAAAAAAAAAAAAACTAAGAGGCTTTGGGACGCTGGCCTGGGCAAGGGGAAGAGCTGAGTCCCCATTGGGAAGAGCTGGGCTCTGGAAGCCCAGCGGCACAGAACAAATAATCAGAGAACACCCAGAATTCCCAAATCCAGAGTTTTTGCCCACTGGCATAGCCAGAGACCGTGGGAGCCTCAGAAGGGGCTCTGTCGGTGAACTGAGAAATCCATCGCTGTGGACCCAATGCAGCCCCCGGCCGCTCTGTGTCCCTGTGGCTGGCCCTGCTGTTCACGGTTTCCCTTGCACAACATTCCTGAGTGACTAGCGCTTGATTCGATCCAAAGTGACCTTCAGCAAGCAGCTCCAGGGGGCTTGGGCTCGCTGGAGGAAAGATGGAGCTTCTGGAGCCTTACTGATGTCTAATAAGACTTTCAAAATAACCCTGGTGGTGGCTGAAGCCTCATCCAGGTACTGTGTCTTCGGAGCTGGTCTCCTGGGCTCCTTGCAAGAAATCTTTTGGCTCCTGAGCCGTGGCAGGGCCACCCAAAAAGCGCTGAAAGAGCACACACCCACTCTCAGAGTTGAAAGCAAGGATGCAGGGTGGAAAGGCAGGAACTCTGATAGGCACACCAGGGAGCAGAGGCTGGGAACTGGGCCCGCACCAAGGATCTGGGGTACGGGGCTGCTGCATCGCACCTGTAACCGGCCTGCTTTCAGCACCAAGAACTGCCCCAGTTGTCTGTATTTTACCTGACACAGCTCCCTCCTGGGATGTCTGAATTTGGGGTTCCACACAGGAGCAACACAACTCTCCCTGCTCAGAATGACAATTACCCTATGTCTCTGTAATGCACCAGCTTACATCACATTAAAATTCATACTGTAGCTATGCTGCTACAGGCATAGAACTTCTGAAAGGAAACAGAAGAAAAGAGTAGATCATGGTGTCTGCCTCTGAGGAGGGAGATGGGCAGATCCAGGCTGGGAGGGAGGGCTTTTCTGGGAAAATCTATCTCAGTATTTGGTGGAGATTGTTTCTGAACGGGGGCACACATCACTTTTCCAGTTAAATGTAACAGAATTCAGATATTATACCCTGAACAAGGGAAAAGCAGTACACTCTGCTTTAATCTCTCTACATGTGTGGCAGGGTTTTGGTGCAAAAAAAATAAAGTAAGGTCATAATATTGTGACCTTGGGGTCCTTCCCTGTGTTCCTCCAGTGGGGTGGCTTTCCAGAAGCTTCCATTCCCACTCCATGGCTTAGTCATCTGTATGAGTCTGGACAAATTTGGTGAAGACGAAAAGAGTCACCACCTCAGTGAGTTATTCCAGGACTGGATGGGAAAATCCACGGAAAGCACATAGCACACGGCAAGGCTCCATGAAGACCATGTAGTCAGTTACATGGAGCTTTATCCTCTGACCTGTCTGCTGACGCAGAGCCTCCTCTGTGAACGTGGCTGTGAACGTGGGGAGTGGGTGGCAGTGACCTGCTCTCCTGAGTGGACATTTCCTGGCACTGGAGATGCTGGGAACTGTTGGCAAGTGGATTGTGGAGTTGACAACGGTAACTCACTGGCATCTGGAATGCAGAGCTTTCTGGAACAATTCGCACTAACGCTGGATAAAATCCACGCTTAAGGGAGGGTGTGGATAAGCGGGTCCTGCTCTAGGAAGCTCCTTGTCTGCTGCCCAGGAAGCCCGGGGCCAAGACGCAGCCACGGGCCGTGCTCAGCGCAGACAGGGAGCTGCCCGGAGTCTAGATACAAGAAATGTGGGACAAAAGAACTGCACTTCCCCACTGAGAACAAACGTGCTCGTGGAAAGTCCGAGTATGAGAAACGAAGCATATGAATCCATTCCGAGGAACTTCTCCAGGCTTTCAGCTTTCTCAGGGCAAAGAAAAGTCAGCTGTTCTAGAAACAGTTGCCCTACCTGATGGGAATAAAATTACAGGCTATGAGCACAGCATTTCTCAGTCTCTCCTGATACCTCTATCTGATGAGGAGATTTATTTTCCCTAAGGTAAGCAGTCCTTGACATTGTACCCAGAGGGAAGTTTCCAGTTCTCTGTTATCTCGGCACTATTCAAGCTCTTGGATTTCATACCCGGTATCTCCAAAGGGGCCCTTGCTACTGATCTCTTGTTTGGGGTAAAGGGAAAAAGAGAACTTCAGGCAAAGTTTAGGCTCTTTTCTCTTGAATTTCTGCTAAGCTTTACATTGCATTCATTGCCACTCAGATCCAGCCAGAGGGAAACACCTTCTGCACCCAACACCCACCCACGGATGAGTCACCAAAAGCTGAGTGAGAAATAGTGGGAAACTTGCCACAGGAGCGACAGACGCAGACAGAGAGTACAGGGACAGCAGGACCGAGATGGCGACAGAGTAACCAAAGCAAATGCAAGAGACAGGGCTGCTGGCTGCACGGCCAGGGGCCAAAGCTAAGAGCACAGGAGTGAAGCCGGCAGCCCCAGGAGCTGAGGCAGAGGCCAGGCCTCTCCCTGGCCCACGGCCTCCCCACCTCCTTCTCCGCACAGACCCCAGCACTTGCCTCCTTGTCCCTGTGGGCGGCATCGAGGGAGTCAGAGGCATGGCCCCTGTGCTCGGCCCGGCCGCACTCCTGGCAGATGCACTGCCCATCGGGGCAGCAGAAGGCAACCAGGGGGCTGTGGTGTGCCGGGCACACGAGCAGGTCCCAGTCCTTCATGGGCTCTCTCAGCTGGTGGCCGTGCAGCCTGCTGTTCTCCTGGTGCGGCCGCAGGTGCTCCGGGCAGTAGTTCACCATGCAGGTCAGGCAGGACTTCACGGCCCTCACCCTGCTGGCCCCGAGGCAGAAGTCGCACAGGACCTCCGCCTCCACCTCCGCCCCAGGACGCCCCTGCCAGGCAGAGCCACGGCTCTGTCCCCAGCTCTCCCCCGGGGAGCTCCCCGGGGCGGCTGCGTCCTCTTCTTCTGCTGGGCTGGCCGACCCACGGTCTGGGCTGAGAGTGGCCGGAGGGTGAGCGGGAACCCCGGGCAGCGGCCCTGGAGCCATCAGATCAAACTCAGCCATGTGGAAGTTCTGCACCAGAGCTGTGCTTCCTCCGCTCCTGGGCCCAGAATCCTGCGGCCCCAGTCAGATGGGAGAACCACGCCCAGCTGACTGCAGCTGCCTCAGGATTTTAACTGTTTCCTCCCCAGAGAGGAAGCTCAGTCGGTCGTCATCACTCTGCTCGGCTTAGAGGACGGCCAGCTGCAGTGGCCACAAGGCAGCCCGGGTCCCCAGGCTCAGGGAGACCCAGGCTGTCTCCCCACAGGCTCCGACCCGTCCTCCAGCCCAGACCCGAAACTGCTATTCTTCTGTGAATCATTCGCCCCCCATAATCTCAGCCAAGCTGGGGGATCGGTCTGGAAAGGACTGGAGATTCCTGAGCTCTGCAGTCAAAGCCGACGTTGCTTTACGTGGCTTGACAGGTTCGATTTTTTGTTTTCAGTTTTTCTCTATTTATTTTTTTTGGCTGCACTGCGTGGCATGGGGGACCTTAGTTCCCTGACCAGGGATCCAACCTGCGCCCCCTGCATTGGAAGCATGGAATCTTAACCAATGCACCACCAGGGAAGTCCCCTGTTTTCAATTTTTAAAGGGACCCAGAATGTAAGGACTTTAGCAATAGGGCAGCCCTCATCCCTTCCCACCTCGTAGAATTGGACGTGAAACAGCTGGGAAGAAGATCTGTGTCTCTGACCCTGACCTTTTCCATATGACCTTCTGGCACATTCCAGGAGATGGACTTCTCTCGGAGGGGGATTCAGTGGCGATCAGGAGGCTCAGGAAGAACGTGCCTCCTTCCACATAAAGCTCTAAGCAGACAGCCCTCCCGGGCTGCACAACCTGCCCAGTGGCTCCCAGAGAGGGGTGGGCACTTTATCTACTTACTAAGGTTTTCCTAGACGAGGTGTATGGGTTTGCTCCCAGTGCCATAACAAAGTACCACAGGCTGGTTGGTTCAAACAACAGAAATTTATCTTCTCCCAGTTCTGGAGGCTGGAAGTCCAAGATCAAGGTGTCGGCAGGGTTGGTCTCTCTTGAGGGCTCTCTCCTTGGCGTGTAGACAGCCGTCTTCTCCTTGTATCTTTACATGCTCTCCCCTCTGTACACATGTGTCCTAATCTCCTCTTTCTCTAAGGACAGCAGTCAGATTTGGATTAGGGCCCAACCTCATGACTTCATCCTACCTTAATGGCCTCTTGAAAAGCCCAGTCTCGAAATACAGTCACATTCTGAGGTACTGGGGGTTATGAAACCGAACGGGGCCCCGTGGGGCTCCCAGACATGGAGGGCTTTTCCTTTTGTCCCGCATTTATTGTAGGCAAGACTCCAGCCTCCATGACCTTCCCTGAGATCCAAAGGGCAGATTCCCTTTGAACAGTTGCTCATCACGGGAGAAGCAGTCAAAAAACCACCTGAGGCAAGATTCAAGGGACCAGAGAAGCTCATCAAGATTAGGAGATCCAGGCTTCCCTGGTGGCGCAGTGGTTGAGAGTCCGCCTGCCCATGCAGGGGACACGGGTTCGTGCCCCGGTCCAGGAAGATCCCACATGCCGCTGAGCGGCTGGGCCCGTGAGCCATGGCCGCTGAGCCTGCACGTCCGGAGCCTGTGCTCCGCAACGGGAGAGGCCACAACAGTGAGAGGCCTGCGTACCGCAAAAAAAAAAAAAATTAGGAGACCCACCTGAGACCCGGCACACACCCTAATCTTGTCAGAGATCTCACCTCTGAACCACTGTTATAAAACCCCTCATCAGATCCTCCTGAGTTGGGACACATAGTTCTTTGAGGCAGGCACTGGCTGTGGCCCCTTTTGCCTGGCAAAGCAATAAAGCTATTCTTTTCTTTCTACTTCACCCAAAACTCCGAGATTCAATTCGGCACCAGTACAGGGAAGCTGAGCTTTCGGCATCAGTTAGGACTTCAACATACGATGCGGGGTTTTGGCGGGGGGCAGGTAGCTCACAATTCAGCCCATAACAGATGCCAGGGGATAAGGTGGGAAGCATCTAGCTCCTCAGAAGAAAGGTGCTCCTGGGCATCACCACTGGGTGGGGATGCCAGGTGGGCACCAAGGAACCCAGGACTATTCCAGGGTACCTGGCCCCCAACATTTGTACCCTAGAGCAGCAGTCCCCAACCTTTTCGGCACCAGGGGCTGGTTTCACGGAAGACAATTTTTCCACGGACCGGGGTGGGGGGGGGAATGTTTCGGGATGAGTCAAGCGCATTACCTTTACTGTGCACTTTATTTCTATTATCATTACATTGTAATGTATAATGAAACAATTATACAACCCACCACAATGCTGACAGGAGGCGGAGCTCAGGCAGTAATGCGAGCGATGGGGAGCGGCTGTAAATACAAGTGAAGCTTCGCTCTCTCTCCTCCCACTCACCTCCTGCTGTGCAGCCTGGCTCCTAACAGGCCACTGACCACTACTGGTCCGTGGCCTAGGGGTTGGGGACCCCTGTCCTGGACAGGTTCTACAGCTCCCCCGCAGGATTTCTTCGTATACACTCAAGTGGATTTGGAAAACTAATGGAACAGAGAGAGAATGGGGTGGGGGCCGGTCCAGCTCACCCCTGAGATTAGGGTTGGGGTGGGTCCAAGCCATCGCACTCCCCCATGGCTCTCCACCCCGTGTGATTTGGTAGGATCTGGATTAAAGCACATAAACCAAGGGGCAGTTCTTGTCACTGACCGAGAATTCCTGCTTGGTGTTGGAGGGCGTGGAAGACAGTAAAAATCTATGTCAGATGCAGCTCTGTTGATTGTCAACATGCACAGAGCATGCATGTCATGATGGCCTAGATGCGGCCGTTTTCAGCAGTACGAAGGTTCCTGAGTATCCCTGACCTGACTGTCCTCTTCCACTGCTGAAGACACCCCAGAAGAGGTTCCCCTGCATTTCATTTCATGGTTTTAAATCTCTGGCCAGGAGGGAAAGGAGCTGGCTTCTCGCAGCCCAGAACATTCCCGGAGTTTTCTCCAACATTAACAAATAGGGCTGCTTTCTTTTCTGTCCCTTTCTCTGAATGACTTGGTTCTGGAAGCTGAACTGGTCCACCCCACATGCCACAGAGCCTCTGATATTTCTGGGGAGGGGGGGGCGGTGGCTGCCCATTCTGACCTGTTCCACAACCTCAGGCGCCAATCAGGGGGCACTGAGCCAGGCTCTCTCTTATCTCCCCCGCCCCTTCTCTCCTGCTGACCCCGGAGGGCAGCCCACAGCTTTGCTCAGCCCGTCCTGGTGCCCCACCGGAGCTCCAAGCCACCAGACATTCTGCAGCAGCTTGGAAAACAGGAAACCTGAGTTTTCAGTCCCAGCCTGAACTGGGAAAATCATTTGTCCTCTCTCGACCCCAGCTTCCTCATCTATGAAGTGAGCAGGCTGGTCGAAGCCAGGGCCGGGAAACAGATTCCCGGTGCGGCTCTCGGGGAAACTGTGCTGTGTCTGAGATTCACCTGAGCTTGTGGGGAAAGGGCGCCATGGCTAAGCTGTGACATCTGCCCGGACTTGGGCCTGGGAGCACTGACCCTGTGGCGGCCTCTGGCCCTCCCAGGACCACAGAATCCACCCCAATTTCTAAATCCCCTCCCCGGCCCGGCCTGACACAGCACCTTCTGGACGGCCTCCAGGAGCTGCAGGGCACCTCACCACACCCAGGCCTCCTGGGTCAACACTCCCGCACCGGAAGGCAGGGCTAATGCCCACGTATCTCCTAGACCCTAATTCCCTATCGACCCAGCGCTCACAGTCACCACCCCACCCCCGCTGCACACTGAGCACCCCAACATCCTCAGCCTCTTGTTAGACAGCCCCCTGCCTCCTTGCCTTAACCGAAGCTCCGCTTTCGCCAAAGACGCTGTTTCTCCTGCCGCCTCTCAGCTGGTGCTATCCTTCTCCTCACCACCGCCCCCCGCCAACGTACCTCAGAGCTGAGGTGGGGGTCCTCCTGACCCCCCGTCACAATGTCCAGACCACCTCCCGGCCCTCTCATCACACCTGCTCCCCGGAGGTCAGATGGCCCTGCAATTCCACCCTCTCCTGTCCTCCAGGCCAGCCTCCGATACACTCAACCTCACATGAAATGAGTGTCTCTCTCTCTTCGGCACAAAACAAGTTTTGTCATTACAAATTTTGTAATTTCCTTCTTTCCTGAATCAAACCTGCCACCAGGGATGTTAGGGCCAACATCCTATGTGTTGTGGCTTGGTATTCCTTCCCAGAATTGAGGAAGGTTTCCCTGCTCAGAATTTTGAAACTCAAACTCTACCAAGCCATGTGGTAGGAAATCGGTCGGCAGTTAGGTCATCATTAATCTTTCATCCGGTTGACTCTGTGATGAATAATCCCACAAACTGACAAACTCCCTTGGAGTCACATGAACGATGGCCGCCAACAGATGCCCTCTCAGTTTACGGGTTTAAGGCCATCACCCTGAGGGGTCTGGAAGAATTCAAGAAGAGCATTCTCAACCCAAAGACTCTATCGGGCAGTTTCAGACTAAGGAAGCCCCGCAGCCTCTCTCCTAAGGAAACAGCTTCAAAAATCACTCTGGATACTTTTCATCTGTGTCTGCCGAGCTGTGATTCACAAACCTAGCTAATATTTGTCCGTCAGAAACTAAGAAAAAGCAGGCAATCAGACTGAGAAAAATAAGAATAACATAATAAACAAGTCACAGATCTGACTCTGACTGATTTCAAGGGATGACACTTGATTAAGAGTATGTCCTTCCCCCTTCTCTGGAATTGAAAGTCTTATCTTTTATGAAACGATGGTGATAACAGTGAGGTGGAGTTACCTGGAAGAGTTACATTTAAATCAGTCCTCCAAATTCGCTGTGCAGTTTTTCTGGTAAAATCCCCAAATCAGAGAACCACAGAGCTGGAAGCTGCATCATCGCTCTTCCAGAAACCAGCCCAGACTTTTCCTGATTCACCTGGGGGGGTGGGCCCAATAGACTTTCTGGCCTGGGGTTGCCATCAGCAAACTGGTCCCCAGCCCTGCTTTTTTCCTAAAATGAGAAGCCAGCCTCTTAGATGGTTTTTGGTAATTAACAACTGCAAAACAAGAGAACAAACTGCAGGAGAGGAGAACAGACTCAAAGGATCTTTGCTCCTAGTCTCAGAGCACAACAGTTGTGACCACCTAAGCCCCTTCTCAGGTCCTCCCCCAAGCCTCCTGTCTCTTTGTCAGGTAGCGACTGGCCCACTAAGGAAGGCAGGGCTGTCCCAGGGTGTTCCATATGCCTGCTCTTCACAAAGACAGGGGCACACATGTTGGTTCAGCAAACAAGATTGTGAGCTTGCATAGGGTCTGCCTTGCCCGCGAGCACCTAACACAATGCCTGCAGGACTCCTGATGATGGGTGGAG